AGAACAAAAGTTACGAGCTATGGAAGGAATCGATTTTTATGGTTCTGTTGATGCTACTAGGCTTTGTCTGGTCCTAGATGTGGTTATCCCTTATAAGTTTAAAGTACCAAAATTTAAGAAATATGATGGTACAAAGTACCCAAAAACTCATATCACTATGTACTATCGGAAGATGACAGCCCATGCTTATAATGAAAAACTATTAATGCATATTTTTTAAGATAACCTTAAGAACTTTGCTGTTATATGGTATGTCCAACTGGATAGAAATCGTATTCGTTCTTAGAGTGATATGACTCATGACTTCATCAGTCAATATCGATATATTGTAGACTTAGCTCTTGATCGTCTTTCCTTGTAAAATATGAAAAAAAAATCATTGAATCATTCAAAGAATATGCCCAAAGGTAGAAGGACATGGCTATTCAGGTGCAATCTCTTTTGACTGAAAAGAAAACCACTGTATTATTTGTCAGTACTCTAAAATCTTCTTATTATAAAAAAATGATAGAGAATGCCACAAAAAATTTCATTGACATGGTGATTTCGGGTGAAATCATTGAGAATACCATAAAAAATGATAAGTTGAAAATAGGAAAAGCTAAGTAGGTACATGAGAAGAAAAAAACTGAAGCTTAAGCTGTAAGCTTTGACAAATAATTTAGGGGATGCCAACCTTATCCACAAGGTTACTCTTCATACTATCCTGTTGTGAACAATACCTCAGCCTACCCATACCAACCTATACCACAACCATCTTACCCATCCATATATCAACCTATTTTTAACCTTCAAGCTCCCACATACAGCCTTAACATTCAACCTCTAGCAATATTCTAAACTCATCTTGCTAATATAGTAAGTGGTTCACGAGAACAATGGACTATCTGAAAAAAACTCATATTTGATTCAATTTTCATGACTTATACGAAGTTATATCGAGAGCTCTATAATAGCCATTTGATTACCCCCAGTCATGTGAAGCTACTTAAGCCACCCTATCCCAAGTGGTGGGATCTTACAACCCACTGCGACTACCACTATAAAATTACTAAACATTTCACTGAAAATTACACTGCTTTGAAACATAAAGTGCAACAGTGAATCAAGAATGTGATAATAAGTTTTGATCAATGAGGAGCAACAATACCTAATATTAGTGGCAGTCCATTATCTAATCATAATGTCAATGCTCTAAGTAAAAATCAAGAACACATTGATTAGAAAATGCCTTAAAAATTGCAATGAATCGAAGGCAATAAAGATCATTCACCTGATTGCACATGGGCATACTTTTGAAAAGGTTGTTCAGGCTGTTGGAAGCTGCTTGTCATTTTAAGATTTTTTTCATGTTAATGTTAGCAATTCTTTTTTGCAATATGATTTCACTTGTTATCATTTCAGCAAAAGGTAATTTAATGTATTTCATTACATTTTTTTTTCATTCAACTATTATTCCATGCTTTGTCACCTTTCATAACTTTTCATTCCCATTCTTAAATTTTAAACGATGAATGTTTAGACAATGATAGCAATAATTTTGAGATTTAATTTTGAAAATTCATTCACATTGATTTAAGAAGATTATTTGAGTAAAAAAAGTCAGCCGCTAGCAGATGCGAAATTAATATGACTCGAAGAAGTGCAGTTTCTTATAAAGATTCATGAGCTTGTTCAATAGATGATGTTCAAAGAAAGCATTCACATTTGAGATAAAAAATGACCATCTTTCTTTTTGAAAAACTATTCATCGTTACTCTTTTGAGCCTGTTATGACTTTTTTTAAAAAAAAAAAACTTTGCCCAAGGATCACCCTCCACACTGAGGGATAATTTTTTTAAAAAAAGCCCAAAGATCACAAAATGTCTAAAAAAATAAAAAAAAAGAGAGAAAAAATAAATACCATAACAAGTTAGGGTAAAGTACTAAGAGTCCTTTTGTGAAGAATGAAATGAAAAAAGAAAAAATAGTGAAATGATAGGGCAAAATGCCAAGCTAAATCAAATGAAAAATGATCCATTGGTTTTAAACCCTTTAAACACATATTTGAGCCCATTGTATCCACTTCTTTCATGATCCATCACCGTGGCCTACATTATAACCTTTAAAAGTTCATTTGGATCAAATGTAAATGCTGAAATTGAATGAGCATATGTTGGACTAAGACATGCTCATGATGAAACGACAAAATCATGCTTGGTTGCTCTAAAGATTGATGTGAAAGAGATATCAATAATGGGTGAAAGAAAAAAAAAAGAAAAAAAGAGGAAAATGGAAAAAAGAGAAAAAGGAAACTCAAGTTAAAAACCCGAAAGGGCGATTTGAATAGAAAAAATTTTAAGCTGAGAGTTGGACAAACGATTCACATGGATGGAAGATCAAAGATATATGAAGATCCCTCAAAGCTGGGGCAAAGTTTGATGAGTTCAAAATGATTTCGATAGTCAATGTAATAAGGTTTTGAAAAAGAATCTTAAATTAATGTTCAAAATTGTCTGGATATTCATTGTTTGGATATACCATTCATCCCAATGACATGTATCCAATTCATTTTTTTCCTTATTTGTTTTACAGCAAGCTCGTCCTTCATTGATTACCTTTCTCTCAAATCACCATCTATTCCCTTATTATTGTATCCCATAATAAATAAATAAAAATGTATGAGTGCATTATATTTGTCATGATTTGAAATGATAATGAATGAATGACAATGTGCTTAAAAGATTTTTGCATTCCTTTGAGAAGAAATCCATGATGATAGGATGAATTGAGAAGACACATGGTATGACCAAATGAGAATATGATGATGGATTGGTCAACAAAATGAAGAAGAGGCAAATTAAAAAAAAAAAAAAATGGTATGTCCAAGTAATGAATATGATGATGAATTGATTGACATAACCTGTGAGTTGTGATGAAAAAGTATGGGGCAATGAGCGAAACTGATGCTGAAAAGTCCATGACGATGTATGAACTCTTTTAAGCTCAAATGATGTTCAACATATATGTATGAACTCTTTAGTGTGCTCTCATGGCTCTAAGTGTGGTTTATCTCTCCAAAACCGATATTAGAGCCAAAGTTACAGATTTGAGTTCTGATAGTGTTATGCAAAAGTGAAACACTTAAGTGGGCGATGTATTGAGTCAATTTGGGGTGTAAGCTTGAAAGAGCGCTGAGATAAGTTAGGTGGTAAGATTGAGTGCTGTGATTGAGCTTAAAAGTGTACTAGAGATGTGAGGTTACCTGACTCAAATGAGATGTTGATAGGGAACTTCACTCGCAAGGAAAGTCAAGATGAGATTTGACGAGAACTTATAAGTGGGGTACTAAAACAACCTAGGTGGTAAAGTTAAGTGTTGTGATCGAACCTAAAAATGCAACAGAGATGTAAAATTATTTGACCCAAAGGAAATGTGTTGATAAGAAACTTCACTCTTTTATTTTTTTTTATTTTTTGATTTTTTTGTCAACATTTCTTTTAAATTTTTTTGGTCCCAACATTTCTTTTAATCCTTTTCAGAGTTTAAATTTTGAGACTTATAAGTTCAAAATTTGAACTGTAATTAGCTGTTGAAACATTTCTTGTAAGAGACAATGAAAACAAGATAATTAAATCATTCTAACAGTATCAATTTAATTATGATTATTTGTAATGATTTTACCCTTGAGGAAGGTAATATATAGACACACCTATAAAATGACTTGGATTTCACAACCGATTTCAGTTCCACGAATATATATATATATATATATATATATATAAATTATTGTAAGATGAAGCAAGAAATGCTTATTTTGACTCAGACATACTAAACCAAATTGGACAAAAATCTTATGATATTTTCATATCTGTAAAAATCATTATACAAAAATATGGTCACTGCTAGAGCTGACAGAGATAGGGACCCAACAATATAATAATCGTCCATTGTGCTAATAAATTCTGTCATGTCAAGCAATTAGCTATTGTTAGCTTTCAGGCCCTCCAAACAAGAAATAATCTTCTTCTTCTAAGGTCATACGTAGCTTTAGAAGATCACCGTCCATGGTCGTTCCACTAGCCATGGATGATGGTTGGTATGTCCTTGAAAAAGCTATAATTTGACTCACTTTCCATCCTCCATGACTATTCCTTTATGATTCATACTCTCTTTCAAAAAAAAAAAAAAAACCCATTGCTTCTTTTAACCAGTCTTTGGGAATTGCAACTGGGATTCCATTCATTAGTGTTAAAATTTGATTTTGGCTTTGGGAAAATAGTATTCATATATAATCAGACGGCCACAAATGCATTTGTTAAAGCTGCTATATATTCATCTTATCGTCATCCGCCACTTGATAAATTCCTGAATTGATAAGTCAGGGCTTGAGCTTAAAGGATCATGCTGCTACGTGTGTACACGGATTAAAGAATCAATTCTTCATCCTAATTACATTTTAAATATCAATAATATATTACAGTGGAAGGTGCAACATGGAAAATAATAAACATTTCAAAGAAGCTAGTGAATTAACAAGGAAAGAAGATTAAAGATATCTTTCTTTTAACATTGCCATTTTGTGGAAGCAATGCACTATAATTAAGAGGCTAAGGCATCAATAACTTTACAATATTTAAAACGTTAACAGAAATCGCATCTTGTGGTACAGTGAGAGTTTGAACTAAACAAGCATTTGGGTTTTAGAGTCAAAGAAATAGAAGGGTAACTTATTTTTATGTTTTCTCTTTTATTTATTTATTTATTTATTTGCCAAAATTTTCTCTTTACTTTGGGTGCAGAGGATTCCTCCCCTTTATTTGGGAAAATATGGTCATCTTTAATCTTTAATTATAACCTAGCAATCTTGGATAATAAGAAACTAACTTTTTTTTCTTATCTCACGTTTTCAAATGGATTGGTCTTGACTCTTGACTCTTGAATGCATAAAAAAAATACAGTTTTTTTGTGAATAAGTAGCTGTAAAAGAAAAAGAAGAATTCTCAGTAAAACACAAGGTTCCAATGGATCAATCAAAGTCATTTTCTTTAGTGTCTAGAACATTCTCTCCTCCAAGTTGAACCCAATGGCTCTTCCTTCCCCACTCTTTAAATAGCCCACCACCCTTCTTTTCTAATCAAATTTCTTCTTTCACCTGTGATCCAATATAACTTACCCAAAGTTGAAAAAGGAGAGAGAAAGAGCAATGGTGGGTTCCCCTTTTCTCTCTCTCTTTTTTTTTTTTTGGCTCCCTTTTTATGTTGTCCTCTCACTCACTCCTTGTTCTGGCTTGGCTTCACTCCTTATTTACTAACTCTTCTTTTGTTGACTTTTTCGCCACAGGAAGGAGGGAACCAGGATATCAGATGGGAAGGCTATGTGAATTGGAGGAATAGACCAGCTTTAAGGGGCAGACAAGGTGGCATGCTTGCTGCCTCGTTTGTCTTGGGTAATTAGTTTCCTATCAACCAAATTCCCCATAGCCCTTTTCCTAATGTCAGCTTCTATTTTAATTATTCTCTTTCTCTGATATGCTTTAATGATAAATTTGTGGTAGTTGTGGAAGTGCTGGAGAACCTAGCGTACTTGGCAAATGCCAGCAACCTGGTGCTGTATCTGTCAAAATACATGCACTTATCTCCATCCAAATCGGCAAACAATGTCACCAATTTCATGGGAACAGCCTTCCTTCTGGCTCTGCTTGGAGGCTTCTTATCTGACGCTTTCTTCACTACTTATCACATCTATCTGATAAGCGCACTCATCGAATTTCTGGTACTAATTCACTCTTTTTTCTTGCTCTCTATCTCCATCACCGGTTTTTGTTACTTAAATTCATCGACCACTATAGAATTGTGAAAATTTTGTATCATTGTTGCATTGGATCCGCATTCTGGTTATTTTTGAGAAAATAGCCTCTAGATGAAGGATCAGTACTTGAAAAGAAGAACAATAGAAAAGACACGGGGAGAAATCTTAGTGTGGAAGCATTAAGGTTGGGGCAGTCACAGGCGCAAGCCCCCTGAGACTTTGGTATATAGATCCAAGGAACACCGTCTGTCTAGGTACAACTATCGAGGCCTAGTGATAAATGTCCATGAATTTCTCTCGTCTGTCAGATCCCAAAAATGATCAAAACTCAAATAACGATAATTCTAAAGAAAACAGAAAAAGGGTCCGTTTCAAGTTTCAATCTTTCATCACATAAGAAAACTTACTAGAACAATTGGTTATGCTAGTTAGGCTTTCAAATGATCATATTCGGTCAAAGAATTACTCCACTCCTTTCGCATATTTCATTTTATGTTTAAAAAAAAAAAGAAAAAAAGGAAGCATCAAATTTAACTTTATGTCCGATTAGATTGTGAAAAGGTAACTAAATGATAATTCAGACTTGGAGTGAGTGGATCCTCGAGTAGGCCAAGGTTGGATCCCTTGGATGCTAGTCATGGAACGTATCCAATCAAAGCCAACGCCTTGGGGGCCTTAGGGGAAGGGGACCCTTTTTAAGTGTACGTGTGGTGTTTTACAACAAGAGAAACTTCCTTTTCTCAATTTCAGCAAGATAGTAAACTCTGTCTTGTCTTGTCTTATTGCTTTGAAATCTTGTCTCTGTTGAAGCACACGAATAAAGCCAACATAACAGGTGGTAACAGTTTTAGCTAGACATGTCCCATATAAATCTTAACTCGTGTCAGCTTTGGGTGCCGGAGGACACATTTGACCCACAAGCTTGTATTGTCTACGTCTAAGATACGGTAATTTTGATCCACTAATGACTGTATAGTATGTCAGGGAAAATGACGAGAAGAAGAAAATCTAGGGAAAATCAAATCCATTTATAATTCGTACATTTCTTTCTTCAAATGGTATTTTCATCCTAAAGTACAAAAATGCAAAAAAAAAAAAATTGTAAATGAGTAGTTGCTCATTTTGGGCAGGTTCATGAACCACGTGTTTGGCTACTGTTAACTACTTTCATAGACCCAAAGTTAAACTTAGAATGTCTGCTGAAGAACCATACCCACATGCACCATTCCATTTTATAAAGCCAAGTAGCCAACAAACCAGCTTCTTTTACAATGACATTTCATTGAAATTTTGGCAGAGCAGTCCAAAATCTTGTGTGTGTTACGAGATCAAGGGACCCACTCTTTGTTGAGGTACTGAACTTAATCGGATGATTTTTGAGTGACCCCAATATATTGTTGTTTTCCTTTAGCAATGCTGCAAGCTTTTGGTTTTGGTGTGGCAATCAGATAGGGAAACTGGCGAATAGATTTGGTCCAGGACTGATCTCTTCTTGCCTATCCTACCAAGGCCTTAAGTTTTGAGTTTTGGTTTTGGGTGTTTCATACGGTTAATTCACACCTACAGTAGAGGCTAGGGCCCAAGTTGGGTCTTTTTCATTTTTTTTTTTGTCCAAAAGGGACATCAATGAAAGCTTCAATTCTATATATGAATGACTTGAACTCATCTTGGTCAAGCTAGGTACTCTTAAAACAGTTACATGTAACAAAATTAGAAATGCTTGATAACGATCAGCACAGTCATTCGAATTAATTCCTGGCATGGCCAACTTTTATGGTTTATTAATTATTACAGACTTGCTAATTATACATGCCTAATAAATTTCGGCCATTGAAACAGGGTCTGGTCATTCTTACCATTCAAGCTCGGACACCTTCCCTAAAGCCTCCAGAATGCAATTCGTCCACCACGTCCATTCCATGCCAAGAAGTTGGTGGTGGGAAAGCAGCTATGCTGTTCATAGGCCTTTTTCTTGTGGCACTTGGTGTTGGAGGGATAAAGGGGTCTTTACCAACACATGGCGCTGAGCAGTTTGATGAGAACACCCCACAGGGAAGGGAGCAAAGATCAACCTTCTTCAACTACTTTGTGTTCTGTCTCTCATGTGGTGGCCTTATTGCGGTCACAATGGTTGTGTGGATTGAAGATAATAAGGGATGGGAATGGGGTTTTGCCATCGCCACAATTGCAATCTTGTTATCAATCCCAATTTTCCTTGCAGGCTCAACATTTTACAGGAATAAAATACCCTTTGGCAGCCCACTTACAACCATTTTCAAGGTAAAGTTCTGATGCTCAAGTAATTTCATTCTAATAAGCACTGAGAGAGCCCTAAACTTTTGAACAATCTACCTTGATTTCATTCCTGCCAAGAAGTAATAACTAATAAGTATGTGTTTTACTTGAACAGGTTTTGGTTGCTGCTATGTTGAACGGTTGCATGAGTAGGAGTCCAAGCAATGCCATTGCGAACCTGGCTACCAGCCCTTCTTATCAAACTGAAACCAGCATGGAAGCAGAAGAAAATACCAAACAAAGTGAGCAGCAGGATCAAATTCCAACAGAAAGCCTCAAATTCCTAAACAGGGCTGTGATGAATAAGCCAGCTCACTCAGCACTTGAATGCTCAGTGCAGCAAGTAGAGGAAGTCAAGATTGTGCTAAAAATCCTTCCCATATTTGCTTGCACCATTGTTCTCAACTGCTGCCTGGCTCAGCTCTCCACATTTTCTGTTGAACAATCTGCTACCATGAACACTAAGCTTGGTTCATTGAAAATACCACCAGCCTCCCTACCAGTTTTTCCTGTGGTCTTCATCATGATCCTAGCCCCAGTTTATGATCACTTCATTATCCCATTTGCTCGGAGAGTAACTAAAACCGAGATGGGCATCACTCATTTGCAACGAATCGGAATTGGTTTGTTTCTTTCCATAGTATCCATGGCAGTGGCAGCTCTTGTTGAAATTAAGAGAAAGAGAGTGGTAACTGACTCAGGGCTACTAGACTCAACCAATCCATTACCCATTACATTTTTCTGGATTGCTTTCCAGTATTTGTTCCTGGGGTCAGCAGATCTTTTCACCTTGGCAGGGTTATTAGAATTTTTCTTCACTGAGGCGCCCTCAAGCATGAGATCGTTGGCTACATCTCTTTCCTGGGCTTCGCTGGCAATGGGGTATTATTTAAGCTCGGTAATTGTATCAATAGTAAATAATGTGACAGATAACTTAGGCCACAAGCCATGGCTCTCAGGTCTTACAATAAATCGCTATCATCTGGAGAGATTCTACTGGCTTATGTGCGTGCTCAGCGCATTGAATTTCTTGCATTACCTTTTCTGGGCCATGCGCTACAGATACAGATCAGTAGGAGCTACTAAGTAAAATAAACCAGGGGCAAATTCTGAATTCTTATGTGAAAAGATTACCGTGAAGGAGAAAGTCTTCGGTTGCTTTGTATCAAGTTAATGTATAATTTTGGAAGAGAGAATTCAGGCCAATGCAAAATCCAGCCCCTATGCTATCCAATTTGGCAATGGCATAAAAGCCAGATTTAGTGCTTATCAGATATTGTTGATAAGCCTGTAAATAGGGTATGTAAAACAGGGGGTTCAAGAATGTTGGCTACTGTATCAGATATTTTAGCTTTCCTCTTGAGCTTTGTATTTACTGCTCTTATTTTTAGCTTGTTCTTGTTTCTTTCCTTTTTCTTGGTTCTGTACTTCTGTTAACCTTTTTTTTTTTTTAATTTGGTCTTGAGCTTCCCCTTATACCAGCCTTGGTTTTTAATAAAAAAAACTGGGTTATCCTGTAACTTTTATAATTGATTATTTTCTACTTTAACTTAAATTTGTTATTTTTGCAATTTTATTTTAAAATTTTCTATTGTTAGATAAAATTAAAGTTGAAATAATTTCAATAATTAAAACATAATTAATTAACAGAAAGACAATAATCTTTCTTATCATTCTATTATTAATTTTTGCGATATTGTGCTTTTACATTCACTGTCATTATTTTTACAACTAGCAACTGCAACAAAGAATAGAAGTCATCTATGACTTGGAGGAGCCAGCAGGCCCAGCACCCAATGATAAGCTCCTCACTGCAACCTTCACTGCACCAACAGCGCTAAGTTGCCTCATCTCAGGGCTGAGCCCATGTCTATCGTGGTTCTTAGAGTCTTCCTCTATCTGAACGCCCACAAAGTAAGCTATCTGAACAGATACAATCAGTGTAAGAGAGGGCAAATCACAACTGCTGCAAAAAAATATATTCCATGACACTAGCATTTGATCCATTCCTAGCAGGCTTTAGATGATATGCAACCAATCAGAAGAAAAAAAAAATACTAAAAACAACTATGATTATTGACAATAATTGAATGTTAGCCTAGATCCCAACTTCTTGCAACTTCCAGTCTCACCAGGATTTAGCAAGTAGCATCAACATTTTCAATATGAAAATGCAAAGAGATTAAAACACAAATCTTGAAAAAAAATGACTTATAGCCCCTTGGAATGTGAAAGCCTTTTGCTCATAAATTTCGCGTCAGTTACTCTATTTAGAATGACAACCAAATAATCAGACATTTCCGAAGTAAAGATAGAATGAGGCAGCAAACACGTCAAGTACTAAACATCCATATCTCTCAAATTCTATGGCTTATATGCTACTATTAAGGATACTTAAATATTAATGCTATATCTAACAATTATCCTTCACCTATTTTATTTCAAGTTTCAGATTTATAATGAAAGATTTACTACCAAATGAGCTGGTTTTATACACAGTTGGGGCACATTCCACCATTCCTCTATTCTTTACACTGCTGTACAGACATTAATCTGTAAAATTCAAATACAGTGTAAATCCCAGAATGGAGAGGAATGAAAGCAGAAAACTACCAATTAACTATAGAATTTCTAGCATTCAAACCTAGTCCGAGGTTATGGACTGAATTGCATGACTGACATGATAGCCTATGTTTTTTTTTTCTGTTGTCAAACAAACTTAACCAACTTTTCAGAGAAAACACATCCTTTGGTTATTTCGAGCAATAAAAAGAAAATCAAATTCATGTTAAATAAAACTGATGTACCAGTACCAATTACCTCCAATCCTTGACTGCAGTGAACGAATGAAACTGAAGGTACACTAAGTTGGCTAACAACAAATCTAAATAATATTCATCTTATCAACAGAATATCAACAAATAAGAATAGAGAATTTATCTCGACTCATAAAAGTTAATGCACGACCAACAACACAGTACCTTGCCAGAGGCATTACGAACAGGTGATAAGTGAAGGCAATTCCAAAATGAACTTTTGTCCTTCCTGGTACAGTAATGAGACATGTATAATTAGACCTTATGGACACAATGCTATTCTTCAATAAACATTGGAAATGTGAAAGTATCAACCTGTAACTTAATATACGTACTGTGCATGCTCGTTCTGTCTGAATGCTCTCGTTTATCTGGAGAAAAGTAGTCAATATGCAAACATGCACTCAACAGAAGGTTCTTACATCATCATGATATAACCCAGAAAGTTCTAAGATTTATATTGGATGAAAGCAGCTACCTGATGTAAAGTTGAAGTATCTGTATCAACACCATTCAAATCTCTAAAATTAAGGCCCAATGCTTCATGCCTATCATAGCCTATTGAGGCAAAGAAGTATGTAAGCAGCTACATAAACTGCATTGTTAAATGAATTTATAAACTGTTTACTCTAATTCTTTCCATCTTGACCGGTGAAATAATTATGTAAGATTAAATTTATGATGATTAGTATTGTAGATCGGATAAGCGTTAAAGCACCTGTCAATTTTAAGAAGGCATCACTTGCATAAACTATAGGCATCCCGGGTAAATGTGGATCAATTCTGCAAGGCCATGGAAATATGTTGCAGGTAACAAAAAGCAAAGACATCATAAATCCCAATAGAGCTGGTCATTTACTACTATAAAAGAAGAAAATTAAGAATTTGCAAACAACTCACAATACAAAGCTTTGTTTGATTCTACCAAGTGATATATTTAGTGATGAACTGATGTAGCCAGCCCCAGGAACACTGCGTCTTTTCCCACAGACCAATCTGCCAGTCAACTTACTATAATCGGTAAGCACAGACAAGATGCTGTTAAATGCAATTGCAGCCCTTCCCTTCTCCAAATCACTTGCCTCGCATGTCTCTTCAATATCTAATACTGTAATATAGACTTTATAGATGAGAACTCAACCAAGTGAATGCAATAAATATAATGGAAGATGAGAATATAGTGTCAATTATTGTCGTCAAAACATAGAATGAAACATCAATTAAGCAGCAGATATTGGATGACAAGCTCTAAAGCAAATAAAACATCCGTGGTGGAGTTGGAAAACATTTTATCACTGTAAAAAGTGGGCACAACTGCATTAGATATTGAGCATAGATAACCCAAAAAAAAGGCAAGAGAAAATATTTGAAAGAAAATTGTGAATTGGGTTTTGATAAAATGGCAATAAGCACTCTTCTTAAACTGCTATTTTATCAACATGTTTTCACATTAAATGCACAGTTGATAGCAAATATACTATTAATAAAAGCAAATTGAATGAAAATATTTTTCATAGCAGTTCCCTTAATGCACTAGTTACTTAGTTTAACCCAAATAAGGAAGGTATGTTATATTTTATGAGCTCTAGAGCTCATAAACCACCAATAATTAAATTGCATCAATTGCATGAACGACTGCAACTGATCAATCAATAATGGTTACACCTACACACAAAAAATATAGCAAAGAAAACGAACCTTTACTACCCGTATCCAAGCACAAAACACGACCCAATTCCAGCGAAGAATCGGAACCCACTTCCCTCCTACAAGACCCAAACACAATCTCATTCAAACCAGAGCCATCCTCACTCAGACTCACCCCTCCATTCCTCCCATGGTTCCTTGTAATCGGGACCTGAACCGCCACGAAATGAGTCACCCTCCCATCTTCTTTCCCAAAAACCGGACTCATATGAAACAACATCCAAAACGGCGTCCCATCTTTACGGTAATTCAACAAATTGACCTGAATACCCCTCTCTTCTCGAATCGCTTCCCTTATTTCCATCACCGTTCTTCGATGAGTTTTCGGCCCCTGAAATATCTTCCCATTTTGCCCAATCACTTCTTCTTGGGAATAACCCGACATTTTCAAGAAGCCGCCGCTGGCGAAAACGATTGGGTGGCCCGAAATTGACGGATCGGTGATAGTGAAATTGTCGGGTAATTCGTTGAGAGCTTCACGGACACGTTGGGAGTAACGGGTGTTGAAAGATTGCTGGATTAAATCCAGTTTCGAATCCATTTTTCTCGTTGTTGCTGTTGTTCTTTGAGGTCTGTGATTCTGGGTTTTCCAATTGGAACCAATCCCATGTGGGTAACAAATTCTTTAAGAACTTCGAGGAATTCGCAGATTGAAAATATCAAAGAAACAGCAACTTACAAGGGAATCCCAGAACAGAGAAGCTTCAAAATTAACAAAAAAATTACTACAAGAAGCTTGAAGTTTATTGAATTTAAGTTATTTGCTACTAATTTATGATAAGTTATGTCTCTCTCAATGAGGTGAAAAAGGAGAAGAGATGTGGCTGTGAGAAGTACGAAGTTGGGAAAATATCTTTGGAAGTGAAATTGTGGAGCGAATGAACAAAGACGATTGAGCAATTCCCATCAATCGTTTTTTTGGGGTGAATGATTCGTTAACAAGGGTTGAATTTTTTGTGATGATCGCGAAGTTGCGGTGTTGGAGAATTCTCTACTACTGCTACTACTACTACTCTGCTACCACAGCACAGAGCTTGGCAACAACAGTACTGTGTGGTCAAAAGTTAAAAGAACACAACACAGTACTAGATTTTTTTTTTTTAAGGTTTCCTTTTTTAACTTTTATCCGTAGGCTGATTTGATTTGATTTTGCTGAGTTAAATTTTTAATTATTTGAATAAAATAATTTTCTTAGTCGTTGTCTACCATATATATATTTTTAAGTAAATCTAATATATATATATATATATATATATTATATAATCACATATATAAATAAATTTATCACATGAGTATTCATACGAATAATTTACTTAAATAATACATAAAATAATTTTTTAAATAATAAGATAGTTTATTTTAATTACAAATTAAATAATTTTAAATTTATTCAAATATTAAAATTATTCAAATTATAATTAAAAATTAAATTAATTTATAAATATATTTTTTAATTAAAATATATAATATATATTTTATTTTTAATAAATAATTTTAGTTGTTTACCAAATAACCCTATTTAAAATTTTATTTAATTATCAAAATCTTTTAAACATATTTAAAAACAATAAAGATTAAGTTTATCTAAATTTTTTACCAACCTTTTTTATCTTGATTTAAAAGAATAATATTTTTAAAAAACTTACATATGACATTAAAAATTCAAGCAATTTTATGTAAGATTTTGAAAATTTAAAAATTTTTATCTTAAATCTAACATATATATATTATATTATAGAATATATGGATACTTGATAAGATATGTCACATAGATACTTATATGGATAACTTTTTTTTTTATATGTAAAATAATAATTTAATTTAAAATTTTAACCAAATAATCCCATTCAATAATTATTTTATTTTTAAAAATATTTGAAAGTTTAAAAAATTAGATTTATTTTAATATTTCAACAGTTTTATTTTAATTTAAATCAAATAAAATTTATCCCAAACTCATTTTTTTCAAATACATTTAGAATAAAATCAATAATTTTGTTTTTTTTTTAAATAAACTATTAAACCATCTATACATCTTTTTTTAAATTTAAAAAAATATATAAAATTTAGATTTATCTCTAACAATCTAGATATATGATCTATTTTTAAATATATAATTTAAATATATTTTTAATAATTTAAATATATCTGTTTTAAATTTAAAAATTTTAAAAATTTTATAAATTTTAAAGATCAAATATCATTTATTTCACTATTTAATCGATGCCATCTTCTGCCTTGATAAAATATTCTTATGCTAAATCTTTCTTATTACTCATTTAGTCCATTAATTGCACATATCAATGGTATTAATCGTACTTGTATCAAATAAAATATCATCTTAATCTTTTTCATTCATTACCAATTGCATATATTCTTTTTTATTTTAAAAAACTATTATTTTGATTTTTAATAGCTGGTTAATGATTGAAAGGGATGTTAATTACAAAACATTCAATATAGAGCTTTGAGAGTTTTCATCAACAATTGATATTATTTTAAAAATATACCAGTGTGACAAAAATTCTCTTATCAATTTTGTTTTACTTGATCAGTAATTATAGTTTTACCATTAATTTGTGAGATTTTTGTGCTACTATAACTTGCTTTTAAGAATAATAGGTTATATATTAAGTTAGAGGAATTGAAACTTTAAAATCAAGTATCCCATCAAATAGAACAACAATTTTATCAAGTAAAAATTATAATGTTAATATTTAAATATTGTATTTTGTTTAATTATATTATTGTAGGAAGTAGGAATTGAGATATGTTCGCTTTAATGTTAAAACTCAAGGCATCTTTGATCATTACAATGTAATAGTAAAATAATCTTATATAAGGTTTATTTGTTTATTTTGTACTGCTAAATGTTGTATCCATGAAATACAAAAGTGAAAAGATTAAATTGGGGTACTCTGTTATGGTAAAGTAAAAAAGTAAACTATGGAAATAATATAACACCACTTGCTTTTATTTATTGAAAATATTAATCTTTATAAGATGATAAACATATTTACTTTGCTACTAAACTTTATCATTTTATATTAATAACTTAACATTGAGATGGAGATGAAAAGCTTTTTTTTTTCTATAAAACTTTTGAAGACAATTATCCACGGTATCTACAACTTTTTTACTTTTTTAATCAAATTGTTCAAATAATAAAAATTTATTATTTTCGTTAATTTTGTAATATAAGTTTTTTGTCATTAAATACGGATATTTAAATATAAATGATAAAATAATTAAAGTGAAAATGAAATTATATATTTTTAATTATGAATGATAATTTAATTCATTTGTATTTCATTATATTTTTAAGCATTATCCAATTTATATCCTTAAGCATAGGAAAGTGTTTATTTTTCAAGACTTTCTATAATTTGTAAATTTAAATGCATTATTTTCAAGTTAAAATTTGATAATTACACAAATTTTGAAAATAGTTTATGAAGAGTTGATTATCCATTTTCACTTAAAAAATTTCAAAAAATAAAGAATTTAATATTTTTGAATAATACATTTATATTTTGTTCATATATTTATTTAAAATTTAATATTATTTTATAATTATAATTTCAAAATAAATAAATAAAATAATTCATGCATTGCATGGACCACAAGTTAGTTAATATAATATAAAATATTTACAATTTTGACAATTTTTTAATTTTATATGAAATCCAATTCTTTTAAAAAATGAACTCATTATTATATAATATAAAAAATTTTATAATTTGATTAGTTAGGTAAAAAATCTAGGTTTTTTTTTTTTTAAAGAGAAAATGAATGTTGCAATTTTGCAATTGTTTTCAAAATTAAATTTGATAATTTGAAATACGATATAGTGATACAATATAAAAATAATATGAATAAAAAATATAAAAATAACATGTTTAAATTTTTAACAAAAATCATAAATAATTTTAATAAAATTTAAAATATATTTTATATTTTAGTGTCGACATAAATTATAATACATAATTTTCGTATAAAACATAACACGAATACATAAATTATCAATATTTTATACAATACAAATATACAAATTATTAAGTTTACTCAAAACTCTCTTATTTATATACTTCATCATTATTGATTTTTATAGTAAAAAAAAAATCAACCATAAGTTGACCATGTTAATAACATGTAGTGTATACGAAGAAACACTGATTTTGCTCACTACTTGTAGTTGTTAATGTGTATATCATTTACAATTAAAAAATTTAGTACGCAAATATAAGGATACAAAACATATGATATACAAAATTCAAAATTATATCATAAATTTTTTAATGTTTAATTTAGGAAAAAATATTTTTATTAAAATTGAAGCAACAGATAAAACTTTCAAATGCATTCACATCCAAGCAATCTTACAAATAATTTTTGTTTGGAAATAGAAAAAGAATAGCTTAGATAGTTTAAGATTGGAGGCAAACCAAGTAAATTAGGGAGGAAAAGCAAATGGAAGGGCAAGTGAAGCGTTTTATAGAAGGCCTCTCCTCTCCCACAAAAGTATACAAAAAGTTGGAAGGTTCGCAGCCAATTTACGCAATACATCAAGCAAATCGCTCTCAATTTAATTAACAAGCCCACTTGCGTACACATACTTACTCAGTGGACCCCAACCTTACTCAATTATTGATTCTACCATATTTTATTTAACCAAAATTTGCCCCTGAGAAAAATATATTTTCCAAATTTGCCTCACGAAAATTGTTTTTGCCGTGGGCATGGGTTGTTAAATGATATATTTTATAATTTATGTTGAAATTAAAAATTTAACATTTTACTAATAAATTATATTATTATTAACAAAACTTAAAAATTTATTTTTAATTTTTTGAATTTGAATATATGATTTTTATGAGGTAAGAGGATTTTTTTAGTTAAAAGGGTATTTCTTGTTTTATCTTAAAAATTGATCAAAATTATTTATTTAAAATTTATAAAAAAAGACAACATAAAAAAATAAAACTTAAGAATTCAAGACTTAACTTAATTAATCTAAATTTAAAATTTTAATTTTAATATTTAAAATTTATCTTTTTATTTCTCAATTGCAGACAACATAAAAAAATAAAACTTAAGAATCCAAGACTTTAACTTAATTAATCTAAATTTAAAATTTGTCTTTTTATTTCTAAATTGCAGCCTACAATACAAAAAAAAACAAAGCTATTGTGTTGTGATACTTATCCATTTAGCCGCGTCATCCCAATGTGGCAATGTCGTTTTTTAACCTCATTTTCTGCTACAGTATTTAACTATGGTTTAGACGAGTGTAACTGCGAACTAAGCATTGAATGCTGCTGTTGCCGCCAAACGTGAGGCTTTTTGTCGTGTAGAGGCCTGCCTGGCGTATGTACTTGGGCCGACTCGTGTCGTGTGATTACAACAAGGGAATGATAGGTGGCCACTGACTGTTGTTAGAGTTTTCGATAATTACGACTCAACCATCGGGTGTTATTGCGCATCGCCGCGTTTCCACGTGTTTGAGTCACCAGCTCGTAATCTGACATCGATACGGTACTGTTAAATTTACAAGGTAGTACTTGGTTTGGCTTTAATAAATGGCCCGCTCACTGCGAAATAATTACTGCATTTATCTCCAATAATGCCATATTACCACGTGTGTTGGCCCGTCGGAAATTGACCTTTGAAAAAAAAAAAATATTTTTAAGTTGGGTATCGTTCAATTTGATGATCTACTTCGAATTGTCAATTGTGATTACAAATTATAGTTTAATATAATTATAATAAAATATTTTTATTTAATAATTCCATTTAAAGGGATCATGTTATTTATAATGATTGTAAAATAATTAATTAATTATAATTTAAAAATATATAAAAATTATTAAAATTTTATTTTATATTTCACTTGATGGCATTGATATATACAAATATTGTATACTACCAATCAATTGATATACTAATATTTTATTAACGAGTAAAAGTAAAAATTTAATTGTTACTAAAAATAATTTATTTTTAAGGATTTAATTATTTTATTTATTAATAGGATGTTATAGTATGATTGGTTGATTTATTAATTCGTATAACTCGTAAAAATGATACATTAATTACATATTTTATTAAAATAATTTTTTTCCTAAATATATCTTAATTAATGCCATCAAGTGACTTTAACATTTTATAAATTAAACTTTTAAAGCAAAATCATAAAGTATTAAAGTGATTATGATTTGTTGATAGAATATTGACCGTGTGTGATTCACCCTACCGATCAAATCCCTAAAAAAAAAAAAGTAAAATTTAAATATTTATCTTCACAATTATGTTGGTATGTTTTTATTATTCATATTGTTTATATTTTTACATAGAACTGACGAAGGAAGTTTCAAGGATTGGGCTCCAAAATTCATTGTTTTATCGGAAAGGGCTCGATCAAACTGGTCTCAGGCTAGACGGAATGGGCGAAAACGCCGAGGGCTGAGGCCCATTCCAATCTAACCAGGGCCGAAGTAACCGACCTGAAACCCGAAATAAAAAAACTAGACGGCCGAAAACCAGATCGAACAATCAATCGACCTAGTTAGAAAGTCCCCTCAGAAAGTCGGATCTCCCATTTGCCAGGCAGCAAACAATTAAAATAAGAAGTAAATAAGAAAACCTCATCAGCCGTTGATCTCCGATCAGGTAAACCATTCACTAATTTCCTTTTCTATTTTTGATAAAATGCAAATTGTTCAATCACATTTTTGGTTCTTCAATTTCAAATTTCGCAATTTTTTTTGCTTGGTTATGAATATTCGTAATAAGTATAATGAAATGAGGGATTTTATGTCGTTCAAAGCTTAATTCAGTTTACAAGATTTATGTCGGTGATTTTACTTAGGCAAAATTGTTATTTTCCTTGTCTTTTACTTTAACTTTGTTGTGAACTTAAAAATCTAAAATTCAAGGTAATTTATAGGCTTAAAGGCCAAGGAATTCGGATAAAGGAAAACTGGTGTGGTTTAAGTTATTGATAGAAGGGGGAATGTTTGAAGTGTGATTTTGTTCATTTAGCTTTCTTTACATTTAACCTTCACTTTTGTTTGAGAAAAATCGAGCTGAGTTAGGAACATGATTGATTCTAAAAGAGAAACAAGCCTTGGACGCCTGTGTTTCCATGGCATTCTTGTTTTATAGTACAACTTGTACTTCCAGTATTTGAGATGTGAAGAATTGTTGGTGTTTGATTTGGCAGAAGCTGATTTTGGTCGGAATAATGAATTTTCTGCTGCTGCGGTCCAATCAACAGGGAGCACCAGAACCACCTCCAGTACCAGAGGAGGTGGCGGAGTCAACTTATGTTTCTAATTCTGCGATAACTTTGGAAGGGTTTATAGCAGAAGATCCATTTCCAGAGTATCCCACAGTTGAAAATCATGATGGACAAACTAATGGATTTTTAGGCAAGAATGCTGGTGTTGCAAGTGATAAGATTGCATCTGTCCATGATAACCACATCGATGTTTCTGAAGAAGATGGATGGATCACTATTCCATATAGTAAGTGCACACCTACTCTACACATTTTTTTGGTGATTCTTGTAGTTTTTTCTGTATCTACGTATGGTTTTAATGATTGGTTTTTACTCATTTTTTATCCTTTTCCTCCTCTCGTTGTTCCTTTAAAAAAAGTTTAGTTTGTAAAAGAGGTTCCTGTTTTAAGTATATGACACCATGTTATGCATTGAATCAATCTGCTCTTAACATCCAAACAATTGAGGTTGCGTAGAAGCCAATGGCCTGATATTTGTTTTGATTGCTGATTTACAACATCTGGTACGTAGACTGAGTCCGGAAAGGTAAATGCCCTAAGCACGGAAATATAAAAGTTAAATGTAACCAATTTTTATGGAATTATGTTAAGTATATTTCAATTTGATAAGAATTTCCTGGCATGATTTAATGAATGCTTATTTACAAATGTTATCTCCCTGAAGTTTGTGTTTGATGTGCTTTGATATACTTCCTGAATTAATACACAGTTTATTTGATATTTCTTTGTTGTATATCTAACCTTGATATGCATTTGTAGAGGTCCTCCCTGATGATTGGAATCATGCACCAGACATACGTTCGTTACATTCCCTGGATCGTTCTTTTGTTTTTCCTGGTACCTTTGTCTTTTTTGAACCTCTTGCTTCTGTCAGATTTGCCATGCAGTTGATTTTTATTCATATAGGAGATATGTTTTTGTAACTTGAATGTTGATCTGTTTTTTTCTTCAGGTGAACAAGTTCATATTCTAGCATGCTTATCAGCATGTAATCAGGAAACAGAAATTATTACCCCATTTAAAGTTGCTGCAGTGATGAGTAAAAATGGTAGCGAAAGGGTGCTGAGAAACAAAATGGAAACATGGAGGGTGAGACAAATTCAGTGCCTGTAAGAGGGGAAGTGAGTCCTAATGGTGCAGTAATGGATCAGAATAGTGAAAACTTGGAGATAGATAAGACTGATCCAGCTAAGGATGTCTCTTCTAGTGAATCATTTCTTAGGATGGAAGATCACAGAAGACAGACTGAAATGCTGTTGAAAAGGTTTAAGAACTCTCATTTCTTTGTCAGGATTGCAGAGTCAGGTGAGCCTCTATGGTCCAAAAAAGGTGCTTCTCAGACAGCTCCTGAGTCGTCTGAGTTGGATACCCATCGGGCTGTCGCAAATGAATCCAAAAACACTGCCAAGAATATATCTAGACAACATGCAGTTATTGATAGAGGAAATTTTGATGCCAATGTTTCTGGTGGAGTAGCTAGAGATGGTGTTAAGTGTTGCTCTCTTTCCAATGGAGACATAGTGGTAAGCACAACAGAAACTACATTGTTAATTATATATTGTTGTTTTCCTATTTGCTTTGACTTTGGATAAATGCTGGAGACATATTTGCATTTATTTTCTTGGCTGACAGGTAGCAAGTTAATTGTTTCCATTTTTCATGCAAATGAGTTATTATGGTAACTGCTTATATTTCTGTCTGATTATGCTGGATGTGTTATGGTGAACCTTGTAAACATTCAGTTGGTGTAGTAATTGCAGTGTGTTTTGAATTGCTGACTTGCATGTGGATGACATGCCAGGGGGCAGGGACAAAGACAAGGAATGCACTCTCTGTGACTCGCCTCTTGCCTCTTGCCTCTAAACCATTGTCCAACCCCTCACTGTCAAAGACTGGAAAGAATCCAACTCCCTATCCCAAAAACTGTCCTTTTCCTGACAAGAAATCTTTTAATTACAAAAAGCTACATTCATCTGGATTTTCCAGGAAACTAAACAGAAAAAATGGAAAAAGATGGGGGGGGGGGGGGGAGAATAGAGAGATTTTGAAGCAAAGTTGTTGAAGATTGAAGATTGAGCAATCTGATGATCTTGTAGAACTCCTTGCCTCAATCTTTCATGGATCTTTGCTAGAGGGAGATATCAAGATTTGGCTTGCTGGTGCAATTTTGGAATTGTGTTAAGGAACGTGCAGATGATTTTGATGGAGAATAATGATCAGACAACGTTGTTTGCACCCGCAAAAAGAATCCTGATTGATTAATTATTGACCTTGGGAACTAGCCTGTAGTTAAAGGTTGAGTTCTTGGACGGTATTGTGAGAAATGGCAGGTAACTTGGAGAAGTATAAAGAGTAATTTCAGGTAGAATAAGAATCTTTCATAACATTGCTGGAGAGAGGTGAAGATGGAAAATGGTTTTATCAGTTTAGGACTATGTTTTTCCACACTCAATATCTTGTTAGAAATCTGGGGCATTCAGCAATGCACTTCCTACCATGTCATTTGGAGGCTTGCTTATGAGGCTCCTGCTAGGCAACCTAAAAGACATTACTGCTCATGTAAACTGGATTTGATGGAATTATATTTTTAGTATGCTACATATTGCAACCTCGCCACTGGCTTGTTCTTGTTCCTAGGCTTTTTTCCAAGTTTACTGGAGGAAGCCTATCTGGATTGTAAACTGTTTTAAGTTAACTATTATCTTTCTCTGGTTCTGCAATTGATTGCAGAAGCTTTTAGATGCAATTCTTCTCTTTTGTTTTAATTGGCATATTAACTTTAGTATTATTTAATGCCTTGCTGGGTGACTTGTTGATTCAGAGTACTGATCCTCATTCTATTTCTCTGTTTGGAAGGATGCAGGTACTTTTACAAGTGAATGTTGGTGTTGATTTTCTGAGAGATCCTGTCATTGAAATTCTTCAGTTTGAGAAATATCAGGACAGAAATCTGTCTTCTGAGAATCAGGACAACTTTGTTTATGCAAATCAAGATCCATGTGGAGAACTGTTGAAATGGTTGCTTCCTCTGGATAATACTCTTCCTCCCCCTCATACTTTATCTCCTCCACCACCTTTAGGTTCTGGTTCTGGAATTAGTAGCACATCTCAGAGGTCTGCCTTTTCTGCCTCCTCTGGCTCTCAGCTCTTTTCATTTAGTCATTTTAGAAGTTACTCCATGTCATCGCTTCCTCAAAATGTTGCAACTCCTCCTGGACCTGTTAAAGCCCAAAGTTCTAAACCATCATTTGACCTTGATGAGGTGGATCATTCCTCTTCTCAGAAGAATTTCAAGAGTCAAAGAACAGGGACTGGTGAACTTTTATCTTTTCGGGGTGTGTCACTAGAGCGAGAAAGATTTTCTGTCTGTTGTGGATTAGAAGGGATCCATATCCCAGGAAGAAGATGGAGGAGGAAACTTCAAATAATTCAACCTATTGAGATCCATTCTAATGCTGCTGACTGCAATACAGACAACCTTCTTTGTGTTCAGATAAAGGTACACCTTAACGTTCACTATTCCTGATAAATCACAAATACTTTTCTTCCACTCTCCATGGACATTGTCACTAGGATCTTTTATTCATTTCTGAAGTTATTTTGCAGAATGTTTCTCCAGCACATTTACCAGATATTGTAGTATACATAGATGCTATAACAGTTGTTTTGGAAGAGGCTTCTAAAGGTGGACCACCTGCTTCCCTACCAATTGCATGTATTGAAGCTGGAGAAGACCATAGTTTGCCAAATCTAGCTCTCAGGTTGTTTTCACTCTAGGTCCCTTAATTTACTTGTAATTGTTTTTGACGTTTAGCATTTTAGCATGATGAGTAAGGTATCCACCCAAAAAAAGAAAAATATATTCATCTTTTGTTTCTGTATCAGACATGCTTGCTTAGATGTATGGCATAATGTCACTAGTACATTTTCAATGATTGACAAAACCAAATTGTTGCAGAATATTAAATAGTAAATTAACAAAAAACCCTTGCATACATGAGGACTGCGTTTAAATGGTATACATTTATTTGACCATTATCTAATATCTTGAAATGTGTTTGGAATTAAAGTTTAGCTGAGTTATATCTACAGCCATCTTATGGTGCTGTAGAAGTGGGAAGAGTTGTGTATCCTCATGAGCTTATTGATGGTTTTGTCGCAGGAGGGGTGAAGAGCACTCTTTTATTTTAAAACCTGCTTCTTCTATGTGGAGGGACCTCAAGACTTATGGAGAACAGTCTAAATCATCCAGTTTGCAACCCCCTTCCAAGACTTTCGATAGAAAGGGGAGTGCTTCAATTGTTAACCACTATGCAGTTATGGTATCATGCCGTTGCAACCACACTGGTATGTACATTTCTCTTAGTTTACAGTATCATCTGGCGAATTTCGTGTTAACTACATGTTCTAACTATTAACATAGCAATTTCTTTTGTTAAATGTAGAGTCAAGATTGTTTTTCAAGCAGTCAACAAGTTGGAGACCGCGAATTCCAAGGGATCTCATGATCTCAGTTGCATCCGAGATGTCAGGACAGTATTCTGGACCTAATGAAGGAGTCACTCAGCTTCCAGTTCAGGTATTGTACAATTTGATTCTCTATCTTTCTTGCTTGCAAACGAGTCATTTATCTAACTATGACTATTCTTATTCAACTGGTATGATTGTCAGGTCTTAACTCTTCAGGCTTCAAATCTGACACCTGAAGATCTAACTATGACAGTTCTTGCTCCAGCCTCCTTTACATCACCTCCATCTGTGGTATCATTGAATTCGTCTCCGACATCACCAATGAGCCCATTTGTTGGTTTTTCTGAGCTTGCAGGGAAAGCAAGTAGTGAGAGGTGCAGTAGTGCAGTGTACAGACTCAGCTCAATGCCTACTATATCAGAGAATCAGAAACAGAATGGTGATGCTGGGGCAAGGTTTACTTCTCTCGATGAGCATTTGACTTCAATAGCTGATTTCATTCCAACTTCTGGTTTGGGATGTTCTCATCTCTGGCTGCAGAGTAGAGTACCACTAGGGTAATGCATCATCTTTTGTAATATTGATTCTAATTGTGAATATACAAATGGTAACACGGTTCACATTGATTGCTTCAGATGTGTTCCTGCTCAATCTACGGCTACCGTTAAGCTTGAGCTGCTTCCATTGACTGATGGCATAATCACTCTTGACACTTTACATATTGATGTTAAGGAGAAAGGTATCCATCTGTTCAGTTGTCCCCTTTTATCATTTGCCATGCCTGTATAATTGAACTATGTTAGAAGAAATGTGTAGCTTATGTGTTTTTTATGGGATCTATTTATTGTCGGATAGCTAGCCATGCATTGATCTTGAGCACGTCATATATCCATATTTGACATTGAAATATAACCTTTGCTGAGTGGCACAAAAATGCATGCCTTTTCTGGATGACATTGTTTTTTAATTCTCTCCTCACCAACCGTTAATGTAGTTTTGTAATTTATGTGTACATTGTCTCTAGCACATTTTGCAGGTTTGTTCATTTTATAGTTCTTTATTCAGTAAAATGTTACACTTTCTTCTGGACATCATCAAATGTAATGCTTAAGGTCTATCAGAAAGCTAAATTTTTATGGTGAATTCATTTTGGTGCAACAGGTCTTACATATATCCCTGAGCACTCACTGAAGATAAATGCGACTTCTAGTGTTTCCACAGGGATTATTTAGGATGGATTGCAACTTGTGTTTCTTACTTCATGTTATCTTTAGCCATCAAGGATTTCAAAATGTCATTCATTCTGTTATCCAATATTGGGCTTCTGGTGCTGTATCGTGCAGAATCTTTGGTAGCAAGGTAGATATCTTCCTGTGTTGAGCAGAAAAGGAATCGTCTTACTGATTCGTCTGAAAAATACGGCCACAAATGATTTCTTGTAAACTGCAGTCTTGAGAATGGCATTTGTTATATACCCCCTTTGATGGGGAAATAAATGTTCTTTGTAGATGAATCTAGAGGTGTGAAACTGTATCAGTTGCAAAGAAATTACAAGACTTGTGTACTTTATAGGTAATCAGGCAACACAAACCTTGTTAGGATTCAAAGACAGCCATGTTACACTTCCAATATAGTGAATTTGTACTCCTCTGATACAATGATTGTTATAACTCATTGCCATGGCAGCAACCCTAGTTCATGAATAGCTCAAATGGCTCGAAGTTTGCTGGTCAAGAAGACCAGTACTGGTTGTGATGCTGGTATTTTTTACAATGAATTGTTTATGATCGATAAGAGAAAAGCAAGCTACGTTATTTCTGTAATGCATTTATCGTTTTGATTATTGGTCATGGAATTCAGACTTCAAACTTCTGTATCCCACTGTTCTAATTTGCATTATTCCTTTTCCTGTTCATACTGTGGTTTTCGAATATGTAGGATCTGGTGAGGGGCAGGAGAATATCATTAACATCAAGCTTAGCCTGAGGTTTGCAGAGCTTGGGTTTCAATCCAGGCTTGAAGCTGATGCCAATGAGCTGCCGAGTGTGAACTGTGAAGTATTTAAGCTTTAATCTTGATTTGACATATATTACTAACAGTTTTTCATTTCATTTGGAAACTAGCTTTGTTTCAGGAGCAAGATAGCCTATAAGGAGTAGATTGCAGTAAAAGGATAGATGAGATAGTTCCTAAGAAAAAGAAAATCTACTTAGTTGAAAATTTGACAAAATTAAATCCTGTTAGGTAGGTTCACCAGCCAATATTGGTGCTGGAATGCTGAATTGTTGATGGCGACATAGATTCAAAGTCAAAAGAAAAGAGCAATTCCTTGAAAAAGGAAACCAACTCCAAGCACAGGTCTGGCTGCCTGGACTACCTACACTTTTAAACTCTTTCTATTTAGTTCTCACTTGTCAGATATGTACTAATAGTACCATGGAGTGAAGGACAGCTCCTCAGGTTTAATGATCTTGTGGTATAATTCAACACATTCTCCTCTTTCCACTCTGTTTACTTGGAAAAGCAAAAGAAATCTTAACCAGGGTTTCAACTTATATTATATATGTAGGCAATCTGACTTAGCAAACTTTATGTTTAGATATGTAAATTTTTTACAATGGGTTTTACAGGAAAATGTCAGTTAGTGTTGAAATTTTCCTTCAAAGAACAAAGTAATGACTAATATCTTTTACTGTAGTGAATAATGAAATTATGAATGGATGTTTAGTACACTAATCAGTAATTACTGATTGGTAAATTTAAACTGAAAGTTTTTTTTTTGTGAAATAAAATAGGTGAAAATGGATTAAAAACAAAACAAAAAAAGGATAGAGAAGCATGGATTTCAAAGTGACGCGCGCGTAGGCGTCCGCCCACCGAAAATGAACACGTCACCACCCAAGTAGGTCCCACTCTTTTTTCCATCTCTGCCCGAACCACCCCGCCTCTCATCTCGCACAACGTACAATCCCTCTAAAGCCTGTACGGTATTATCTCTCTCACAGGGCACTTCCTGCCCCTTTTCTCCGGGCAGCCCCCCCATTTCGCTTTTTCTTCTGGTCTTTGATTCGATTAGAATAAAAGAATAAAAACAAAAAAAATAACAGAAGAGAATCAATTATAGCAAGGGAACTAGAGCGAAGTGTATACTACCATGGTTTCCTTTTTTTTTTTTTTTTGCTTTAAAAACTTTTAAACTATTTTAGCTCTGTATTTCGCTTATGTGTAATAATTTTTTAGAGAGAGAGTACATTTTCTTGCTTTCAACTTCCAATTGAGATTATTAATTCGATCTCCTAAAATAAAGAACCGAAAAATAAAAAAAAAGAAACCAACTTGTTTTCCCTTAAGCATTTCCAGACTCCATAAACATTCTACTCTTTTGTTTTTTTTTTTTTCTACTTAATTTTGGTCTGGGTCTTTCCACCATTGGGTTTCTCTAGTTTTAGCTTTTTCAGGCTTTGGTTTTTTAAAGTGGGGTTTTGGTTATTAACATTACTAAATTTGGGTTCTTTTAGTTTTGGAGGGTTTTTAATGGTATGAAAAATTGTTAGGGTTAGAAGAAGAGAGAAGAAAATGGGATTAGGTTCTGAGGAAGGAAAGGTGAAGTCTTCGGATATGTGCAAATCAAAGGTAAGGAAGAAGAAGAAGAAAAACAGTGAAAAAGAAGGTCTTGATGATGAAGCTGTGGTGGAAGAAACAGGGTGTTGGGTTAAGTTAAGGTTTATTGGAAGCTGCATTTCTTCAAGATCCAAAGTTGATAGTTCTGTTAGTGGTACTAGCACCCGTTATGGTAATTTTTCTTTGTTTCTTCCTAAACGTTACTCCTTTTTTGCGCTCTGCTATTAAATTGTTGAACTTTTTTTTTTTTTTTTTTCTCTTTGGCATGTTTTACTGGATGAAACGATATGTTTATTGTTTTGATCATTTATTGATGTGAATGTTCTGTTGCTATTTTGTAAGTACTTTGGAGATGATAATAGAGAAGCTAATTTAGCTTGGTTTAGCTTGTAAGATGCTGCATCCAGCTTAAGGAATAATAATTCAAGTTTATTTTTCACTATTTATGATTGGTGTCGATTAGTAGATTTTAATGAGGTATCTGTCTTTCGAAAATGGGAACATATATATTTTTTGGAATTCTTTTTCAATCCAATGAGAGTTTAACCACCCCAACCTTGAGCTTTTTAAATATTACGAGCTGTGGAAGTTACTGTCCTAAATCATTTTGAACCCTTGTTCTCGTGAGGGACGGACACAGAGTGGTTTAATGTGAAGACTGAAGAATGCCACTATGCCTTGTGTCAAGCATTTACATACTTGCTCAACTAGTTGCCTGTTTCTTTTTGTCTTACATTCTTTTTTCTTTCATATCTTTGCATTCTTAACTTGATTTATAGTCGTTGCTTCCATTTTGATACGTGGAAATACTAGGTCTGGAAACATTGTGAAAACTCTTGTTTAGTGCTAGAACTGATTATCTGCCACAATTAATTTCTTTCATATGGTAGCTATTATTGTTTTAGAGGCTGGGGAAGGAAATCAGTTGCTGGCTGGAGAAATTGAAATATGGCTTTTGTCCAGACTTAATTTAGGTGGTTTGAGTAACTTATTGATGCTGAACTCTCATGCATGATAGCAGCTAATCGATGCTTATATTAAGAAACAAGAACGATGAGAAATAAGAAGTGAAAGGAAACCGCCTTCTGCTATCAATCCTTTAAGGAATTAATTAATAACTGGATGTGTAATATTTGAAATAAGTATAGGATTAGCAATTATGCATTTAAAAAAAAAATTTACAACGAGAAAAATGCTTGTTCTCTCTCGTCTCCATTGAAGAGTAGGTTGTTCTTATTTGGTAGCCATTATGGGCTACACTAGTGACAATAGGCCACTAACAACATGTTGAATGTAGTAAGGCCATGTTTGAAGCAGTGCCAATAGCATATAATTCATTGCTGTTATTTTAAAAGAAGTTTGCCACCAAACTTTTTGGCAGTTTGTCTGAGTATGTATATTTGAACAGCTGGTAGTGGAATTTAGGTTTGTCAGTGCTGGTGTGCCTCATAGGTTGGCTTTTTGAGCACTAAATATAATTTGTATGAATATAGGTTAACTTTACTCTTCATTGACCGTCTTGTGTCTCTATTTTCCTCTCAAAAGTTTTTACAGTCCATTGTGTATTGTTGGAGTATGGTTGAAACAATCCTCTTTAACAATTTGTACTTATTGCTTCAATTTAAATTATTTTGAGAAAGTTATAGATGAAGTAATAGCAGTGGTGATGCCATTGAGGAGAAAGAGATAATGTGAAATATCTGGAGAAACTGAAAGATGTTTACAATCATATACTTAAGAATGGATGACAGTATTAGCATTCTAATCCTGCTGGAACTCATGTAGAAAAGGTAGAAGGTGTGGCAACTCAAGTTCCACAATGCCTACCCCAAATTCCCCCTCCTCCCCTACGTTATGTTTTTCCTTGTCAAGACATATATGATTTTAGCTTGTAACATGTTAAATCTGTGCATTTATGAACAGATAACAAATCTGCCAATGATACCAGTAGAGATCAACCGGCAGCTGCAGTTGTCTCATCTACAACCACTAGCAATACAGAAAGTAATTCATCCACTTCCAAACTTGAAGATGAGCTTAAAGTCGCATCTCGGTTACGGAAGTTCACATTTAACGATCTAAAGTTGGCAACAAGAAACTTCAGACCTGAGAGTCTCCTTGGTGAAGGTGGTTTTGGTTGTGTTTTCAAGGGGTGGATCGAAGAAAATGGAACTGCTCCAGTTAAACCAGGCACTGGGCTTACTGTTGCTGTTAAAACACTCAACCATGATGGCCTCCAGGGTCACAAAGAATGGCTGGTTTACACCTTTCCTCGGCGTTTCTGCTCTACTCACTATTTCATATCAGTGACTCACCTTTTCCTTCTGTTATTCTTCTGAATATTTGATCTTTTGTTAATTCTTGGATCATCTATTTGGCAGGCCGAAGTGAATTTTCTTGGTGATCTCATCCATCCTAACTTGGTTAAACTTGTTGGTTATTGCATTGAAGATGATCAGAGACTGCTAGTGTATGAGTTTATGCCTCGAGGAAGCTTGGAGAACCACCTCTTCAGAAGTATGTAGCTGCTATTTTGTATATGAATGATTTTTTTCACTTCAGAATGTTCAGTACAAAATTTTGTATAGTTGGATTTCAGTCAGTTTCTTTATATATCTTCTAGGGGATTTGAGTTAGTACAAATTTCATCTCTTTTGCAGATGGCTGATTTTAGATTGGAGTTCCAAAAATAGCGAATCTGCTATCTACTTTAGAAAATGCTGACCCCTTAGATTGGAGTTGTGTTACTGCTCACCCTTGATAGATTACTAATTTATTATAGCTGTATTCTCTGAATAAGGGTTTTATGTTTACAAATAACATTGTAACACAGTTTGTTGCAAATTATGGTTTATGTAGGATCCTTGCCCCTTCCTTGGTCCATAAGGATGAAAATTGCTCTAGGTGCTGCGAAAGGTCTTGCATTTCTTCATGAAGAGGCAGAAAGACCTGTGATATATCGGGATTTCAAAACCTCTAATATCCTACTAGATGCAGTATGTGCGGAAAACTTTACCTCAATAAAATTCTGTTTAACCAAAAAAAATCAAGAATTTTTTTCTGTGGAATGGCCTACTTGTTCTAATAATATGCCATTGCAGGACTATAATGCAAAGCTTTCTGATTTTGGACTTGCTAAAGATGGTCCTGAGGGAGACAAAACCCATGTATCAACCCGTGTGATGGGAACATATGGCTATGCAGCCCCAGAATACGTAATGACTGGTAAGCTTTAATAGAATGGAGATACTTGTTTAAGGTTGCCACTTTACCCCTCCCTTCCCTCATATGCCCTCAGCTTTATACTTGACAGTTAAAAGATTTGCAAGGTAGCTTTAACTTTGTTTATCTGCTTTATTTATATTTTCTTCTTCATCTCAACAATATGCAGTATTCCTCTTTATTGTGGATGAGCAGGATTTTGTAACTATTCATGCAAATATATCTCCCAATGGAGGTTAAAAAAGGATGGTCCATGACCTTTTCTAATTGTTCTCGTGAGCTGATATCTTTTAGTTTTACCCTTTCTTTCGCCTATAACAAATGAATGTTCCAATCTATGAAGCATGTTTTGATGCTTTCCAATGAAAGACATGAGACACTTGGGCACATACCTGACTCTAATCATTATTGGGTTTTATATATCTTACATAACCTTTTAGGGGCCATTGTCAAGTTCAATAGTAAAAATTTTAGAGGTGCCACTTGTAACTGTGTATTCAAATCCTTACCTCCTTGAGACAGGCAGTTACAGAAAACTGGAAACCGTGTCAGATGCAGATACTTATTGCAATATCCCACTATTTTGCTATGTAACTACTGGTAGAATGCCTTTGGATGCTCTTTTAATGGGATCACAAGCTGCAGGCCTTTCCATCCCATTGAATTGGTATTCATATAACTGGAGTGGTGGCAGTTTGAGTTTAAGACATCAGTTGATTATTTAAGATATTTTTCAAGAAAAGTTGCCGCATTACCTGGTATTGTTTATGTGGGTTCATGCAATCCTTTTCTTTGATGACCTCTAAAATTTCTTTTCCTTTATGGGTTTATCTTAATGCATATTTTCGACCTGATCTCCTAATTTGGAGATGACAAGGAATGCTTATCTGTATGGAAAACAGCACTTCATTTTGTTTTTCCTCTTCTTTGAGTCTAATCAAATGAACATAATTCTATCTCAGGACATCTTACATCAAGAAGTGATGTTTACAGTTTTGGTGTGGTTCTACTCGAAATGTTGACTGGTAGAAGATCCATGGACAAAAACCGACCTAACGGAGAACATAATCTTGTAGAATGGGCTCGGCCTTATCTTAGAGAGAGAAGAAGATTCTATAGATTGATCGACCCTAGGCTTGAAGGTCACTTTTCAATTAAAGGTGCTCAGAAAGCTGCACAGATGGCTGCTCACTGTCTTAGCCGTGATCCGAAAGCTAGACCTTTAATGAGTGAAGTGGTGGAAGCCTTGAAGCCTCTACCAAATCTCAAGGACATGGCAAGCTCATCATATTATTTCCAGACAATGCAAGCAGAACGGGTAGGGTCGAGCCCAAATGCTAGAAATGGTATCCGAACTCAAGCTGGATTACTTTCAAGGAATGGGCACAGAAGCCTTTCCATTCCCAATGGTTCCCATGCTTCTCCCTATCACCATCAGTATCCCTATCAATCACCAAAACCCAATGGTAAACCATAAAGTTGGGTACTTAATTATCCTTTCCCCTAACCTCTTCTCATAATTTATTTCTCCCCCCCCCCCCCCCCCCCTTTTTCTCTTGGTATAGTCTACAGATGTATTCTGTCAAGGCATTTGTTCCCAGACAATGGAAAAAGTAACAGAGAAACATGTTTGCTTTATGTTATGTTTAGGATGTTAGCCTCCCAGCAGGATAGTCAGGGCTGGTGAAGCTTATGGAGCAAAATTCCATGTTAATCATCTGTTGCTTTAATCTATTTGAAAATATAAAAGATTAGCTTTCTGTTCTCCTTCCTCTGATATATGCAAGGGCTGAAAGAGTTGCCTCTTTCTTTTGATGAGTAGCCTTTGTCCTGAGCAACTCTTTAGAAATTATTCTCATTTAAATGAATTCATATAATGGAATTTAAGAATAAGTCTATCTGATATGATTAGTGATTCAATATAGACAATAATTCAAAGGATAATCTTTATTCCTTTGAATAAAGAAGTGGATGTCTTGTCCAAAACAAAAGCACACTCAAATGGCCAAAGAAGTGGATGTCCTGTCCAAAACAAAATCTTGAGACTTTATACATTTGTGAAGCAAAAAGATATAAGAATAATATAACAAAAAGAGTTATAAAAGAGAAAAAGAATTTGTGAAGCAAAAAAAATTAGTAGATGATATCATGGGTTGACAACTACACTCATAATTTAACTTTTGACATTATTATTTAATTAAAAAAAAAAACCCACGCACACACACGCGAAAAGTCTCCATCAGATTTAAAAAAGGGCTCAGCGTCCAGCGGTTCACCCGGCACGTATTGAGAAGAGGAGTAACAACTTGGTAATTCCTCCGTTGGCTTTATCCAGACGACAGCGACAATTCTTATAGCTTTTATTACTCAACCACTGAAACTGACAAAACCGGTATGGTTAGGCAACAAAAGACTTTTCGCCTCTTATCCTATCCCATTGTTTCCTCGCAGCATTTTCTTATTATACGGCGTCGTTTTCCTTCCAAAGTGCTTACTGTTACTATTACCGTATTACTAGTATTTGATTTCATTACTTGCCAGCCGTTTCTTTCCACTTCCAACTCCTGACTTCTCTCTTTCTCTGAATCTTCAATTCTCTTAGGTAAGCCAATGTCTTCTTCTTTCTTCATTTTGATTTTTTTTTGGGTTCTTGAAGTAATGCAATTCTCGTGATTATAGCTACAATTTTCCTCTTTTACTTTGTTTTCTTTTTCTTTTTTCCGTTTTTAATTTCCCCTGTGATTTCGTTAGCTTAGTTTTATTTATTTTGATAACGAAATAGCGAGGTTTCGCCAGTATTGCTTGGAACGCCTCGAATTTATTTACGAGTTCACTCGATTTCTAAGTTTTCTGCCGTTGATTTTGAATCTAACAATAAAAAAATCATGATTTCCTTTTTTCAAAGTGGATTTTTTTTTTGTCTTTTGTAGATATATAATAAAAACAATATTTTAATGACAATAGTTTCCTTTTTTTTTCTTCTCTGTTTATCTATTTATTTAGGCCTTTTAGGATTCTACTATGGAATCTTCTTTATACTTTAAAAAATTAAAGGTCGTAGGCAGAGTAGCTCTGACTTCTCAGGCCGGAGCTGTATAAACAAATAGGTTCATAGTTTCCAAGGAACACAACTATTGCTGACTGGTTTTATTTGGTGCATAGATTATCTGCTTCCTTAGTTATGGTAAGCATCAAACTGATTAGTTCAATGAGAAGGGCTGAATTGTTTTGCTTTGCTTCATAATTGTATATAAATTAGAGAACGTGTCTTATTCAAGGTAGAAAATTCAACAGAGTGTGGGTTTCTTTTCAATTTTATCTTTAAGAACATATTGGTGCTCTTTAGAATACGAAACCTCAACTATAACTGGTAACAATTGTCTTAACACTGGTGTCATGTATTTGTTTTTATGGTGGATGTTAAATGTTAGTATGAGTTTATTCTATCAAGGACTTATTGGAATAGCTTATTCAGTTTTCTATGAATTGGACACAAATTGTGTATAAACGAAAGATTGACTGTTGTCGACTATTTTTAGTATCTGAAAAAGATTTGTTATGTTTTTATTTGGTGCATAGTTTATCTGCTTCCTTAATTATTAGAAATATTCAAACTGACTAGTTCAATGAAAAGGGCTGAATTATATTTTCTTTGCTTCATAATTGTATATAAATTAGAGAATGCATCATATTCAAGGTAGAAAAATTCAACGAAACTATATGCTTCCTTAATTATAGTAATATTCAAGCTGATTACTTAAATGAAAAGGGCTGAATTGTATTTTCTTTGCTTCATTATTGTATATAAATTGGAGAACGAGTCATATTGAAGGTTGCAAAATTCAATGAAAGTTTCTTTCTTTTGTTCTTTTCTTTTCAGTTTTATCTTTGCCGACATATTGGTGCTCTTTTGATCTGAAAACTTCAACTACAACCGGCAACAACTGTCTTAAAATTGGTATTATGTATTTGTTTATTATGGTGGATGTGAAATGTTAGTATGAGTTTCTTCTATCATGTCTCTGTTGTGTATATAAAGGACTTATTGGAATAACTTATTCAGTTTTATACGAATTTGGACATAAAATGTGTGTAAAAGAAAGATCGATTGTTATGCATTTTTTGGATGTGAATTTAATGTTTTGATTGAAGGCTGTGTATGCTTGTTGATGTTGGAATAATTGATTTTGATCAGAAAATGGGGCAAGCTCTTGGGTGTATTCAAGTGGAGCAGTCAACTGTAGCTATAACGGAAACCTTTGGGAAGTTTGATGATGTGCTTGGTCCTGGTTGTCATTGTTTGCCTTGGTGTTTGGGAAAACAGGCAGCTGGTACTCTCTCCTTGCGTGTGCAGCAATTGGATGTTCGATGTGAAACAAAAACCAAGGTTTGTTGCATTATTGATATCCGCATGACAATATTTTGAATTTTTCAATCCCAATTAGCTGTTGCTGCCCTCCCCCCCCCCCCCAAAAAAAAAAAAAAAAAAACCCAATAGCTGTTATTGAAATTTGGGGTCACAGTATGTGTATTGGATATAATGCTTCTCATAAGGGGGGAAAAGGGAATGAGTCACTAGTAATGGAAGTTTTAAATTTCATTCTTTGGAATATATAAAGAGAAAGGTCTAATCAGTTTGATAATGGCATTTAGAACACTGAATTATTTTTTGAGCATTAAGTTTTTTTTCCCATCTGATTTATTCTTTTATTTATTTTCTGAGGGATTGAAACAAAAACAGTTATTATAAATTGATTTGAGATATTTTATTATAAAAGGTTGTGAGAAACACTGTTGGATGAGGTTGATGCTATAGTTGGTTATGTGCTCTTTTAAGTGGAAAGCATGTGATTTTCAGTCTAGACCTCCATCAATTATTACAGCTGATTCTAATCTTGTATAATGTCTTCAGGATAACGTGTTTGTTAATGTGGTAGCTTCAATTCAGTACCGAGCCTTAGCAGATAAGGCTCAAGACGCTTTCTATAAGCTCAGCAATACCAGATCCCAGATCCAATCCTATGTCTTTGATGGTATGTATGTTTTAACTTTACCTTACTTTGCGTAGAAACTTGAATCATGGCTGCTCTGGTCATATATTTTTTTTAATGTCTAATATGTACAATGTGCTTATTTTAAGTTTATTGACAATTATTGCAACTGACATGTTTGTGAAAATGCCTCCTGAATAGCATTGCTTTGTTGGAGTGTGGAATGCCTTCATGGTTTGTTTAGTGTTAGGGGGTTAATTTTAGGACGCTGGTATAGAATATGGGGTGTGGGTCTCAAATAGTTTTCTAGTGTGCTTCTATTGGTTCTTCCTTTTGAATGAAGTTTGATGTTAAATTACATTAATAAAATCTCTTCTAACTTAAAAAAAATTTATTGCAATTGATGCCCTTGATTTTGCATGTTTTATTTCCCACTATGATATGGTTTTGGATGAAAGTGGCTTAACTACGGGATATCACGATATGGTTTCATGGATTTTGGAAATTTGAATGTTTTCCACCACCTATGAAGCACGGAGACGGACACAGTCATAGACATGGACATGTAATACGGGTATGACATGATACGAATATGGCGACATGGCAGTTTCTAAAAAATGAGGACGCCGATATGGCAAGACATGGCAATAAAAAATATTTTTTATATATTATAATTATTAGTTAAAAATATATGGTAGATATTGGGCTGATTTTTAAAAGATGTTTACCCTTGTGAAAAAAAATTGATGATAGACTCAACAATAAAAGACCGTATGGTCTCATTATCCACACGAGAATTGTTTTTTTCTTCTTTTTAATCTTCTTTGTCGTATCTGGCTAAGTTCAACACGTATTTCAATATGTCACAAGCATCAAAGTATCGGACACAGATATGACATGGGTACACGAGGGGTTGAGAAGTGTCTTTGCTTCATAGTCTACCACTAACTTCATCATCAATCATTCTCCGTAATCATGAGGCATCCAATCTTTATAAGCATTGGATGATTATGAAGAATCCAGCTGCTGATATTGCAGCTGGTGAAGTATTTCAATAAGGATTTCCTCAATTTTTTGAACCTCTGATATGATTCTTCTCTTGACCTGTGTCAGGACTAATCTAAACATCACTTTATTCCTCTCCTGTGCAGGATGTGAATCTTTGAATTATTTCTCTCTTTAAAAAAAAAACCATCCTCATCTTTTCAGTCTTGAGGATTGTGAATTTTTTGAATAATTAATCTGCGCTTTGAACCATATGCAATCTGTATTTATATTTGATCATGTCAACTCATACTGTAGCTGGTCACACTTCGAGTCGTTATGTTTATAGATCACAGTTCTGAGGATTAACTAATGGAATATATTTTTTGTTTAGTTATTCGGGCAAGTGTTCCTAAGTTGGAGCTGGATGCAGTATTTGAGCAGAAGAATGATATAGCGAAAGCCGTGGAAGAGGAACTTGAAAAGGTATTGCTCTGTCTAGTCTGTTGTTTTAGGATTAATCAAGGTTGTCCAGACTAAAACATACCGGCTATTTTGGATCTTTAGGCCATGTCACATTATGGGTTTGAGATAGTTCAGACTCTTATTGTGGATATTGAACCAGACGAGCATGTAAAGAGGGCAATGAATGAGATAAATGCAGGTATAATATTCAAAATTTTATGAATTAGAATCTTGTATTTGTTTTGCTGCTTTATTTGGCTCCCTTGCTTATATTTTATTGGAACTTTACCCTGTTAGTCAATGTTTGGTGTCCTATCTAGCCTTAAAATCTTCATAAAGAGCTACCTGTGCCCCAAATGAAGAAATTAAGTTCGAATGCTTTAGCTTGTTTAACATAAATTTTGTCTATAGGTCTGATATTTGTTTACTTGTAATAAATAGCTGCTAGATTGAGGGTGGCTGCCAATGAGAAGGCTGAAGCAGAGAAGATATTGCAGATCAAGCGAGCAGAAGGAGACGCTGAGTCAAAGTATCTGGCTGGGCTTGGTATAGCTCGGCAGCGGCAGGCTATTGTTGATGGACTTAGGGACAGCGTTCTGGCCTTTTCTGTGAATGTACCTGGCACAACATCAAAGGATGTCTTGGACATGGTTCTTGTGACACAATACTTCGACACAATGAAGGAGATCGGTGCGTCATCAAAATCCAACTCTGTTTTCATCCCACATGGGCCAGGTGCTGTAAGAGATATTGCTACTCAAATCAGGGATGGTCTTCTTCAAGCGAGAACCACCGAATAGCCTCAAGTTTGGACAGCCCATCTATCCTGCTTTATCAACCCCCCCCCCCCCCCTCTCCCTATAAAAAGAAACAAAACTTCACTCCTATATACTATCAACAGTATTTTGAGTCTTTCTACTCGATAACAATAGTAGTAATCAAAGATGGTCCAAAAGGTTGTTATCCTTGTTAATAGGTTAAGGTTTAAGGTTTGAATCTTATTTCTAAATCTTGCGACTTTATTGTATGTATGAAAATAGAAGAGCATGTCAGTAGTGGTAGTAGTATATACTCGTTGATAAACTGGGTTTTGAGCTTTGTAATTGTACGCATGGAAGATGTTACAGTGTTTTTTATTGTGTAAAAAAGTTTTAACGGCGTTATTGGTTGCACATACTCTTTTAGAAAATAAATGTTATTGCAGCAAAGGGAGATTGATTCATTGATTGGAACTTTCTGAACGGGGTTGCCGAAGAGGCTTTTCGGTTTTGTTATTGTCCACTGTCCTTATTAATTCTTTGATAAATTATATAATACAGGGTTAGATTTTAAAATGACACTGATTTCTGCTATAACAATTAACAACCTGGGCAAAAAGAATTTTGTTCACAAATCGCATATCAATCGCATGCAAGCAACACTTGTTTCGCAGATGAATGAGATGAATAGAAAACATGAAGCTTGTTCCAACAAAAATGTATGCCATGTGAATTCAACAAAACATATTGCTAATTTCAGTTTGCCAATCACAATTATTTTCACAATCCATCACCATCAAATCCCTGATAGTAAATTATTTCTCTCCTGGTCTCCACCAATCAAAATCATGGCCTGCCTTCATTCGCATGACAATAATAAATTTCCCTATGGCTTAAGTGCCAAGGCCAGCCCAACTTTAGCACTCTTTTCAATTGCTCTGGTGTCCACCTCTCCCGAGATAGTGAAGAGAGATTTTGGGCGCCATTCATGCTGGATCAGAGCACTTGCTTTGCCATAGTTGTTCACCCGAGCCTTCACTGTGGTCAAGGGGTCAAGAGCATGTTGCGTACCAATTGTTAGTGTGTTCTCCTTACTTGAAAAGCTATGGGTCAGCTCTGCACCAACTGCTGTGTTAGACAACAGGCTAACAATGTGGTAGTAGGAAGCATTAAGGGTGTCACCTTTGTCATTCCTGTAGTTATCAACAACAGTAAAAAAAAGCCTAATCAAAACCAGATGCAAACCAAGTAGAACAATGGAATACATGCACAAGTGACAAAAACCACTCAGGCAAGCCAATAGTTTAACTAATGAACAGCAAGGATCACATAAAGCAATTCAATAGAAGCTCCATATCTGAGAATATGGAAATATGAGTGCATATGAAAATATAGAGACCTATGAAATTTAACCCCAACTCTGCCAATAGAACTACTTACAATGTCAGGGAAGCAATGAGGTCAGAATGGGTGAAATTCAACCCAGCATTCAATTTGATAAAATTCCCACTGGCAGTGTCAAAAGAGAGATCAGTCCCAACAGAGACACAATTGTTTCCAACCACACCAGAGAAGTTAACAAGGGGATTTGCGGTCAATCCAATGCTAGTGCTTATGCCAGCATATTCATGCTGGTATTGCAGCTCCACCTGTTACAACAACAATAATGATCTTGTCACGTCCTCGTGAAACCTAAAAAAAGTTTACTGATGCGAATGGGCAAACATAGCTACAATTTATTACTTAAATAAGGATGCTGAAAATGATGGTATTAACAATTAAAAACTTAATAACAGGAGTAAGGAAGTCCCCATTACCTTGCCAGACCTTTGATCAGGGACAATGAAACTAAAGATTGTCTTCAATCCAGGTGCAGGTTCATCGACAGTAATAGTGGTAAAAAGCTACAAAATTAAAACCAAATAAAAAAAAAAAACCCAATAAGATAATATTTAAGCCAAGACTGAATTCACTATAACAATGAGTAAAAACTGTACAAGATAAAAACATTCCTAACTTTGTATTCATATAATGAGATGGCATGCAACGCTTTTATAAATATGATCTTCAAACATAAAGACTTACCAATTTGTAAAGAAATTTTTTACAACTTACATTAGATTTAGTGTCGATTTTCACATTGGTTGTAATGTTCTTGTTCTTCAGCTCAGTACTTATATCAGCCAAAAGCAATTCACCTTTCTTAGTCCCGGTTGATGTGATTGCCTGACATATATATATGGAATTTCAAAAAACCAGAATATCAACTAGATAAGAAGCTAGCATCTCAAAATGGAAACAATAAGCCAAAACCGTAAATCTCTACATCAATCATAAAATCAGGCATAAAAATATTTATGCAAACATATTTAGCAAAGATATTTCCAAAAAATATCATAAGAAATGTCGTACACTTCCTTTGTTAGTGAGATCATTTTTTTTTCTCACCAAGGGATAATGAAAAGAGTTATAGAATGGATTGCTACCTATGCCTAGTTCATGGATAAATGGCAATTTTATTGATAAGACCTTTTCAATCGTAGCCAATATCTTATTATGAATAATTCCAACAACTTAAGGAGAAAAAGAGGCATTTACTTATTACAGAGATGGTGCAATTTGATTATTATTATTATATTATATTATATTTTACTTTACCACTAGCCAAAAGCATAAAAATAATAAGTAAATAACATTATGAATGGCACACACGTTTCACATAAAAATATAGAAATTCAACAAACATAAATAGATTAATAATGGAAATAACAAACAAACATAAAAATAATAAGTAAATAACATTATGAATGGCACACACGTTTCACATAAAAATCTAGAAATTCAACACACATAAATAGATTAATAATTGAAATAACAAACAAACATAAATAGATTAATAACATTATGAACGGCACACAAGTTTCACATAAAACTCTAGAAATTCAACAAACATAAATAGATTAATAATGAAAATAACAACAATAAATAGATTAATAATGGAAATAACAAATAAGGAACAAATAGGAGAAAAATAAATTACTATATAAAGAGAGTTAAAATATCAATTCATTTATAAAAAAGATTAAAAATAATTTAAAAAGTAAAAAATATTTAAATAACCAAAAATTAAAAAAATACTCACAACTCCATTGGAAGTGTAAGTAGTGACAGTGAACTTGTGGTCGGTCTGATAATCCTTGTAAAGAAGATCTGAATTCAAAACAAAATACTAATAAAAAGCAGTTAAATGAAAAAAAATGAAAATAAAATAACAAATGAGAAATTTTCACCTCTAGCCTTTTTGCCGACATCGGTGTAGAGACCAGGACCTTTTCCCATGCTTTTTTTCCGGAAAAATTGGAGAGTAAAAATGAAAGAAACAAGAGCTGCTTCAAGATACTGACTTTTGCCTGTTTGCAAAAGGCCGGAAGAAAAAAGAACGAATTTATAAAATGAAAAACCCTAATTTTGATAAATATTTGGTAATTATGGACCGTTGATTTGGACTGCAGAAAAATATTCGCTGTTCTTGACATATAAACTCCATGGTTGGTGGGGTATCAAAAATCGAAATTGAGCATATTCGTTTAATCACGTGTTAGTTCCGGAACTCAGGTATTGGCATTTGTATGCGTTTTGGCAAGGCCCTGTTTGCTTTTGGAAGTTTTAAAAATTGGGTCAAATGAGGTTTTGTAAACAAGATTTTGATTTGGTCCAAGCCCACAAGCTTGTTGAAATTTTAGGTCGGGCTAGACACATTTTCAAGGTTTTGATCTTGGCCTAATAGCTTTGTTTACCATTTAGTGTAAATGAAATAAAAATAATTCATAGGCCTCATTGGATAGGAATAGGCTTTGATTTGGTAATTCGTACTTTTGTATTATGCATATTTTGCATCAAATAGTATAAAATACAAATATTATAATATCATAATTTATGTTAATATGTTAAATATAAAATATATATATTATTTTTATCAGACTAAAATATGAGTTTTTATAAAATTTTAAATCTTATTTTTTTTATTTTTTTATATTATTTTGATATCAGTACTTGGATTCTCCCAATAATAAAAAAATATATCATGCTTGAATTTAACTGGGGTTCGCGGTGGTGGAGGAACTGGATCGGAAAAAAGAGGGATTATAGTTGTAAGATATCTAATGAAACCGTCGTTGGAATTGAGATCTCATTCAAAGAGAAAGATATCAAATATCTGGAGTTTCTTTTTGTATATTATATGGATGATTCGATCCGCAAAGATCATGATTGAGAATTGTTTGATCGTCTTATTGTATTTAAAATTATTATATTTAAATAAAATAAATCATGTACATAAAAATATAAATAAAAAGTATGCTACACATATAACCTATTTTTGGCCTTTTGTTCTTAAATATGTATCTTACTCAGGTTGATTTTCTATGCAAATGTGCAGCAATTTTATTTCGATTCATACTTCAACTTATATTTTACTATTTTTCTATAAATTTATTTAGTTTGAAACTTTTACTTTGAGCATTTCTCTTTTTTTTTTTTTTTTTCTAAATTTCAAGTTATATATATTATATATAAAAAATTATCTAATTTACTATTAATAAAATTTTTAAACCACACAAATAAAATTTATTTAATCAGTCTTTCGATGTACGTAAAGATGATGGGAATGGGATGCTCCCCGTGGCAACAGCGCAGGAGTAGGCACTAAGCAGATTTCCAATATTTTCTGTTATATGCCCAAAGTTTGTTTGTGTCAAAAGAAGTAAAGGTTGGAATTGGATATTGTTTGTGTCGAATTTTGATGAGATTATTTTTAAAAAGATAAGAGGGAGAAAAGAACGATACACTAGAGTCTCTTTATGTTTGTATTTTGTGTCGTAAGTTAGAAATTAGAATAAAGAAAATTGAAATTAGAAAATAATAGAGATTTGGACCAAAATGAAATCTAAAATGATAATATTTAAATTTTTATATTTATAAATGAATAATAATAATAATAATATAATTGAATTAATATAATATTAAATATATCAAATTAATTTGATATATCAAATCAATATAAATATTTAAAATATTTTTAATTATTTATTAATAATTTATTATAAAAAAAAAGATCGTAAAGCTTTTTTGACAACTAAATATTTCGACAAATACAAATTCGATTTTTTCAAATCAAAATAAAAAAATTGGATTATAATATATATATATATATATATATATATATATACAATGCACGTGGGACAACATAAAATTTTTCATGTTCATATTACAAAAATATTTTAATTTTAAAATCTTTCATTCATTCTTATTATTTGAAAAAAAAATATATACAATTCAAATTTGATAAAATGGTATGTAACTTTTTAAATTAAAATTTTATGAATAATTTGTAAATTTAATATAAATTATAGTTGAAATTTGCTTTGAGTTTGAAATAAAAAAAACTTATTTTAACCTTTTTAATAAAAAAGTATTATTTTGCACAGAAGAGGGAATAATTCCAGAAAGGGCATAGTTGCTTTAGAACTTACTTTTAGAAAACCATTTTTATATAAGGAAAAAAAAGAAACTGTTTTTAACGTGCTGGAATCTCAAAATCTGAGACAAATTACGTCATAATTGAAGTGGATAAAATTGCATTATTTTAAAATTCCGAAATTCGTGGAGAGCTCACTGATATTTCGTAAAACCCCAACCAAATTACCGATCTTTATTTAACGGAATCAAGAAAAAGAAAGAGAAGAAAAATATTAATAATAATAATAAAAAAATCTAAGAATCCATCATCTCCTCCTCAACTTTCTCATTCATTTGCGAGTTTCTGCAAAAAGTATCTCACAAAATCCACGTCTTTCCATATCAATTGGCGACGAACCATGGCGACCGTTGCCATAGATTCTCTTCTCCAAAACCCTAGGCTACCATCTCGTCCGAAAGCTAAGGTGTTGCTAAAGCCGTCTCGCTCATTGGATTGTTCTCGAAATCGTAAGCTTCTCTTCTCTCGGGCCGCTCGCTTCTGTAGCTCCAAGCCCATCCGGAAGATTCATGTCGTCAAATCCAGCTCCAGTGATACAGCTCTCTTTGACACCTTCGACACCTCTTCTTCAGATGACATCTTGTATAAAGAAACTTTTCCTGTCAAGCGAATTGAAAAGGTGTTTAATATTCAGCTTCGTATATGTATACGTATGTTAAATGCGTTGCTTGATGTGTATTGCATGTTTGCATGTTTCTGTATAGCTTTGATTTTGCTTTTGGTTTCTATTTGGTTGCATGGAAAAATGAAACTTGTTGAATTCAAGTTGATTTCTTTACTCGGATGCTTGGTGGCTGAGAAATTTTGAGGAGAAAAAGATGGATGATTTAAAATTTTGATGTTAGTTTTGTAAATTTGGTTGAACAATGAGGCTTAATTCTATATACAGTAACAATTTATGGGAAATGTTCTGTTTTCAACTCGAACAGAGCTGACTCTTCTGTTTTAATATCTGTTTAACTTTGAAAAAGGAATTATTGAAAAAATTGAATAGAGATATGCGTATTAGGTTTCCGTTTGATTAGATGTTTTCTTATTTTTGAGTGGTTATTTATTTCTTTAATTTGAAATGGTAGGTGGAGGGAAAACTTGTCATCAGGTTGGATCAATCAAAAGATCAGCATAATTGGCAGCTATCAGTAGGATGTAGTCTTCCCGGAAAGTGGATTCTTCATTGGGGAGTTTCTTATCTTGGTGATTTTGGCAGGTTAGCCATGATCTTGACTGTTCGTTGGACTGTTCATTGGATATGTTTGTAGGTTATGTAATTGAATATTATTTGCGCACACAAAGATATTACTTTGCTATTGGGGACTTTTAGTTATCCAAAAGAAAAGGTATTGAGAACTTCTTTTTCTGTGTACTAACGTAAAATTCATCTTTCAAATTTTGCAGTGAATGGGATCAACCACCTAAAGACATGAGACCTCCTGGTTCAGTTCCCATTAGAGTATGTATTGGCTTCTAATTTTTGTATAGAAGGCTGCATTTTTGTTTTGAACATAAATATATGGAGTAATTGTAATCTTTTCAGGACTATGCTATTGAAACTCCCTTGAAGAAACCGTCTGAAGGAGATATGTTTCATGAAGTCAAGATTGATTTTAATCCCAGCAGTGCAATTGCAGCTATACATTTTGTCCTGAAGGTTTGTATTTCCAATACGAAGTGATTGAGAAAATGGTTTTATAGTAGATATGCTAATCATTTAAGACATTAGTCAATCTTGTTATTATATTATCTTGCTTTTTCCTCTCTCTGATATGCGAGATAACATGTTGCTGCAGGATGAAGAAACTGGAGCCTGGTATCAGCACAGAGGTAGGGATTTTAAGGTGCCTCTTGTGGATTACCTTGAGGATGATGGCAATATGGTTGGAGCAAAAAGAGGGTTTGGCATATGGCCAGGTTGCTGAAAGTGTTATAGTCTTTTTTTCCATGATTCTCAGCTTTTACAAGAAATCAGTTTCTGCTATTAATTTAAATTCATTGAGGATAACTTCTTTTTGTTTATACCAAATTCTGGTTTGATAATGCACGCTGGCCACTCCTGATGCAATATATTATAGAACATGAAATCCAGTGGCTTTGTACCGATTAATTAACTTTTATTAAAAAGAGACATTTCCTTAATTTACTGAAAAAGATGGATAGGATAACATCAATAAAATCACTTCATTGTTATCTATCTTGTGTTATTCTAGATGTGGATTAGTAGTTAGCGCAAATTTTATTTTTTGAAAAAAGTTGTTTGCACAATTTATTTCTTCACCCACCTATTCTATTGGTCTGCACCCTGTGCAATCATGACTTAAGGTTAGTGTCTCATAGGTTGAAATATGATTTCTTCCCTAAAACCTCCTAGGTGCAATTAGAAGTCAATATAGAAGAATGAGTCAAGTGGCGTACTTGCCTATAAGTTATAGTATCCCATCTGATCCTAGTTTATGGGTTGGGAATTGGGAATTGGGATGTGGGTCAGGGTGGGAACAGAATGGACTATTTTTCTACCATATCTTTCCTATCCTCTCTGTTCATTGTTTAGTGAGATACTGACACATTTCTTTGGCTTCTCCTGATCCTAGGTGCTCTGGGGCAGTTCTCTAATGTCCTACTTAAAGCAGAAGCATCACATGCTAATGGTCCAAACAGCAACAATGAGTCCAAGGACTCTAAAAATGAGAATAGGCGCCTTGAAGGGTTCTATGAGGAGCAGCCTATTGTAAAAGAAGTTTCAATTGGTAACTTAGTGAGTATTGCTGTTAGGAAGTCTCCTGATACAGCAAAAAATGTTCTGTATATGGAAACTGATATACCTGGAGATGTTGTAGTTCACTGGGGTGTTTGTAGAGATGATGCTAAAACATGGGAAATTCCTGCTGCCCCATATCCACCGGAAACAGCTGTATTCAAGAACAAGGCCTTACGCACTTTATTGCAGGTGTGAATTGTAATTATAGTATCCTAGTGAAAGCTTAAACATATGCTAAGTTCTTACTACACATAACTAGTTCTATTCTTGCTAAAAATATATTAACTAAACTTATGCATTCTTATTTAGATGTCAGCAAATAGTTTTTACTAGTTTCATGCAGTTGCTTTGTTTTCCTTTACTAGTTCTTTCGATAAAAAAAAAGAATATAATTGTTTGTGGCACATGTGTAAAGATTTATGTTAGATTATTCTGGAACACCTTTCTGTAGTCACTAAAGGATGAAAATATCGTATGAGATTACTAATCAAAGAAATGAAGATTATGATCTTTTTCTTTCTGGCCACAGTTGCATATAATTTTCTTCTTTTTAGTTTAGTAGCTTGTAAGTTCAAATAATAGCAAGTTCTTTGACTAAAATAAATTAATCTTTTGGGGCGCTGAAGTTAAGTTTATTCATGGAGCATGGAGGTAGGATATTGAGTTTGCAAACATGCTATTTATCAAGGGGGAATGTTTAAAAGAATCAATTATCTGTGACCGTTCTAGGGTTTTTGACTTAACTTTTTCTCTTTTTGATCCTCTTTATTGGATGCTTTTATCAGGATGTCTGAGATTAGGGATTTTTTTGATTTAGAAGTTTTATTTTATTGTTCATTTATTGTTCTCAAATCAAAATCCTTTTTTTTTTCAGCCAAAAGCTACAGGAAACGGATCAAGAGCATTATTCACTTTAGATGAAGAACTTGTTGGATTTCTTTTTGTCCTCAAGCTGGACGATAACACTTGGTTGAAATTTAAAGAAAATGACTTCTATGTTCCCCTTTCTGGTGCAATTAGTGTTCCTGGTCAACATGGTCAATCTGACAGTACAAGTGAAGAAATTCCTAGCAAAGCATATACTGATGATATCATCAATGAAATACGGAACTTGGTTAGTGGCCTTAACTCTGAGAAGAGTCAGAAGACCAAAACAAAGGAAGCACAAGAAAGCATTCTTCAAGAAATTGAGAAGCTAGCTGCTGAAGCCTATAGCATCTTCCGGAGCTCCGTTCCAACCTTTTCAGAGGAAACTGTTTTGGAAACTGAGGCAACAAAGCCTGCTGTTACAATATCCTCTGGAACCGGTACAGGTTTTGAAATATTGTGCCAAGGTTTCAACTGGGAATCTCATAAATCTGGACGATGGTATATGGAACTCAAAGAAAAAGCTTCAGAAATATCTTCACTTGGGTTTACTGTGATTTGGCTGCCACCACCAACAGAGTCTGTTTCACCAGAAGGATACATGCCAAAGGACTTGTATAATTTAAATTCCAGGTACATATTACAAGCTTGTAGTTTACATAAAAACCTTTCAGGGTCTACCATTTGGTGCTTGGACCAGGGCATAGAAGCTGAAACTTGCAAAGATGAACTTTCAACTTCTTTTACATAACAAATCATTCTTTTTTTGAAATTTTTTTTAAAAAATTATAATTACGAATCTTTGTTCGGAAAAAAAGATGGAACTGTATGTTTTTTGATGTTTGCTTTAGTATGTTAATCAATGTTGGTTTAAAGTACCAGATTTTGGACCTTCTCTTCTACATTTTGTTTTTTACTTAAAATGAGACTTCAATTACTCTTATCTTATTAGTCTAAAAGATAGCTTGCAAATGCCTCTTGGACATCCAGAGCTGTAGAAAATTGATAGTTATTTCTTGTATCTGAAAGAAATCATCTGTTACATGGTCCTCAAAGGGCCTAAGGCAAACCATTGTGTGAATTTTCTTGATTTGTCAGATATGGAACTATTGATGAGCTGAAGGAACTTGTAAAGAGCCTCCATGAAGTTGGATTAAAAGTTCTTGGTGATGTTGTATTGAATCACCGTTGTGCACAGTTTCAAAATCAGAATGGTGTATGGAATATATTTGGTGGTCGCTTAAATTGGGATGATCGAGCAGTGGTTGGAGATGATCCTCATTTTCAGGTATTGGTGTTTTCTGTGATTCTCAAAGCTTGAGATACATAGGCCATTCTTGAGGTGCATGGATAGCGCATCTTAAATTCCTCTGTTGTCTTACAACTTATTGCACAAGAGTACAAGTTATGTTTTTCTTACGGAAAATATTATAATTATTCGTGCCACTGCATTTCGATTCTATTAGTACGCAACGGGGTATTAAGATAGTGAAAAAGGATGCTCCTAATGAGTAAGGAACTTGTGGAGTTCAACTTTAGGCCTGTGAAATTTTAGGACAATATGTAATCAGACATCTGCATTATTTGGTATTACCTGAATTTTTCTTGCAGCAAGACCAAGTTAGCAATTGTAACTATGTCTCACTGCACCCATTATGGAGCTTGATTAGTAGCAATGCTGGTGGTGTTAACTTTATAGTAACTTTGTGGAATGAATAAATATAGTTTATCATTTACCATCTTGCTTTACATCTTATGTGTGCTAATATTCCTTGAAAATTTGATTCTGAGATCCATGCTCTCAAAAGAATTATCTGGATGAAAAAATGCAGTTTAGATGTTGCGTAATTGGCATGCTTAGGATGTATGTATCTGAACTTGTCAGTTCAGCTGGAGTGGTGGTAGCTGAGAAACTGGATCCTAATGGCTGCTTACCTATAATTTTGGTTGTGATAGGCCAAACTTTGTTCAGCTTGCTTCATGCCTGTATTTATGCATGTTCTCCAGATTTTCTATTTAGACTTGAAGAATATTGCTTATCTTATGCTTAATATGATGCAATCTTTTGATTGAACTCTATGCATCTGGAATATTAATGTTCTGGAAGGTATGAACTCCTTGTTTCTGTCAAACAGGGCAGGGGCAACAAAAGTAGTGGAGATAATTTCCATGCTGCTCCAAACATTGATCATTCACAAGAGTTTGTGAGGAAGGATCTCAAAGAATGGCTTGTCTGGCTGAGGTTGAAACTTGAATTTCATTTCCTTCCACCATCTAACATGCATGAAAGGATTACGAAAGCATGTATTTTCTTAGTGTGTGATCATGCTTTTGCCTTCTTTCCTCTTCCTGTCAAAAGTTCTGCAATGGACATGGATGAATACATACCTGGTAAATATTTGGTTTGGCACTGTTGCCAAAGTTACCTTGTCTTGTGTCAAAATCTTACTTTAACCCCCACTAAGTTGAGAATAGAAAATATGCAATATAGGCTTTGTGAAATATTTAGATAGTACTCAGGTTCAACCAAACAAAAAAGGAAAAAAAGACCATTGGTAATTAATTGGATTACTTCTGCACCTTTTGCAGCAACTATCAATTGAACTGATTGTTGATATAATTTTTTATGCTGGCAATAGGATGACTAAATAACTGAACTAGAAACACAGTTGCACTTGCTATTTATATTCATTGGTATTTCTCCTATGTTTCTTTATTAAAACACATGGCCCAATTGACAAAGGATCTACTGATGGAAAGTTTTCATTTTGTAAACATACAAGGTAACACAGTTGCACTTGTTATTTATATTCGTTGGTATTTCTCCTATGTTTCTTTATTAAAACACATGGCCCAATTGACAAAGGATCTACTGATGGAAAGTTTTCATTTTGTAAACATACAAGGTGCAACATAGTGGTTCTTCATCACAAGTTTGAGCCTAATCCTTTCAATTTGAAATTTTCTACCTGTATTTTGGTTATATAGCCTAGTTTTGCCAAAAGGTTTTTGTGAAAATTTGACAATCTCGTATTCCATTGAGATATTTGATTGTTTCAATTGCTTAAACTTAGGTCCTATTTTGGTTATATGCCTCATATTTTATACTACAACTATTTTAACATTTGCTTTCTCTGTCTTTTTTTTTTTGGAACTTTCTCCCAATTGGATGATAGTAACTTTTATTCCAAGGAAGTTGAGCTGAATACAGCGTTAATAGTCAGGAATTAGTGAATGAGTTATCTTTTGTTTCTTTCAAGCATATTTCTGACCTCATCATGTTCTGATCAGCCGTGTCCGTGTGCTTCTACATGATAGGAGAGATTTACTTCTTGTTTCTCTATAATACATACTTCAACCGTAATAGTTTGTTGATGTAATATTTTGCTGGCATTTTTTTGACATGTAGAGAAGAAATTGGTTATGATGGATGGAGGCTGGATTTTGTCAGAGGATTTTGGGGTGGTTATGTCAAGGACTACTTGGATGCAAGTGAACCTTACTTTGGTGTAGGTGAATATTGGGATTCTCTCAGTTATACATATGGTGAAATGGACCACAATCAAGATGCCCACCGACAGAGAATTATCGACTGGATCAATGCTACAAATGGAACTGCTGGTGCATTTGATGTCTCAACCAAGGGAATTCTTCATTCAGTAAGCATTCATCCAAATTTCTCCTGTTAAGTTTTTCATGAAACTTTTGTAGAAGTTCATTTAAAGAAAAATACAACCTTGTTCATATTGGTTGTCTCCCTCGCTCTGCCCACAAATTGAGAACCACTATTTGGTGTTTCTAGGTATATTTCACTTAGCTTTTTGGCATGCATGATATTCTGATACCTTTCCATCATTTAAACATTTAACAGGTTGAAAAACTCAAAGAGAAATGATTTGCTCTTAAATGGGCCCTTGTTCTTGGTCCTCTGTCCTCGGGAATTTTTTCTATTCATTTCTTTTCTAAAGTAATAAGGCGCTGGATATATTTACGGATTATTATTTCACTCAGGCTCTGGAAAGATGTGAGTATTGGAGATTATCGGATGAGAAAGGGAAGCCTCCTGGGGTTGTTGGATGGTGGCCGTCTCGTGCTGTTACCTTCATAGAGAATCATGACACTGGTTCTACCCAGGTTTGAATCTCACTTGAGTCTTTCACTCTTCAACTTTTTCATTTTTTCTAACTGAAGGCAATCAAAAGAAACTATAATGCATGCCAAATCAAGTGTTTGTTAAAGTAACACTTTCACTGAAACTGAGGCTTGATGATATTGTTGAAGTTCTGTCTTCCCTTTGTCTTCTTCTTTCTCATCTATGAGAATTAATTTTCTTCTTTAGGATTCAGGTACATATAGGTTTCAGTTAAAATTTACTGAAACGTTTTTCTGAAGAAGAGGGCACTGTTCACATAAATAAACATGTTTCAGGAGTTTGTCGAAGGAATTTCTTAATAGATGGCCCTAGATGATTTTTCTTTGTGAATCTGTATTTTGTTTTAATGCTCTAAGCAAGTTATTATTATTTCTTTAAGATTTGAAGGTAAGTTTACTTTTAATATTAAGTCAGGCTGAAGAAGTATTCATCTTAATAGATGGTTGATTCTGAATATAGAATGTTATATATATATATATATATATATATATATATAAGGGTCATAAGTTTTACACTCTTTTCTCACTTTTGGATCGAAATTAAATTCTTAACTAAATTGGATTAAAAAATATTTTAAATTTTAGCCATTTTGATCTAAGGATCAAAAAAATAGTGTAAAACCTACACTGCTGGAAGTGAATCCATTTTTTATTATATTATTTTTATTTCTCTCGTTTCTTGAATTTATTAAAATCAAAGGTTAAAAAAATGTGTAAAACTTTTTACAAAAAATTTTTACACAATGTAAGTTGATCCTTCGTGTGTATATATATATATATATATATATATAGTATAACTAGTTTTTGAGAGTAGCCCACACTTCAAGGAGAGAAAAGGATTCCGGTTTAGACCTTGCTATAATGCTACTCTCATGGTTTGTTGAATTTTTTTTTTACTTAATTATCCTTTAATCCTTTTTTGCACCACTCCTGAAGGGTCACTGGAGGTTTCCAGGTGGAAAGGAAATGCAAGGATATGCTTATATCTTGACCCACCCAGGAACCCCGGCCGTGTTCTATGATCACATTTTCTCTCATTATCGTTCTGAAATTGCTGCTCTTATCTCTCTCAGAAACAGAAACAAAATCCATTGCCGGAGTACAGTAAGTGTCAAAAACTCTGCTTCATGTGTGAACTAAGGTTTAAGTGGAAAGCTTTTCCAAATAATTTTATGTTCTTTAATACTTAAGAACTAACCGTTGGGCATCTACTCTTTGATGAGAAAATTTTGGGGAAGTAAATATAAACATTATTTATTACATTTCCAATACAGGATATGTGAAAAGCTAGAAACCTTTGCTGGACTATTTTGCTTATATGGACTGCTTTCTAATTTATCTTCTTCACCACAAATATGCTACATGACCGCTCTTCATTTGCCCATCCGGGAAGAGTTTAGGCAGTTGTTTTGTTGGCAAATTACCAACCGGGTTAAATATTGACTTCATATATCGAAATGTATATGGTAGGTTAAAATTGTCAAGGCAGAGAGGGATGTATATGCGGCCATCATCGATGAAAAAGTTGCAATGAAGATTGGACCAGGTTATTTTGAGCCTCCAAGTGGTCCCCAAAGATGGTCCTCAGTCCTTGAAGGGAGGGATTACAAGGTCTGGGAAGCATCCTAATGCAAACTACGGGCATTATTTATGTTGCCAAGTGTGTGTATATATATATATATATCTCCTATAAAAATGTCCACCATGAAACCTTCATCCTTGTCTTAAATCAAGTTAAAGAATCTCGAACACAACACGTGTATCATATTTGTTCTGAACAGCACGGAGGCTGTACTCCCGGTCCTCACCAATGTTCATGCCATTGTTGTACCATTTTTAACTCGAAATACAAGGGGTAATCGACTAAGGGCAGGGCTGGACTAGGTGATTGTTGAAGCCAGTTAGCTAATTTTGGAGATGTACCCTTATACACTATAGTTTATTTATAATGCCTAACGAGTATTGAGATTAATACCGGATGGGCAATTTCTTCCCTTTTGCATACCTGTAATATTTTGCAAGAAATCATTTTCTTGCGAATTGGATGTATTGTTATTATTTTGTTATCAAATAAAGTACTGACTATTTTTTTCTTACCAAATTTCTAGTGGGCCTGTGTTCCAGGTCCGCGATCCTGTCTTCTGATAGCCTGGTTTCTATATCTGATTCAAGCCTCACTTGGAAATAATCAAATACTAGCATGGAAGTGATACAATTTATTACTACAATTGCAATCATGAAGATGCTGAAACATGTGATTATAACACTTCGGCCTATCACTTGCCTATCAGAGACTTGATAAGCCAAGCGTAGTTTATTGGTCTATTAATTTTTTAATACAAAAGAGACCAACTTTAAGAAAAAAAATTACGAAATGAAAATTTTTACACGATGAAATTGATCTTTTAAGAGAAGTGGATGAACTATTTAAAGCAAAGCCGGGCTATATTGGTGTTCTAATTTGGTTAGACAAAAAATAATACTATTTAATTTAATGAAGGTGGAAAAAATTATAATACTAATTTGGTTAAATGAAGGTTGAAAATTATCATTATCAATACATAATAAAGCAAATGATGATACATGCATAGCAGTTCATCGAACAGTCCATCTTCCGTCAAGGGCAGAATAGTAGAATTTGTCAAAAATGGCGAAGAAGTTGCACTTCCTCTTATATAAAACATTAAGTTACTTCTTTTAATAATTTCGTCTTTCCATTCAACATGGTGGTTTCATTTGATGAAAATAAAGGAAGATAGTAAGATCTTAATTATGAATTATCCAACAAACTTTAATAGTAACTGAAAATCCCATAGTCTTCCAATGAAAACCATATGTATTGCATTGGCTGGTTATGGAGATATGGATGCAAATTCGCCTCCAAATTATCAGTAAACTGTAACCGTTTACCAAGAATTGAAATGCTTGCGGTTCCCCTTCTTTCCCGCCGCAGGAAAAACTCCTACTCACATCAATGATTCCTTGTCTTGTTTTGGGACCTCTCTTCTTGTATTTAAACAATGCCTGTAATACTTTCTAATTCGGATTCCTCTTCCAAACGCCCCATTCTGTAAGTTCAACCTGTTGACTGGGGTTGTTTCTGGTCTTGGTCCTGTCTGCAATCAATAAATGTTTGCAGGACCTCGGCATTGAAACCTTTTTTTCCTTTCTTTTTCTTTTTCTTTTGCCAACAGATTGAACCACGAAGCCAAAATCCAAAGCCTGAAACAAAAAGGGCTAGAAACATGGCAGCCAGCAATGGAAGTTTTAGCTTATTTTTCTTTTTCTTGTCTTTTGTTGTCATAATCCCAACCCTGCAAGCTCACATTGCTGAATATGATGATTACTGGAAGCAACGTGAAATGGAAGCTAAAGAACATACCGAGAAGGCATATAACCCCAATCCCGAGGAAGTCACCCAGCATTTCAACCACCATGTTGCCAGGTATAAGAGTGTGAGATTATTAATTGCCATTTTTCAAACAACGATTTTCTTTTTTTTTTTTGTTGAATTGTTTTGTTTAATAAACATGGATTGCGCATTTTTCTCTTGCATTAAGGACCTTGATGGGGTTTAATAGCACAAGGCGGAATTTGAGGGGAAAGAGGAAAGGTGGTCCCTGCGAGGCAACCAACCCCATCGACCAATGCTGGCGCTGTGATCCTAACTGGGCAAGAAACAGGAAGAGGCTTGCTGATTGCGCCCTTGGATTTGGTCGTGGTACTATTGGTGGAAAGAACGGAAGGTTTTACGTGGTGACAGATCCTTCAGATAATGATATGGTTAATCCTAAACCTGGAACTCTACGTCATGCTGTGATCCAAAAGCGGCCTCTCTGGATCGTCTTCAAAGGAAGTATGATCATCAAGCTCAACCAGGAGCTCATTATGACTAGCGACAAAACCATCGATGCTAGGGGAGCCAATGTGCATGTGGCTTATGGGGCTGGTATTACTATCCAGTTTGCGAGGAATATCATTATCCATGGCCTCCATATTCATGACATTGTTCAGGGCAGTGGTGGCATGATCAGGGATGCTGAAGACCACTATGGATACAGGACAAGGAGCGATGGTGATGGGATTTCTCTTTTCGGAGCAACCAACGTTTGGCTTGACCATCTTTCCATGTATCATTGCTATGATGGTCTCATTGATGCCATTCAGGCTTCAACTGCCATTACCATCTCCAACTGCCATTTCACTAACCACAATGAGGTAATCAAAACTTTTTGACATTTGATTCTAGGAAAAAGTTGAACAAGCTCGGATGACAAATAATTTCATCTGGTGTGGCGATGCAGGTGATGTTGTTTGGGGCAAGTGATAGCTACTCCGACGATCAGAAGATGCAGATCACTGTTGCTTTCACCCACTTCGGTAAAGGATTGATACAAAGGATGCCAAGATGCCGATGGGGGTTTATCCATGTGGTCAACAATGACTACACTCATTGGCTCATGTATGCTATTGGAGGCAGCAGCCACCCTACCATCATCAGCCAGGGCAACCGATTTGTTGCTCCAGCAAACTCGGCAGCCAAGGAGGTAGCCATTCACATTTTCAATTAGTTAATTTTCCTAGTGATAACTGATCATATATTGTTTTCTTGCTAACGTAATTTTCATGTCTGGTAAATATTGGTGAAGGTGACCAAGAGGGACTATGCACCACCAGAAGTATGGAAGAGTTGGAATTGGAGATCAGAGGGTGATCTGATGGTGGACGGGGCATTTTTCACTCAATCTGGAGATCCAAATGCCAGCAAGAAATACGCAGGCAACAATATGATATATCCTAAGCCTGCTCATATGGTGTCCATGCTCACAAGACATGCTGGATCACTTGACTGCATCCGTGGCCGGCCTTGTTAACACTTAAATGCAAGCCTACTCTCATCACTGCACTAGGAAGCACAGCGAGTGGAAGTGGTAAATGGGAATTAATTGTTCTTGTATTCCATCAACTTTCCCTCGTATAAATCAGTCGGGGAAGATGGAATTGCGTAAGGGAAATTTTGAATTGGGGCTTGTTGCAAGGGGAATGGAAGCAAATTTCAAGATTATATGAGTTTCTGTTGCTGCTGTAGGTTGGGGGAATTTTGTTTTATGTTGTTTTTTCTTTTTTTTTTCATGAGGTATTTATCAGCTTTTGCATCTCAACGTCAAAGGCTTTGCTATATATGTACACATTGTATTGCATAACATGTACTCTCACTTATACATATTGAATACGACAATAAAATAAAAAGTATTGTTTGTATATATCTATTTCAATGATATAAAATTTTTTTTTAATTAAGTTGACTAGTAATTTTCGTTTCTTAAGTTGCCTTGTCAGTCGAACATGTACATTTGATTTCAAATGGAGAGTTGCTGTTGGTATGCATAGAAAAGAGATTGTATTACTCCATGCAAGCATATGTTTTGCCATTCAATCACTGTATTAAAAAAGTTATTTATTTATTACTAAAATCATTAATGATTTTATTGAAATAAATATTTATTATTTAATTATCATAGTGATGTATAATAAATTCTTGATTTTTTTCAATAATGTATTTATGAAGTATTATTTGAATAAAATGGATATATGTTGATATGAAATATCTATTTCATATAATTTTTTTAATTAGTTGGTAGTCATTGCTGCATATATATACACGTGTGTGTGTGTGGCCTTTACCCTTAACAAGCCCACCCTACCTTAGCAAATTAAAATAAAGAGAAGGAAAAAAAAAAAGCCCACTAGCATATAATTGGAAGTCTTGCAACCTCTTCTGTTTTATGGTAAACATCGCCATTCAACCTCAAGAGCTCCGTGGTGTACTCAAACTTCATTTTTGACCCACATAAAAACTTGTCAAATTGTCAACTGGAATCTGAAAATGTAAACAAAAGAAGCCACAGATGATTAATGATTTATTTTCCTTGACGAAAAATCTTAAGCATGACCAGACATAAACAATATAGTTCCCAACTATACCATTTTGTTACTTTATAATTTTCACAGAAGACAAGTTTCCTGTTAGACGTAACTCATCCCAGATGACAAAAACTTGCATTTTCTCCAAGAGTAAGCCAAATTTGAATTTGTCATAGGAAACTTGTCGGTTTGGGTCCTCCCAAAAGCTCAGACCTACCATTGAATTCTTCCACTTAATTTGTCTATCTGCAATATGTAAACAGCAGTTCAGTTCCCTGCATAAAAGTTACTAATTATAGACATTAACCTAGTGGTCTGATGGTAGAGCGTTGTATTCTTAATTTCAGTAACTAAAATTCAATCCTGGTTTAACATATATTGCAACTGGAGATTATTGGATGACTGTTACTTAGCTGGTTTAACCTAGGATAGGGTTCCATCACAAATGTAAGAGGTGACCCTGGTAGAGTGAAAATAAGTTCTAGTACTACCCATCAACACGGTTCCATTTTGAAAAAAATTACAACTTGAGTTAATTGAAGTAACTTGCTACTTCATGAAATATTATCTTCACTATCTAGTTTTAAACATTATTGACATGGTAAAACTCTATCCGATTAAGGATATGGTTTAAGAAGAGATTAAGTAATTATGTCAAAGTCATTTAGTACCTTGAAAATATCGGCTAACCGGGTCAGTTTTGACACTAGAGATCTGCTACATGGCAGATGGATTATTATCTGAGGCCTTCATTACAGTCCTTACACTGTAGTCCCTGCTTGGCTGGGTATAATAGAGTATAGACACTTCACTTTCTCCTGGCTGATATTGTGAGCATCGACAAGTTTTGTCCTAATACACTAACGACAATTTCAACAGCAAAAAGACAGAATAAGTAAAAGACCAAGTTGCGGCACTTATATATCTGAACACTAGTTTTCGGTTTCTCATCGTCCCGCAAATAAATCAATTATTTATAGCTCCTTGATAGTGAGATCAGAACCATGGAAACGGTTACTGCAAAATCTAAATTAAGCCCTGGAAGGCGTCGGTTGTGCATGGCAGAAGATGACACTATCGAGACCAAGTGTATTAAGAGACGCCGAAGAGATCCCTCCACCGGTGCACTAGGCTGCAACAATCAACAAGGAGAACAACAAGTACAAGGTGATCAACCTACTGCCACTACAGTGAAGAGAAGTTCAAGATTCCGGGGTGTCAGCAGGTTTTAAATGCTCTTTTCTCTTGGGTTTACTGTTTATTATGCTTCGAGTATCAAATCAATAAGATTTTAAATGGATGAGGCTGATTATTTCCTACTGCAAGACATCGTTGGACTGGAAGGTTCGAAGCTCACTTATGGGATAAAGGTTCCTGGAATCCGACACAAAGGAAGAAGGGAAAGCAAGGTATGCGACTTATATAAAGCGATTTCTTATCAGTACAAATGAGCAAGTTTTTGTGCTTTTATTTCTTGTGCTATATTTGCTAATAGCATCTTGATTGTTTGATTTGTCATCTGCTTGCACCTTGGACGAAATTGCTGGATGGAGCAGTTTATCTTGGTGAGTCCTTTATTGATGAAAACCATCTTTGCTTCGGAAAAAAATAATTAGTGGAAAACTCACCATCTTTTGTGATTGCTATCTTATCAGGAGCTTATGATGAAGAAGAATCTGCAGCTAGAGCATATGATTTGGCTGCTATTAAGTACTGGGGAACATCAACTTTCACAAATTTTCCGGTACAATTACTCTTTGTGCTGATCTGACAGTTCCCTTTATTTCTAGGGCGACATGAAATCTAATATTTTGTCAAATGCATTTATGATATATTTTCCAGGTATCTGATTATGAGAAGGAAATTGAGATAATGAAGAGTGTAACAAAAGAGGAATACTTAGCCTCTTTAAGAAGGTAATTTTCCCAAGATGTGGTTGTTTCTTATTTCAAATGTTGCTAATCCAAATATTAACCTTTTTTTATTTCTTGGTTTATAGGAGAAGCAGCGGTTTCTCAAGGGGTGTTTCCAGGTATAGAGGAGTTGCAAGGTAAGCAGTAAGCAGTAAGGAGACAGAGTGTGACTTTATTTATCTTGATGTTGAAAATAAGGACTAAATTCATAGACCTTTACTAAATGCACTGCAGGCATCATCACAATGGGAGATGGGAGGCAAGAATAGGGAGGGTGTTTGGAAACAAATATCTTTATCTTGGCACATACAGTGAGTTTTCATGGCCTAAATGTGTTGTTACTTACTGCAAAAGTTACTATTCTGCCCAAATATTGACATAAAAAAAATAGTTGATCTGGTTCTGATTTAAGGTTAGAGAGAACTGCAAATTAGATGCAGTATAGTTGTAGACTGATGCCATATTATTTTTACAATCAATACCCAACTGGCTTAAGAAACATTTCTTTGTCTTATTATTATAGGTACACAAGAGGAGGCTGCTCATGCTTATGATATTGCAGCAATTGAGTATAGAGGGATCAATGCAGTAACCAACTTTGACCTAAGCACATACATCAGATGGCTAAAACCTGGAGCCAATCATGCCCTTGTTTCTGAAGAAGTTAAAACAACCTTGGCATCTCAGCCCATGACAACATCTAACCTTTTTCCAAATGAGCAGACAAATGACTTACCTCTCTTCAACTCGAATCCTTTCACAATAGAAGCCTTTGACAGACCAAAGAAACAAGATATTTTGCAAAAGAAGGCCTCTGTAAATCCTCGTGCCAAGTCATCTTCCCCAACTGCACTTGGCCTCCTGCTTAGGTCTTCAATGTTTAACAAACTAGTAGAGCAGAACTTGAATGCAAACTATGATGAAATTGAAGAGAACGACACAAAGGGGCTGACCGAGATAGTCGACAACAATGGAGTGGGAGAAATGTTCTACAACGAAATTGATCATGTCCCTTTTATGTGCTCCTCCAATAGAGACGTCCTGGCTGGGTTAGAATCAAAAGAAAGTGAACTGCCATTATATAACAAAACAGTGCAGTCCCTGTGGAATGGTGCCTTAAACATACCTTCTTTACGTTAACTAACAACCGCAACTGTTTCCAAACTGAGTAGATTAAGCTATTTATTTCTCCTCTTGTTTTTGTTGAGTGTTGACATAGAGGCAGTGGATGTCAACCAATCCCTGGTTTTGTTGTATTCCTGTATATGAAATGCAAAGATAAATGGGATCATCACTAAGCTATGAAGGAATCAAAGTCTTGTAATCTATGTTGAAAGGAGAATGGCCGAAAGCGAAGTTATTAATCCACTGATAATGAATCCTTGCATTGGCAACAAACTAGTACCATTTTTAATTCTTCATCATCGTTGGGAAGCTGCTGCATCACCTCCCTCACGTCCTCTAGATGAAGATAAGCTATCATTTTACCGTCTCCACATAACGTTTCTCGGAAAAACAAGTTCAGAGTGAAAAACTAGTGCTTCCAACCATTGGAAACAATTTAAACTGGAGCGATCAATTGCTGGTTGACCAAGGGACTGACATTCGCACTAGGACAAATGCTAAACCACCTTAGAGACTTTAAGGAATAGACCTTGGTCCTGTTTTGATTCCATCGAGAACATGAAGGCAATCGTGATAACCGTAGGCAACTCATCTAATATCTGAAAGAGAAAGAATAAGAAGGGCGTTGGAAGGGACAAGAAAGAAGGCCATGTCAGAAAAATGACAATACAAATAAAGGATAGTAAACCTATAGTAAACATTTGCATTATTGAAATCATGAACTAAAAAAGTAAATGGAGTCAAGCCCACTCCTGCAAAATTTCCCTCAACACAATGGAGGCCAGCACTAGGAGCAGGGGATGAGGAAGCAATGCTGATGCCTTGAACAAAAGAACAGACAACAAATCAACCGAAGATACTTGAACTGTGGTATAGTAGTATTCTTAAGGAGGGAGCTGCGGAGCACAAGTTTGAGGATTAACTATTGCGGACAGATGAATAAGCCTCTGAACAAATTATGGATGTATGCAAACAGATGAATAAGCCTTCCACATCACATTATTGAAAAACAAAAACATTATGATTGTTGGGATGCATACCACTTGGAGTTGATACGAAAAACCTTTAGTCACAAAAGAAAAGAAAAAGGGAAGACAGAAATTTGATCACTCTATACTTTGAGGAAGTAATAAACAATTGCATTATTGAAATCATGAAATCTAAAACTACGCGAAGCCAAGCCCACTCCAGCAAAATTCCCTTCAAACAAATACCATGCCGACAAATGTCAAAGCAATTGCCACCAAATTCTTTGTAAAAAATGCCCGTGAGGCCCTATGAACAAATCCTGGATGCATGCAAACATAAATTTTTAGTTGATATTTTGTTTACCCAAAGAAGAGAAGAGAAGAGTCTTCATATATGTTAACACAGTTACAAGTTTTACTTCATGTTTCCCACAAGAACACAAAACGAAAAGTTTTTAATTGATAGATGGAGCATGCTCAGAGAGTGAGAACAAGACAGTTTTGCTCCAAGTTTTCCAGTTCAAAGTTCTGAGTTTTGAATCACGTGCCAGACAGGAGAAGGAGATGGTTCCTAGCATCCCTTGTTTTCAAGTTTCAGTTTACGTGCAACGTGGATGGAGTAAGATGTTCACAGTTTCCAACTTATGTTTGAGTTCTTTCTTATTCTAGGGCTTTAGATCTTTTTTTGACTCTTCTCTAGGGAAGCCAGCACCAATCTCCTCGGCCCTCGATTTTATTTTAAGTACATTTTTTTTCTTTTATTTTGTCCCCTTGGTGAGAAAGGTTTTACCTTTTTTTTTCGTTGGAATAAATGACTATTTAATAATTTAAATTTAAAAAAGAAAAAAAGAAGTGTGAAAGAGCAATAAATTATAGATATGAATCTAAATTGGTTAAACAGTCAAAGTTCATTTATGATAACTAAATATTCAAACTTGCCTCATACCAAATTTAAGAGTCTAGCTAGACTAATTAAATTTTTATTTTTAATATATTTTTATATATAATAAAAATATAATATTTAATGTCTGCATTTATAATTTTACAAAAGAGTAAAACTCAAAGTAAGTCATAAGTCAAGAGTAAGAAAAAATTTGATTAGGATCGAGCTCGAAGCTCTTGAGCTGTAGCCTATAGATCGATTAAAGCTTAGGCTCTTGGCTATTGACAATTTGTGTCGAAGGTCTAAAATGTTCAAAACTCAAATTAAAAGGATTAAAAAAAAAAAAAAAAACGATACGGCTTGCTTTTCTCATTTCCATTAATGCTTTGTCTACCATCCTCGGGACATTTAAGACTTTTGCTTTTTATTTTAATGAATTAAAGAGTAATGTTGCAAACTTTAAGATCGTAATATTAGTGGCTAAAGACGTTTGAAGAAACATCAAAGATTTGATTTCAAGCTATACTTTTTCTTTCCTTTACTTGTACTAAAGCTTTGCATGTAACCAAAAAAAAAAAACAATCATAAATAATCAACAAAAAAAGGATGACTAATTTCATGGAGTAGATTTATTATGCACAAATCTTAGAAAATACAAAGGGAAAAATCAAAGACCGTTACACAACTTGTTGGGTTTTTGAATAATTGCATTTACTCTAAATCTTGTGTACTTGAATTATTATGTTATTATAGACATAGCTAAATGCTCTCAACTGCCACGCTGCAAAAAGGTAGTTGTGAACATGCTATCAACACCTAGCTGAAATGCTCCTGCAAATATCAAATTGCGTAAACAAAATGGACCAAAGTTTTCTTTTTATTAAAGCCAAAATGACATGCCCCAAGATTAATAAAAACATTGCCCTCCAAAAAGTTTTGTACCTAGCACATTAGGTTAAATCTTAGGTGCATTGAATAAAAAAAAAAGATTTGCAAAATTATGAATCACACCTATGGAGGCTTCTCGGCTCTTCATCCAAATTATCAATACCATCTTGCGTGATAGCATCTTGACCTGAATCATTCATATTTCCAGATAAAATATCCGCAACGTCTTTCAGACCCTGAAACAAACCAGGTAAAGCTTTTATAGATAATGATATACATGCCAAAATTTAGACATTACTGTTATCAGTTTAAATTCTAGCAAGTCATTACATAACTCAAAAAAGGTTCCAAATTGAAATTTTTACAGCAGAATGAACACTTGAATTGGATTCTTCATTAAACTTTACGCTAGCACATCCAACTAATATTGATACCTGGTCAATGCACACTTCATTTGACCACAACAGATTTAAGTATAATGCGTAGGTGCAAGTGTAATTGCGAGAGCACAAGATTTTTAAACTTTCTCAATAAACACAGAAATATACCTTCAGAGTGGGAGTTCCTGAATGTGTGAGTAGAGTACGAGATTTCCCAGAAAGTTTAAGTTGCTCCTGCAAGAAAATGTCAAATCAGACAATCAGATTATGTTCATAAAAACGTTTACAGAGTTGGAAAGACTTAGGTCATTTTTGAGTGCACAAACATGTGTCATATAATCTTTTATAGACCAGCAAATTACCACCAGGTTTATAAGAAGAACTGATCCAATATGGAAAGACAAATGACAAAGACAATCTCTACCCTCTCCCCCCCCCCCCCTTTTTTTCGTTTTGCCCTTTTAAATATGATGTAATGAAAATATTATCATATTGCAAACTCAAAAGGTGAAAACAAAACTAAATAGTCATCTTCCCACTAGTACCAACCTGCAAAGCTTCAGGCATCTTTGTTTTCTTGCCACCAACCATGTTACAAAGGTACCACACACCAGCATTGGCAAGATCCTGCCACAAAAAAAAATGTCTAAGTAAATTCTGTTGAATAAAATCAATAAAGAAACTGCATGGACAAAAAAATTCACTATGAGATGTGAAAGAAACTAATATCATATTCTTTTCATCAGTGCCACAACCAAACCTTGCAAGTGATCACAGGACAAGGGGGAAATAAGTAATCCAAGTAATTCAAAATTTTCAGTCAAATATGGCAAATTTAACAGTTACAATGACATTTTGATGCAATTTCCTGCCCAGAAACACACATTCAACTTCCATATTGCAAAGTACAAGAGAAGGTAAAAAAATTATTTACCTGCTTATATTCCAATGAACCTATTTTTCCATCCTGAAAGTGGGTAAAGTTGTATAAAGTTATCACCGAAGCAAAACAAATCAGATACACATATAAATAGATATGAACTCAAAAAATTCTAAAGGTCTGTATGACATTTAATTTGACTCTTCCTAAGAACAAGATAGAGACATGAAAAAGATCAGTGATGCTCCTTGTCTATGTTTCTAGAAGACCAGTTGACTTCATTAACAATTTTAATATCTCCTGAAGTGGGGAAAAATGACAGAGCAAGAGAAGAGACACGACACTGCAGCACCATATAACGACCACTTCTCAATAAGTGCAACAACCATTAGAGAAGAAAAAAGAATCCTCACCAAACCAGAAATCATTCTCTGCAGTGCATCCAAATCATATTCAATGTTAGAAAGATTCATACGAGCCTCTCCTACCTGTTTACAAATACAAACAGCATTAGAGATGGTAAAACATTAATTCTTTTGATCTATCTGGCTAGTTCTCTAATGACCCCAAAACCAAGTACATTAATCAAAAGCCCAGAATCAAAAAGCAAATAAAAGCATGGTAAGAATATCATTCTAACATCAAGTTCAAATGAGTAGCATTTCAAACAATCATGTATGACCTGTAGCACTCTCTTCACTCCTTTTTTAGAACTAAAATTCATAAGGAATGCAAGAAGAAACAAGAGCGAAGGTTGATGAGGAGGAGGGCCTTATTTAATGAGGTTGTGTAGCATATGCTATTCTGACTTCAAAGATCAGGTAAAAGAAAAGGAAAAACATGTTCACTTACACTTTCTTGAATGCTCTTTGAGATTTCCTTTTGTATTTCCATTTTATCATCCAGGTTCTGAATACGTTGTGTCAAATGCTTCTTTGCAGCCTGCCCACATAACATGTGTAAACTAATGAAAGGCTGTATCCATATTTCTTAGTGTGCGATTTTAAAAGAAATAATATTTCAAAACTAATTAGGTCAACTCATATCGGAAGATGTATATTCGTTAAGCAAACTTTAACACCAAAACAAGTGCACATAATGAAATAGCCTTAATATATTAATCTGGACAGTAAAACTTCCAAGATAACAATTCATCAAATAATAACTTCAATGAACCTACACTTGCAAAAGATGAATGAGCACTGGAGGAGCAAATAAAAATGAAATCTTTTACTTCAGGAAAACTATGCCCAAAGTTTTTTGGTTTCTACTCAACGTTCTCACCATTTATGGCAGTAGTAAAGGCAAATTTTCCATCAATATGAAGCATAATAACTTAAAACCAGCCAACTCATTTTTTAATAAAAAATACATCAAACATTGTGATATTGATTATAGAAATCATTTGGTTTGCAGAGAACATGGTTCAATGAAAATGAAATGCTAAGAAAATGTGATCAAGAGAACATAAACGTACAGAGAGAGCATCTGATACAGAATCCAGATGTTTTGTTAAGTTCTCCACAGCCATTGCCATATTGCGTTTTGTTACCCAGAGAAGATCAGAGAATGAAATGCCCTAGTAATTAGAAAAGGAAAACAACAGAAAGAAAAAGAGCAAATTAGTCAAATTGCAAAGCAGAGAGCATGAATGAACAGAAACAGAGCTAGTTGCAAAAAAAATTGATATCAGTATGCAAAAGTATATTTTCTTTCCCTTGAAAGGCATTAATAATGTGGACCCAAATAAATCAAAAGGGACGGGGAAGCTGTTGCGAGATTTTATTTTGTATAAAAAAGATAGCTAATTCTACATAGCCACCAAAATTGTACAAAAGAGAACTTATCACTAATTTATGAAAAGATGCCAATATCTCTAATTACAATACCTTCCACCACATGTAACCGTAACCCAATGCCCCCATCGTAGCAGCAGGGATTACAAGAGAGGTTAACTTACCTGCCAAATCAGGAAAAAGCAAACAACCAAAGTACAACCACTTAAATAATGCTTCATGTAATCTGGATAATATAATTATAAACTGGGTTTCGCTTATTTTTTAATTTTAATGCGTCTAAGTGTACTACTATTTAAGCAAATATAACTAACAAATACCGCCGGAATCCCCATTCAAAACAGTTATCTGCCGTGCTGAGGCCAGTTGCCTAATCTCCGTTGACAAGCGACGCACCTATAAATTAATACAAAAAAATCAAAATTACAACCAAAAGGTTTAAAATTTAAGCTATATTTCATAAATTAATACAAAACAATCAAAATTACAACCAAGAGGTATATATCATATACCTGAGCCAGAAGGGCATCTGAATCATCTGATTGCTCCCCAGATTTTTCCAGGCCCTTCACCAGTGACTGCCAAATCACAACAACATAATATTTAAAGGCCACAATTTAGAGATAAAAAACCCTAGCCAACCAAAATAATAATCTAAGGATCCGAATAATTGAAATAAATGCGAAACGGTTACAACTAACCTGCAATTCGCCTAATATGTCTGATAATTTACCGTTCTTGAGGAGGATCGTACCAGTGTAACCTGGCGGGAAAATTAGGGCACCAAAAAAAGTCAAAATTGAAACAGAAGAAAACAAATTGAGAATATAAGACGGATTGAAGTAAGAGACTGAGTTTAAGCAGTGCCTGCGCCAGCTAGGATCAAGATCTTCGACAAGCCGACTCCGGTTTGCATAGCCATTGCAGTGTTTTTGACAGATTACCAAAGAGAGTTTGGCTTGGTTTTGGTCGAGACTGAGAAAATATTGGGGGCGGAGAGAGAGAAGAGTCAGATCACGGTGGTTTATCTGGCTGCGGGCAGATATAGTTTCTTTCTTACCTCGTTCTAATTACTAAACGGCGTCGGTTCAAGTCGTCTCCGCCTTGCTTGAGCAGGAAGAAGACGGAGTCGTTTTGGTGTGGGCCACACGGACAGGGGTTTTTAAAGCTTAGTCTAAGATCAATCCAACAAACAATCCACGGGCTTTTTTATAATAATTATGAAAATATGAGCAATTCCAAATCCATGGGCATTTGGAATTCCTAAGCCCCAATGGCTGAACCGGTCCTACAAGGACAACGGTCACCCATGCTCAACTCTTATGACATACTGTGGCTCTTCCTATGAGTCCTCATCTTAAAGCATTTTTGAGCAGTGTTGGTTCCTTTTCCACGCTTTTTTTGACTTTAACCATCTGCTATTCTGCTGTGGGCCCACTTATCTGATAAAACAATATTGGCGTAAGCTAGAAAGGTTATGAATTCCCGGTTCCTTGCTTTTGAATAGATTGAATTCTTAATTATTTCTCGGGCATTTCAAAGCAGATAAAGTAAATGTTTACATGGAAGCAACTTGCATTATTGAACTATACTCTTGGGACCCCAAACTATCTCTTCTCTCTAAGTGGAAAAACATGAAGTTGCTCCTTGTCTTCACAGTTATTTCTAGCTTCTTCTTCTGCTTCTTTTACGGTGCTGCTGGTGAGCTAATAAAAGCTCTCCCAGGACAACCTGCCAATGTCGCTTTCAAGCAATACTCCGGTTACATTGTCACTGAACCTCAACATGGCCGAGCTTTGTTCTACTACTTTGTGGAAGTGGGTTCTGCCAATCCACTCTTACATCCCTTAACATTGTGGCTTAACGGAGGTAAGAGTCTTATTTATATCTAGGTTCCAAAGTTCTCCTTGAATAAACTGCTGTACATTGGTTTCTTCTAGGCCCCGGTTGTTCATCTCTTGGCTTTGGTGCATTCATGGAAAATGGTCCTTTCCAGCCAGGGGAAAGTGGACATTTGATCAAGAATAAATATTCATGGAATTTGGGTAATTCTTCACTATTTGTTCAGTAGTATGAACAATAATCTAACTGTGAAATTAAGTTACTCAATGGATCTGATATTCTTAATGAACAGAATCAAACATGTTATATCTTGAGAGTCCAATTGGAGTGGGGTTTTCTTACTCAAACACAAGCTCAGATTACCTCGGAGTGAATGATACTATAACAGGTTGATATAACTAGTAATATGTCATTATTGCACATTGGTAATTTTTAAACTCAGAGCATTGATAACCAGTGTTTTCAGCTAAGGAGAATCTTCAATTCCTTCTTAATTGGTTCAAAGAATTCCCACACTATCGAGACTCGGCTTTGTATCTTTCTGGGGAAAGCTATGCAGGTTAGGTTTCATTTATTAGCAACAGCTCTACTTTTCTTTGTGCTTTCATTATTTAGTTGGCTGTCAAATAGAGGGAATGTAGCCATCTGTATGCATTCAAATTAATTTCCCTCTTCTGATCTATGTTTTTCAACTATTGCTTCTTGCTTATCTTTAAAATTGACATAGTCTAATAATTTTTTCTGTTCAAAATGAATTAATATAGGTCACTACATTCCTCAGCTGGCGGCCCTAATCCTAAATTACAATAAGCGTTTAAGTGTCAGACCCATCAAGCTTAAAGCCATTGCAGTTAATCTCTCATTGCTCTTAATATTCCGTCAGCTTCCTGTTACCAAGTATTCATGTTTTAGCTTGAGCTTTACCAATTTTCAATTTTACTTTTTGGTCATTCTGCAGTTGGGAAATCCTCTTTTAGATCTGGAAATTAGTGTAAACAATGATGAGTTTTTGTGGTCACATGGAGTCATTTCAGATGAAATGCTTATGCTGAGAAAGATTAAATGTAATGAACCAAGGTACCTTAAAGAGTCCATTCACCAGAATCTGTCCAAAGAATGCATAGATGTGCTCAAAAAACAGGAAGAAGAAATGGGTTCATATACTGATCCTGGAGACTTGATTTTGCCAATTTGCTTGTCACCAACTGTACTAGGCCAGACAGTTTATCACGGAGCACTCAAGCTGTTACATGCGAAGGTAAGTAACTAAAGCATTACCTCTAAGGCATGAAAGTGGATTTCGTAGATATGTCATGCAAATGTACAGGTTCTTTCGAACTAACAATAGTCTTTGATTATTCTTGCAGCTTGCTATGAGATCAGGTGTTTCCACTGATCCATGTCTTGCAGATAGGATACATCAATACCTCAACTCACCTAAAGTACAAGAAGCATTTCATGCAAACACAACTCGCCTCCCTTCAATTTGGGAATTCTGTGGAGGGTCTCTCTTTCTCGCAATTGGCAATTTGGCATATATATTTGTGTGTGTGTGTGTGTGTGTGTGTGTGTATATATATATATATATATGTATATGATGTGCCAGTTTAACTTATGTTTATGCAAGTATCCAAGCAAATTAAACAACCTGTTTCTGTTACAGGCATCTTGTCTATCAAAGAGAGAATCTAGGAATCAATATCTTACCACTTTTGTCAAAACTTCTCAGAAGCAGGATACCGCTTCTCCTCTTCAAGTGAGTAATCCTGCACCTCAAAGGTGTTTAATTTCAAGCTTCATTTGCCTTAATTGACTGAAAGCCTCTGCCATATATTTCACTGCAGCGGAGATCAAGATTCAAAAATCCCATTAACACAAACAAGGATAATTGCCAATATGCTTGCAAAAGAATTGAAGTTTGTTCGATTTGGAAATTATGCTCCTTGGTATGACAAGATGCAGGTATGCGTTTGCAATGCCACAATAAAGTGTTGCATAAATTGCCAAATTATGCCTGCTGCTCAATTCTTTTCCCTCTATTTATCTCTGGTTCATAGTCTAAAAAATTTACATTCAGGTTGGTGGGTGGAGTCAATCATTTGGCCGAGCAAGGAAAGGAAAAAATGTGACATATTTGACCTTTGCTACAGTCAGAGGTGCAGCTCATGAGGTCCCATACACTTCGCCTTCAGAAGCTCTCACTCTATTCCGAGCATTTCTTAGAGGATCTCCTTTGCCTAGAACCAGAGTCTAAGTTACTTAAAGTCAGGATTAATAACTTGGTATTGTTGTACGTTTTAATTATGATTTTCTTTTGCAGTTCTATAAGTGGAGAATAAATCCATTAAAAAAAAAAAAAAACTGAGTAGAAAGCTCCATCTGCATGCCTGGCTGGACTAATAGGAGAGAACTGTTCATGTCTTTTTATAATTGGTTTCATTGTATTTTCTTTTTGTACTTATTGTCCTTGATCAACTATTCTGCGAAGTCTTGGCAAATTTTGGAAATCTTACTAACCAGATGGGAAAGAGAAATAGCTGAGAAACAAATACAATTTTCAACTAAAATTTTCATGTAACTGGGTTTAAAACAAATACAGTCGCAATTTTTTAATAGAATAATGGGTTTGAAGTTTGAACCAATAAGAACCGGAGTTTGACAGTACCTAGAGTAGTTCATTTGGTGTCATAAATTAAAAAAATAAAAATGCTTGGCTAAATAAAAGTAAAAATCATGAGAAAGTGGTGCATATTGGGAAATTTTTAGTATGAATATTTTATTTTGAATAAAACAAAACTATCAAATCTTCACCGAGTCAGAATTATTTGGCCACTTATATCATGCTAACATATTCCGACAAATTAAGCTTCAAAGTTTTTTTAGAGGAGAGAGATTTGAATTCTCCTCTTCAGTGGAGAATACATGACTTACCCTTAAGCCTTAATTTTTTTTTTCATGAACCTCAGTTTGAATATTATAAGGCACATAATGCATCTTCACCATTGGTTCTAGAATTTCAAGCTCAAAACAAATTTATTTGGAATATATTGTGATTACCATTTTCCTTTTCTGCTAACTTCGATTTTTTTTTCCAGTTTTGATGGAAAAAGCAATTCGAACATAATTTTTTGAACGTGAACGATATGCATTTTATCAATGAAATAAATATCGACACTTTGATTCCTTTTGAATTTCTTTTTTGACTACAAAGTTTCTGCTATGGCCTACACACATGTGATGAAGAATTTTGACCCGTGCTCAAGCTTTGATTTTTGTGGAAAAAATGAAAGCTACGTTAACATTATCCATTATCCATCCGAGAAGCTATACTCTCACTTTGATTTCTACTTCAATTCTTGTTTTTCTGAAAGAAGATGCAATTATTGGTTTATTTCACTTTTATTTCTTGCTTGTTGCTCGTTTCCAGGACTTCTGCCGAGCCGATAACAAGACTTCCAGGTCAACCTCCCAATGTTGCTTTCAAGCAATACTCAGGTTACATTGTTACTGATGCTAAACATGGTCGAGCTTTATTCTACTACTTTGTGGAAGTCGGTGCCGCTGATCCACTGTTACATCCCTTAACATTATGGCTCAATGGAGGTAAGAGTCTATGTTTAAATTTCGTCGTTGTTTTACTCTTCCTGGATAAGTTCCAGCTTTAGCTTAATTCGCGTCTCTTTGCATATTGTTTTCTGGGGTTTGAATTAACGTTTCTCCAGGCCCTGGATGTTCATCACTTGGCTTTGGCGCATTCATGGAACATGGTCCTTTCCAGCCAGGAGAAGATGGATACTTGGTCGAGAATCAATTTTCTTGGAATTTGGGTAAAGCTTTAGACTTCAGTATATTATTCAGCTACATCTTGATATGGAAATCTAACTGTTAAATTAAGTTACTCAGACTGGTTTTCATTTTCGTAATGAACAGAATCAAACATGTTGTATGTTGAAAGTCCAATAGGAGTTGGATTTTCGTACTCAAATACTAGCTCCGATTACATTGGCGTCAATGATACTTTTACAGGTAGATATAGTTAATTTAACATGAGATTAGGCAGTCGGTGAAGTGTTTAATTCAGACGACTGATTTTGAGCCTTTTCAGCTGAGGAGAATCTGAAATTTCTTGTTAATTGGTTCAAAGAATTCCCTGAATATAGACACTCAGATTTGTACCTTACTGGGGAGAGCTATGCGGGTATTTATTGGCAACTGTTTAGCTTTTCTTTACTCTGTTTCTTCTCTGCAGTTGTTGTGTAACATTCTGCTGCCATTGAAATAATCAGCTTAAATTTATTTCCCTCTTTTGCTTTATCCTATTTACCTTTGCTTATTCATTGGTTTATGTAAAATTATGCAGGTCACTATGTACCGCAGCTTGCTGCCTTAGTGCTGGATTACAATAAGCAGTCCAATGGCAGACCAATCAGGCTCAAAGCAGTTGCAGTTAATCACTTCTTGCTTACATCCTGTTTTCAGCCTTATAATACTTTTTTTTTTTTTTTGCTAAGCCAGATTTATGTTATCTATTAACTATTTTTGACATTTTTGCAATCAGTATTTCAGCTTTACCAAATTTCCAACATTGATTTTTTCTTTTTCCTATTCCTGCAGTTGGGAAATCCTCTTTTAGACTGGGAAATTAGTGTTGACAACACTGAGTTTTTGTGGTCACATGGAGTCATTTCTGATGAAGTGCTCATGCTGAGAAAGACAGTCTGTAGTCGCCCGAGGAATTTAAAGGAGTATCTTCATCATAATTCGTCCAAAGAATGCATTGATGTCAGCCTCAAACAAGATATGGAAATAGGTGCGTATACTAACTTTGGAGATCTGATTTTGCCTCGTTGCTCATCAACAAGTCTATTTGGGCAGTCTGTTTTTCTGGAAAAATTCGATGCAGAGGTAAGTGGTCCATTGTCCCCAAGGAATCTCAGTTAATTTCAGTAAAAATATATGATGCAAATGTCCAGGTACTTCTTTCTAGTACTTAGTGTTAGTCTTTGATTGTTCTGGCAGCGTACAATGAGATCAGTTATCACCGGTGATCCATGTATCCAAGATCGCATACATCAATACCTGAACAAACCCCAAGTACAAGAAGCACTTCATGCAAACGCAACTGACCTGCCTTATCTTTGGGAATTCTGTGGAGGGTCCCTCTCTTTTCCTGACAAAACTATATCTGCTGCATTTGTCTTGTTCATAACTCATTTTTCTTCTAGTATGGGAACATTTTAACGTACTGTTCCTGTTGCAGGCCTAATTTGGTATATCAAAGAGAAAATTTAGAAATTAACATCATACCTCTTCTGTTGAAACTTCTAAGAAGTGGTATTCCACTTCTCCTGTACAAGTAAGTCAACACTCCAATTGTTCCTTTCGAGCTCCATTAGCCTAATTGACAGATAACTTGAGCTATTTCAATGCAGTGGAGATCAGGATGCAAAAATCCCACTAACACAAACGAGGATAATTGCCAACATGCTTGTAAAAGAAATGAAACTTGTGCCATTTGGGAATTATGCTCCCTGGTTTGACAAGATGCAGGTATATATGTAATATTGTAATTGCAAAGTCACCCTAAAAATGTATAGCTTAACCATGTCTATTCAATTCTTCCCCCCTTTATTTGATTTCTGATTTCAGATTGGTGGGTGGACTCAATCGTTTGGCCAAGAAAGGAAAGGAAAAAATATGACATTTTTTACGTTTGCTACAGTTAGAGGTGCAGCACACGAAGTTCCATACACTTCTCCCTCACCAGGCCTCACTTTATTCAGGGCATTCATAAAGGGATCTCCTTTACCTAGAACAATCGCAATTTAATTAGCAACCAAACGGTTTCAGACTAATGGATTGAAACTTCATGCTACTATGTGTGTAATTTCAATAACAATGATCATGTTTGCAGTTCAATTTCTGTACCAAACAACTTGCCTGCCTGGTTAGACTAATCAAAGAGGGATAGTTTCAGATCTTAATATTTGGTTTTGTTTCATCATTTATCATTACATTGTACTTCAACAACCAACCATCCTAAAAACATCAGAAGTGGTTCTGCAAAGCTAGGCACGAGTCAAAGAATCTAGAAGAGGGGTTTTGGCTACATCAAGAATTAGCTAAAACTTGAATGAAAATAAAGCGATTGATGACAGCAAAAATGATCAAATGATGTTCATCAAGTTGGAATAATTAATTTATAAATATGCTGATGAGGTTAATCTAAATAAAGGAAGGAAGAAAGGAAGGAAAAAAAATTCTATTTCTAACTACTTAAAGCAGCATCCATTGACTTCATTTTTATGATAACCACAACTTGATTTAGATTATATTAATTAAGAATCTTAATAAAGTTTTCAAGCCATTTGACAGGTTCAATGCTCTATCAAAAGACTATGCTAAGAAGTATAATATTTAATTCTTCCATTTTTATATGCAGACCTTCATATAAATATTCTTGATTGAGGTGTCAACACCATCCTCCTCTCTCACTTATGACAAGTTGATCCCTTGCAAGCCAAAAAAAAGATCATATATATATATTATATTTCTTGTTTTTAATTGGACTTGAGATCATAATAATAATGCTTATAAAATGCAACATGTTAGAACAATAAAATATGCACTATACCAACCTAATGAAGAGTCAGGGTTGAATAAAAACCCATCCTTTGTATAATAACGTCTTTACTTTTCAATTTTTGAAATACATATGTAGCACTTTAAACTATTAAACCTCATCTTATAACTAAATATAATTCAAGTAATAATGTTTATGTGTAGATATATGGTATTGCAAAATTATTAATTGAACTAGTTTGTTACCCATTTAATACACGGATTATCTTGTTTTATTAATTTACTTTTAATTATTATTCAATCAATTATTTTTCAATTGTAATTGAAAATTTTATTTAAGAGATTTAGTTTGTGATGTAACAAGTTAAAAACTACTTATCATTTAATATAGTTATTTGTTATCCATTTAATAAGGTAATCATAAATAATTTATGCATGTAAAAAAAATTATCTTCATGATGACACATAGAATCATTTCTAATTTTATGTTATTTATCAAATAAATATATTTAAAAATTTATTAGTTATTCAAATCTTTAAAATTTAAAAGAAGGACAAAATCATATATATCTAATTATTTATACTTGAAATTAATTTATAGTTAAAATACAATGGAAAAAATTCCTATAAATTATGGTTAATTATAAGGTTTTTTTTAGAAAATCACAATTTATTTTTTTATTTCAATTATTTTCTTACCAAATAATCTCAAACACTTTAAGTATGATACTATTATTTATCATATGAAAACTATATAATTTTATATCAATTAAATATTAGAAATTTAGTTAAATAAATTTAATTTAATTAAACTAATTAAAATAAATTAAGAAAATACATATTTTTAAATTCATATTCATGTTTGATTAATGAATATTTTTCAAAATTCAAGCAAAGGAAAAAAAAAAAAACAAAAAAGGACCTAATTAAATATAATTTTTTAACTTTATCAAGATGTAGACTTGTTCATTAATTAAATTATGAGTTGGATTTATGATTTTATGCATAATTTTTTAAATATAGATTCAAAATATTATTATACTAAAAAATATTTAATTTTAAATTTAAAATATATTTAATATTATAAAATTTTAATATTTTAATAATAAATATAAATTAAATAGGTGATTTGAGTCAGACTTGAAATAGAATCTAAAATTTAGAAATGTTTACAACTGAATCCCACTAAATTCATGGACACTTATTAATTTTTTAAATTCATATATTTTTTAAAAATTATGTTTAAGAAAATATCAAGTACTTACTAAATGAGATTTGATTTGAAAAATAAAAAAGAATGAAATCAAATTGGATTTCAATTTATCCTAACTTTTTTATAAATAAAAAAATGTTATGACTTTGAAGAGAAAAAACTACAACAAATTATAAATTTTATACAAAATCATAATTGATGCACTAATTATATTATATACATAAAATATGATTTCAAAAGTCAATTAGTTCTTTTTATTTGTAACAATATTTTGATATAAATAGTAGGTTCAAATCAATATAATCAAGCAGATTATTAATGAAAGTATTTTTGCATATTGTAAGAAAGTTGAATTAAGAGAAAAAAATATTACATGATTGAGTGAAGAGTCAAATAAAAAAAAAAAGTTTATAGATAGCACTTACAAAATAAAAGAAAAATATTTTTTGTAATTTTGCACTTTGTAATATATGAAAAAAAAAAAAAAGGACAACTGAAAGAAAAAATATTACCTAATTAAATGAAGAGTTAAAAGTAAGAAAAAAAGATCTGTAGATAAAACTTACAAAACATAAGAATATATGTATTTATGTAACTTTATATCTTGTAATATATATAAAAAAAAGTCAAAGTTAAAGACTTTGTGCTTACTATAAGTATCTAAAAATAAATAAATGCTTCTATAACTTCCATTTTTTAATATAAAAAAAAATGAGATAACACAAAAATGGAGAACAATGACAAAAAAAAAATCAAATTGATGTTAAAGAATGATATTAAACAATCATTTACAAATTATTAAAAGATTAAATTTGATCCTTTTAAATAATAAAAGATTATCATGAAATCTATTAAGATAAAATTATATTTGATATTTTTTAAATTTAAGATATATAAAAAATTAATTTTAAAAGATAAAATATATATTATTGTCTTAATGGAAAATGATAGATAAAGTTTTTTATATTACACGGGCAAACTTTACAATTATTAATATTACAAATTTAATTGTAAAGGTAATAAAAATATAAGCATTTCAAAATATAAGACTAATTACAGATCAAGAATAATTGTGCATTTTCACTAGCTATTTGGTCATTTAGGACTAATCTCATGTCTAGACCCACACATATAACTAATTATTAAAAAATTAAATTTTAAAAATAAAAAGATATATTTAAAGGTGTATTTGACAAATAAATATGATTTTTTTTAGTAAAAAGAAAAACTTTGGATAATTTAAAATTTTCAAATAAATATGTCTTAAAAAGATTTGGATAACTAATAATTTTTTAAATAAATTTATTTAATCCATAAATAAAAATAAGAATGAATTTAACTTATTTAAATAAAATCTTACCAAAATAAAAAATAATAATTTTATCCCTTTAATTATTTTAAATCTAAATTGATTTTTCATTTAAATTTTAAAATTTTGGATAATTAAATAAAATTTGAAATTTATTTTTTGATAAAGAATCTACAATTAAAAAATGTCTTATATATATAAAGAGAAAATTTAGTAAATTTTTAAAGTATCAAAAATAAAAACTATCTACGTAAATATTCACATAAGTAAACTTTATCTATAGTCATGTATGTTGTAATATAATATAATATATATATATATATATATATATATATATTAGATTAAGTGACAAAAGATAATCCACTTTTAATTATTACTTTTTTAACTGTCAAAACTAATCGGATTATTAAACCTAATATTCCTCCAACAAACACTATTAAACTAGCATAAGATTACTGACATTTTAGAAAATTTTGTGACGATTGTGTGACTATCACTTGATATGAAAAAAGTTATGATGTCCTTCCAACAAAAAAAATATATATATATATATCTTCTTTTTTAAAAAATTTTTTTTATGTTAGATAAGATTGTTCCATCTTCTAGATAAAATATATCGTATCAAGTGATTAAAAATCATATATTCAAAATAATTTCAATAGATAATCATTAATTATACTCAAATTTAAAATTTTTATATCGAAAAAAATGATTTTTATTAATTGAACCAATCATTTAGTAATATATACATATATATATTTATATATATATATATAAATACACACCATTAAGCTTATGCTATAATATAAAAGTATAAAAAGATAAAGTGGCTCTTCATTAAAGACAAAATACTCTGTCGTCATTGACTCAAAAAACCTATGATAATCCTCTTGGAATGAATTGGCTTAGCAGAACCAATTAATCAAAACCCGAACAAAATTTCTGTACTTGTTTATTTTAACAATTTGACTTTTACGAGGAAAGCTACTACTATATAATTAATTAACTAATTAGTGATTGACAGACAATTAATTTTTTTATTTACTGATTTAAAATCTCAGACCAATCATCAACAAACTCAATATGTATTGTCTAATTGAAATTAATTGTTAAAAAAACACAATTTTTTTTAAAAAAATTTACATTGTATAATTCAATTTATCACTTCAATGATTTCAATATTGAAAGTATACCTACGATACATATCCATCCATGATTTTTCTCTAATTAATTTTCTCCACTTTCTTCAATTTTTCTTTTTCACATTCAAAATTTTGTACGAGGAACCTTTCTCAAAACCACAAAAATTGACTTTTTTTCTTCATATATTTTTGACTAACTACATTTATACTTCATTAATATAAAAAATTCAAGGTTGAAACTTGACTATAAACAATTATAGAGTTAAATCAACCTATGCTCTTCATTTTTCTCCCTAATTCCTTTTAGTATCTAAACTTTTTAGTTTCAATTTTCAACAATTTGAGCCTCAAATTCTACAGAGAAAGTACAAAATGAAACTTTGATTTAAAATGTTGACATCATATTTAGAAAATGTAAGATACCAATTTTTAATGACTTTTTCAGATTAGAAAATGAAGTAAACTTGCCAAATTTTGCATAAAAAAGAAGCAACCCTAACCTTAATGTGTAATTTCTGTTTTTGTTCTTTTCTTAAAATTCCATCTAAAATAATTAGCTTTAGTATCATAGTCAATGGCTGCATCCAGCTGGAACATCCAGAGTGTATACGGTCAGGTCAAGCCATAACTTATGACCGCCTTTTTGCTTGATTGGATGACGCGGCAACCCATGATTGGCTAGTGTCCCAAGAACATTTGAGGTGTGTAGCCTTACATGGTCACCGCAGTCAAAAAGACGGCAGCTGAATTCGGTGGTCGCATGTCATCTAATGCACGCACGTAGGAATCTTCAATATTTTGATTGATGGTTTTAGTTTGTACACATTAAAACGCCGAAAATTGAACAATTCTCTTTCTTTTTCTTTGTGTCTGTCCAATGATTTTTTGTAAGAACAAATTGGTTCGGGAAAGGAAAATAAAAGACATATTGAAAATGGAAGGAACAGAGTTGCTTCTTGGATTGTATAAGAGAAGATGAGTAACAAATTGAAAAACAGAAAAAGATAAGCACTGTCCGTGCTTTGAATTATTTTTTGGTTTTGTTTTTTAAAGTCAAAATCTGTAGCCTGGAGGTGTTTCTCTCCTTATATAAGACGCTCCCATGTTCTGACAATTTTGGAGATTGAGAATTAAAGAAATCAATCAAGAAAAAGTAATGGAGACCAATTTGGAGAAGTCTGCTGCTGTTGGAAATGTTGTGTTTCAAGAGAAGATAACCAAATCTAGGAGCTCTGGTGAAGAGAGTGATGATTTTATACAAAACAAGGTGAGCTTATAGGGTTTCAAATTCAATCTTTAAAATTAGGTTGTTAAATCAATCAATGAACTTTGGGATGTTTAAGATATATGTACTACTGGGTTTCGATTGTTTTATATGCAAAGATAACAAAACTTTGAACTTGGCAGTATGAAGTTTTGGTACATGTTTATAATTTTGGCAGTACAAATTTAAAATGTTTTGAACGATCCATTGAAAGTTCATTAATGGGGCATTGGTTCATTTTTTTTCTCGGTTCTTAGATGGTTTGACTCTAAATTTTTCTCTAACTGATCATGATCTGATAGTTGATAGTAGATCTTTCTTCTGGATTTTTTTTTTTTTTTGGCTTTAATTGTAAGGTGATCTTATTGCCATCTAAAATACATTATTTTTTCCATAATAACTCATTATTCATGCAAGAGGATTTATTGTAACGTGTAGGGAGAAAATCAAAGGCATATCAGAAAAGAAGATGATAGCTCCAAGCCTCTTTCCCTTAACCAAAAGGATATTTCAAACGTCATCAAAGATGTATAAAGAACCGGATCACAACTTCATAAAAAAACAACTACTGAATTCTATTCAGCCACTTAATTCCACCTTTGAAATTCATTCAGGAGATTAGCTTCTTTCATTTTGTCTGCAGCAGTTAGCTAGGCTCATCATGCTTATTCTTTTATTCCATATCAGAATTAACAATGATTAAATAATCTTTTGAAAAATTTCTCAATTTGATACTACCTATCTTCTAGCGTCCATTTTTTTTTTCGAATTAATTAATTCATTGAAGTACAATTTCTGTTTCCTGAAGGACCATCAGATTGAATCAACCAAAGCCAAGATGGGAGCGGTTAAAGAAGAGAATGCAAGGTTAAAACTGTTACTATCTCAAACCGTGAAGGATTACCAGTCTTTACAAATGCATTTCCTCTATATTCTTCAGCAAGAAGAAGCCAAGAAGTCCACCTGCAAGGCACCTCCAAGCCTTCCAGAAAATGAAGAATCTGATCTTGTTTCCCTTAGCCTGGGGAGAAGTTGGGGTCCTGATCAGCCTAAGAAACAAGAGACAAAGAGTAGCACTAGCAACCTGTTTAGTAAGGGCAAAGAAGAACATGAGAAACCGAATAATAATGAAGGACTTGAACTTGGATTGGGATGCAAATTCGAGACAGCTGGTTCAACTGAACCTGAGAAGAACCCAAGTTCTGAAAGTAGCTTAGGGAAACCAGGGGAAGAGGAACCAACTGAGGTATGGCCACCAAGTAAAATTCTCAAGGCTGTGAGAAGTGGAGATGAAGAAGATATATCAGAGCAAATGCAGCTGAAGAAAGCTAGGGTTTCTGTCAGAGCTAGATGTGATACCCAAACGGTATAGCACAAATATAAATCCAATTTTTATTTGCATTAAAATTAAGCATTTATATTTGATGCACTTAGTTTATACACTGCCATTGAACTACAAATTACCACATAATCAATAAATAAACTAGAAAGTTGAGAAATCCTTATAATCAAAAAATAGCTATACATATGCAAAGGAAATGTTAAAATTGTGCTGTTATATAAAAAAAACTTCATGGATTTTATATATGCAGATGAATGACGGATGTCAATGGAGAAAATATGGACAGAAAATATCAAAAGGAAATCCATGTCCTCGGGCATACTACCGGTGCACGGTGTCACCCACTTGTCCTGTGCGAAAACAGGTATCGATCAGCTGGCCTGCCTTAGTTGAAATCTTATCCAAGCACTCTAGGATCAGTTTGATTTTGATTAGACAACTTAAATCTGAGTGCTAAGAATAACATGGAGTTTCCAAATGCCATCATTTTACACAAGGAAAAAGAAAGCATTAACCTTCAGTACTACTATTATTTATATAACCGCTTAAAAGCAACCTCATTTTTAACATGTAGGCATGCATTAACAAAAGGATCGTACCTTTGGCCATATATACAAATATATATATATATATATATATATATAAACATTTAGATTTTCAAACATGGAAATTGGAAATAAAAGATCATGATGAAATTGTGGAATATATATAGTTGCCATATATTGTAGTAATCTTTTTCCACTCAACAACGACACTATTTGTCCGTGTGAAGCCTATATTAATCAAATTAGGGACAACAAATTAACAGCGAATTTGTTCAAATTATCATAATATAAAATTTCAGCATTTATGTATCACAGGGTAGTTGTTATGAATTTATGATTGATTATCAGCTTAAAAAATATATGGATTTTTTTTTGGCAGGTACAAAGATGTGTCGAGGACATGTCCATCTTGATCACAACCTATGAAGGGAACCATAACCATCCACTATCCCTAAGTGCAACAGCCTTGGCTTCCACCACTTCTGCAGCAGCTTCCATGCTACAGTCTCAATCATCAAGCTCACAACCGGGCCTTGGGACCTCAGTTTCTGCACCCAGTACTTCCACATCTTCGTCTGCTGCTAACCTCCAAGGCTTAAACTTCAACTTCGCCCAAAATTCAAGGCCATAATCCGTACTATTTCCCTAACTCTTCAATCTCAACTTCCAATTCTCATCCCACTATCACTCTTGATCTCACTGCACCATCCGACTCCTCATATTCCAGTAGATTTTCTAATGTACCCAGATACTCATCGACATCTCTCAACGTTTCCTCTTCACCTTCTTCTTCTTCTTTAGAAGTTTCCCACCCACAAACATCTTGGAACACTAGCCACTTAACCTTTGGGGCATTTAACCATAAAAATAGTTATATTGGGCCATCGAATTATCTAGGAAGGCAACCACCTCAAGAACGAGTTTACGACCAATCTTACATGCAAATGACCAACCAGACTCCTCGCCAACAGTCTTTTTTAGAGACAGTAACAGCTGCAACAAAGGCGATTACCTCAAATCCAAGCTTTTGTTCTGCCTTAGCGGCTGCTTTCACCTCCTTAATCGGAAATGGAGATGGTGTGCCAAGAGAGAATATTGGTGGAAATGAAGGGAAGTGGGATGAGTCACATCCTCAGAAAACAGCCCACCCAGTAGCTGTAGGGAATGAAGTAGGCTGTACATCAAGCTACTTGGGAAAATCTTCATCCATGAATCCTCATCAGAAACAACAAAAGCCAGGAAGCTTACGACTGTTCCCAACATCCAATAGTGCTTCAGATCCTCTCACAGATAATAGCAAACATATCAAATGATGGACTGCTGGAAAAGCTAGCTAGCTGATGTATATGTTTCACTTGCCACAAATCAGCCCGCGGATTCCAATTAATGATATTTTTTGCATGAATTGAGGAGAAGAAAGCGAGACCAGGGAGAGAGAGTAGACAGTACTTAGAGAGCAAAATATAGATTTTTTTTTATTTCATATTAATTAGGTATTATGTATGCAATATTATAGATTTTTTTTTCCTTTTTAAGAAAATTTGCAATAAACTCAACTTTTGCTTTTTTACTATTTCCTTTTTTACATTTTACCTTACATCAAATATTGGGAAGGAAAATATGAAAAGTAAATAGTTAAAGTGACAAGAATCATACCATTCTATTTTGTGGAATTGCGGAAAAATAATTTGGATTAATCCCAGATCCTGGAATTTACTCGACTAGGGAGACAAATTCAAGGCCAGGACCACAGGAAAGTGAGGCCAGAAGATCCACACAAATGGGCATGGCTATGCTAAAAGCGGAGGCCCACCTATGTTTGCTCATGAGACCATTTCTAACAACGTGGTAACTGGTAACCAACAACGAAGAATGCCATGTGTCAAAATGCTCATGAGACCATTTCAAACAACCTGGTAACCAACGAAGCATGCCATGTTTCAAATGGTTGCACGTGGCATTTACAAGTTGCATGCATAATAATTTCACAGACTGAAATAGGAAACTGCTCCCAAGTGAATTCCGATCCCAGATTTGCTGAGCAATTTTTGAACGGGTATATCATATCTAATCCTTGGATGTTATTTTTATCTAGCTTGATAACCAAACCATTTTACTTCTTGTTATTATCTCTGCAAATTTCAGATTATGGTTTACAGTTTTTACTAGATTCAAGTTTTGTTTCTTTTAACCCCTGTTAGATTTTTATGGTACGAATGATTCTTGACAAGTCTTAAAGTTCAAGAATGAATTGGCTTTCCAAACGTAAATTACATGAATAATTTTATAAATTTTGATGTTAATCAACCATTTTGAGCTATAAATTAAGTATTTAATTCAAGTGATTGAGATGTTTAGAGTCAGGTAAAAATCATAAAGTAATAAGTAATTTTCTTCTTTCACGATTGGAGAATAATAATAAAAAAGAAAACATGGGTTGATACTTCTTTGATCTCATGAAAATGCCTAATCCCGATTTCTACTATTATTTGATCTCATGAAAGAGTCTTACATAGTTACATTCAACATAAAAGCCTTCTTTGCTCCCATTCTCCTGAATTGATCTTACTAGGATCAGTTTGTAGTTTTTTAAACTGGAAAGGGCTATAGCCCACACAACTCATAAGTTGGATGAAGGTACATCTATGACTGATTTTTTTTTTTTCAATCTATAACTTTGATTTATTACTTTAGGTACAAATTGGGATAGTTACCAACTTATGCTGTGGAGATGGCACAAGCAGAACAAACCAAGGAAAGTTCAGCATTTTCAAGCTGTGATGCTTATTTTGAGAAAATAAAGTCCAAGAAGAAATTATCGCAACCGTTTCAGGAGACTTTAACTGCTGCATTTGCAAGGATTCCTGTTTCTTCTTTCCCACAAGTTCCTGGTGGTAAAGGTGATAACAAAAGCTTTATTGCATCTACAACTTAAGCAATTTTAAGTTCATGAACTAGGTATCAGTAAAGGAAAATGCCTCAATTTCTAATAGTTGTGCGGTGACAATACTTTTGTAGTGATTGAAATTCAAGCAGATGCAACAATTGCTGATGCCGTTAAGATCCTATCAGAATGCAACATTATGTCTGCTCCTGTGAGAAACCCTGATGCAGTCACTAGCTTGGACTGGAGACAGAGGTACATAGGAATCATAGATTACTCAGCAATCATTCTCTGGTTACTAGAGAGTGCAGAACTTGCTGCTGTTGCTTTATCAGCCAGCACAGCTACAGCTGCTGGTTTAGGTGCTGGAGCCGTTGGTGCTCTTGGAGCACTAGCAATGGGTGTGACAGGTCCAGCTGCAGTTGCTGGACTAACAGTTGCTGCAGTAGGAGCTGCTGTGGCTGGTGGTGTGGCAGCTGATCAAGCAGCAGGAAAAGATCCTCCGTCAGTTGCTAACAACTTGGGCCAGGAATTTTACAAAGTTATCCTCCAAGAAGAACCATTCAAGTCAACCAGTGTAAGTTCTATGATGCAATGTTGATTATATATACAAAGAGTTGGGGTCCAATTTACCATTATACATTCATTTTTAGTGGCTCTGCAGGTGCAGTAGGCCATCTTTGCCAATCTTTAATCCTTTAGTTTTCTTTCTCTATGAGTCTAACCCAAGTACCCTATTATAAGATATTCTGATTGGCACCCAGTGAAACACAAGTAGAGACCGAATGATGATCTATTCTTCTTTTATGCCATCTTGAGAGGTACCCAGCACATGATTTTATATTTTTCAGGTAAGGTCAATAGTTAAATCATACAGATGGGCTCCTTTCATTCCAGTTGCAACAGACAGTTTCATGCTGAGTGTCCTGTTGCTACTCTCAAAATATAAGCTGAGAAATGTACCTGTAATTGAGCCAGGCAAGCCCGATATCAAGAACTACATTACTCAATCTGCGGTTATTGAAGGTCTGGAAGGATGCAGAGGGAGGGATTGGTTTGACTGTATTTCTGCACGGCCTATTTCTGATCTGGGACTTCCTTTCATGTCTTCTGATGAGGTGAAACTTTATGGTCACTTCAAATAACTAATAAGTATTTTTCAAGCTACTTTCAACATGAAACTTCAAATATTGCTATGAACTCTTTGTCAGGTTATTAGCATCCAAAGCGATGACCTGGTTCTGGAAGCATTCAAAAAAATGAGAGACAACCAAGTTGGTGGTCTTCCAGTCGTAGAGGGGCCAAGGAAAAAGATTGTCGGGAATGTAAGCATAAGAGACATCAGACACTTGCTTCTCAAACCTCAACTTTTCTCCAATTTCAGGTATAGCAAAAGGCATGCAGCGCATTAAACCTGCAAAGCACTACCTCGTATTTATATGTGGATATATATATATATATTATTCTCATTCCTGTTGGAAAACTACTTATCGTCCATTAAAAGATTACATATACCGAATTGCAGAAGAAATGGACTTGAATTTGATCACTTCAAAAATACTTATATCTAGCAAAGAATGTTCCATGCAACCCATGGTGGTTTAAAAATGCTTTTATTTGCTTGATTCTTAATTTCAGGCAGCTCACTGTGAAGGATTTCATGAATACCGTTGTTTCAACCGGCCAAGAACGTGGCAGACTCATCCCGCCAATAACATGCAAGGTAGATTCAACTCTTGGTAGTGTGATCCACAGTCTTGCCACCAAATTGGTGCACAGGATCTATGTAGTAAGCGAGAATGAGAATGAAGTTACCGGTGTCATTACTCTCAGAGATGTGATCTCTTGCTTCATATTTGAGCCCCCAAACTATTTTGATAGCTACTTTGGGTTTTCAGTGACAGAAATGTTGAATCAGTGAAGTGTCTGTTGTCTAATAACAACCCATGCAGAGGTGCAACTGAATCTGATTCAGTTTACAATTTCTCGCCATCCTGTACTATGCAGTTTCTCTTCATGTAATTTCAATTGAACTAAATCCAATGAATTTTACTGTTTTATGTTCAGTTAGATTTTGACTAACTTGATTGATCAAATTAATTGATATCAAGCATGTTTTATACACATATTCATATGTTAATCTTAATAATCTTGCTAGTCGAAATACATTTTTTTTTTCTTCGTGGATTTTTTAAGTAACAAGTACATGTATTTATCATTATCTTAGTTTATAAAACTAAAATGGGTGATGAATTTGGGAAACAGGAAAAACCCTAAAGAAAATGATTATGGAAATTTCATAGACCTCTCATTATTCATTTTCCTCCCAATGGTTGAAAAAACCTTGAGAGAATCCAAAAAAAGGAAGGAAAAAAAATTTGGTTAGCCATGGACCATGGTGGTTATTCTCAACTTTTTGTATCTATTTTGTTCCCCACAAACAAAAAATGGAAGAATATTTTCCAATGAAAAGAAAAGATAAAACTAATTTTCTTATATATATTCTCATCCAATGCCCCCTAAAAAAAGGCATATCTACTTTATATTTTGAAAAAAATATTTGCAAGATTGAACCCATTGTTAGAATTTATCTTTTAAAAAGGTGTAAAATTTAAGGTGAATAAAAAAAATGAATCATTTAAATTAAATCTCAAATTCATTTGCTATTTAATTTTAGCAACAAATTAAAATTTTATGTGATAATCAAATGGTTATAGAAGCATTTTATTTTTTTTATTACAAACATAAACTAACCAAACTCAAATTGAGCTTGTCTACCATTGAAGATATGCCTAATTTATAGGCATGAATTTTATATGATTAGAGACTGTGATAGTGAAATCCATGAATTTTTTTTTTTTAGTCATGAAATTTGATTTGGTAACAAAGTTTTCCTTATCAACGATGGAAATAGTGTTTTTACTTGTAGTATTACATAGGTAAGAACAATCTTATCATAATTGATCGCATTTTTGGACCGCCCATGTGCATAAGCTCTGTTGATAAAACTAATCTTTTCCATTATGTCAGCATCGAAAATTTTAATTATTCTAGGATCTTTTTACTATTATAATGAGAAATGAACATTCTAGAAAACTAATTAAATTACGTATATTATTCTTTTTGTATATAAAAGAAAATAAAATGTAGGGTTGATGGAAATTTTAAAAGATAAAAAACTGAAAGAAAAAAGAAAAAATGAAAATGTAAAGCCAAAATTGAAAAAAAAATTATATCATTTTAGAATTTTATTATTTGTCAGGTAGGAAAATAAAAAGATAATAACTAAAAAATATGAATAATTTTATAATTACATATAGGCACCTTCTCACACTTCTTTTTTTTTTTTTTTTAACTTGAAATAATTTATTTTGAATTATAATAAAAAATATTTTTCTTCTTCTCTCACGAAATAAAGTTAATTTTTTTCCTCTTTTATCTGTTCATCCTTCAATATTTTTATTGATTAAAGGGTCGTAAAAGTCATACAACAAATATTAAATAATTATCTAAATTTTTATCATTTTATTACAATAAATTAATTTTTAAATATTTATTTTTATCAATTGAATCCTTATTAAATGAATTAATTTATTTTTAATATCAATATTCATCTAATCAAAAACTTAATTAAAAAATATATTTAAATTTAATTGATTTAAAATAAAAATTTTAACTAATTATAGTAAAATATCAAAATTTTAAATATATATATATATATTTTTGTCATTTTTATTTTACCAAACACGTTGTTATTTGTTAACTATTATCAACTTGACACTGGCAGTCAAGGGCCCACCCACAAAAATAAGGAGAATTAAAAATTTATTAAATAGATGGTATCAGTAAAAATAAAATTAAAAAAAAAAAAAGAACTATATATAAAGGATCACTGACCCAACCAAGCCATCGTCTTCTTTATCTGTTATGATTAAAAATAATAATAAATAAATCTCTAGAAAATAAAATATTTTCTTTGGGATCTGTCGGTTTATGATTAATTGAAAAGAAGAACTAAAGAATCTTTCTCGGGTAGAATTTTCTGTTTGTTTCCTTTGAAAATCTTGGGAAGGAAATTTTTTCCTTTTTTATCTTTTGTTAACTCGTGATTCTGAAGCTTTTTTTGGAGAATCCTGGTTAACTCGCCGCGTTAACTCAGAAAGTAAGAACTTTTTTTTTTCTTCATTTCTTTTTATTCTTTGTTTTCTATTTCTTAGATGAGATTAATTTTTTGTTTGTTTCTTTAATTTCGCTTTGGTTTTTGTCTGGTAATTTTATCCAAGTGTAACTCTGGTTTTGATTGCTAAGATCTGTAGAAGCTTTGGGTTCTTGATGTTGTTGTTGCAGTTATGGATCTAGGGTTATGTAAGATTTGAAGATTTAGGATTGATTTCTTTTGGGTTTTAATTAGATGTGTGTTTTTAGCTGATTTTTATGTTGATTTTAACTCTTTATGTTTAGATTCTCTGAGTTTTTTATTGCTAGATGTTAATTTGTTCTGATAATTCAAAAAATGGATGAACTTTAATCTTTGTTTTATTGTTTAATGGTAGTGATCTGCTAAATCAGTGTTCAGAACAAAGCTTAAAAGCAAAAATCTGCTTTATGTCCCCTTTGGTCTTTCTCTTTGTTGCCTTATGTTTAAGCAAATTATATTATAACTTTTTTCTATCTGATGAGTATGCAAATTGATGTTTCTCACTTATTGGAGCATGAGATTCCAAGTTGGAAGTGTTTAGTTTGAACCATGGGGTTGTTGGGTAGATCTATGGTGTGGGACAGAGTTGGCTGCTGTTGTGTTGTTCATGACTTAGTGACGCTGCATACACCTCAAAGTAAAAGATTGAGGTGTGCATGTCAATCTGCATGTAAAGTTATAGAACAGATGCTCTAAACTTGGTTTGGTTATAGAACTCTGGTTTTAATCCAATCTGTTTGATGTTTATGTTAAAGAACTCTGGCTTCTTCTATTGTTCATTTTGTGCATCTTTGTATTGATTTTGGATCAGCGTCCTTTAAATTTGTAGGCGGTGAGGCATGTCGACTCCAGCAAGGAAGAGACTGATGAGGGATTTTAAGAGGTTGCAACAAGATCCTCCTGCAGGAATTAGTGGTGCTCCTCAAGATAACAATATTATGCTCTGGAATGCTGTTATATTTGGGTATGTGACGAAATGAGACTGGAGTGCCTTTTTCCTACTTTCTTTACTTGTTTTTTAGCTAAAGATTCTATAGAATTGTGCTCATGTCTTTACTTGATGGATTTGCAGACCTGATGACACCCCATGGGATGGAGGTAAAGTAAATTCTGGGGCATATTTTGGTTTGAAGTATCAATTTGTCTGTAATTGCTTGGTAGATTAGTTTGCTTGTCTCTTTAGATGATTGTTATGCACGCCATATGTTGATATAACATATCTAATTGGAGGCAATTTCCTAGTAATTCTACAGTTACATAATGATGTTATTAATTTCCCATTCATTAATTGATTAAATGCTCCATCTACACCTCGCTTTTTTTAACTAGATTTTCTGAATGGCCTGAAAACAGAACAGAGATTCTTTGAATTGTATGAACTGGTACTTCATACAAAATGCTGAGGGTTAGATTTGTTTGATAGAAGTGGCATTGGTAATGGTTCCTTAGACATATTTTTCATGTGAATAATGAAGCAGAAGATGTTAAACAACCTTGTTATGGAATGGAGCCTTGAGGAAATCTTTAAACTTCAATGACCCTAAGATTATTGTTAAGGACATTCTTAAGAGGATGGCCATTCGACCTCTGCATTTTAACCTTCAAACCAGGAAAATGGTCATTCTTATTAGTTTGATAAACTAGCATTTCAGGATCATTTAAGCTTATTTTTTAACAGTTTTATCATAGAATGTAGGTATTCTTCTAGCAACTATAAATTGATCTCCTTTTTTATATTTTTGAGTCTTTCAGGTACGTTTAAACTGACACTTCAGTTTACAGAGGATTATCCAAACAAGCCACCAACGGTTCGTTTTGTATCTCGAATGTTCCATCCAAATAGTAAGCCTTTAGACTAATCCTATTCTTTAGCTACATCCGCATTTTCAGTTGACATTTTCATTTATTCTTACATGCCCTGCAGTTCTTAAAATTTTTATTAGTCTTCAACTGTTGACATATTTGTTTAAACTTATCCTATCTTGCATGATAGGTGTAACATATAGGGTGTAACTATAGTGTTTATGTTTATGTCACACATCAGGCTGTGATCTTTTATTGACTATACTTGTGAATGACTAGACCTAATAATTGGAAAGTGCGTGATATTTGTGCTTTGTTAATGAGTGGACCGCTACTTGGAAAGTGGGTGCTGGAGGAGGACTACATGTAGCATTTGTTTTTGAATTGCAAACATGAGCTAATATTCTGGAGACCCAATGCCATCATTTGTTATTTGTTTGTTGCATAAGCACCCATCCATCCGATATGATATACACACATACAACTGAAGCTTTTAAGCTGATTTTGACTTAACAAGTTTACATGTGCAGCTTCAGTTTCTGGTTTTCTTCATTTGAAATCTATATTATGTTTTATTTGTTATGAAGAAGTTTTATCTGTATGCTCTGATATATTTGTTAGGCAACAGTTTTAGCTGATCTTGTTCTGATCCGTATTTATCCTGCAAATTTTTCAGTTTATGCGGATGGAAGCATCTGTTTGGACATTCTACAAAATCAGTGGAGCCCAATTTATGATGTAGCAGCAATACTGACATCTATTCAGGTACAGTGTAATTCTTCAGGCATTCATTTGTGGCTATCTAAGGACCATGGCATCAAATATAATTTAATTCCAATTCAAGCATGTCATAGTCTATGCTTCTAAAACTATCTGCCTAATATTGTAAACTTAATATGAAAGTCGTGGAAGCAGAAAAATTGGTTGCCTTTGCAAGGTTCTACTGACAAACTGCGGCTTGTTTTTGATTGGGAGATCTTTCATTATAATGATGACATCAATGCATGTGTTTGTGTTAATCTGGAAAGTGGAGCCGTAGATCCAGGTGGCAAGACAAATATTGCTTGATCCTGTCAGTCAGTCATGTTAAGGAATTAGAACTTTCTTTTAATATTTGTATAAATCATTTATGAGATTGCATAGCATTGACCTGGTGTGTGTGTATATACTCACAGATATACAAAACATGTAAAATTGGGCCTTGGGCTAAACAATTGGATGTAGCTCTTCCCTTCCTCAAACTTGATAGTTGATACCTCTAAATTAAGAGTCCTTGGTTCTAACCCTAGATAGGTATCTTGTTATGAAACTGTGGTATTTATGCATTTAATGTGTACAACTCTCTCTCTCTCTCTCTCTCTCTCTCTCTCTCTCTCTCTCTCACTGTCTGCCCTGTTGTTTTGAGCCACAATTATTTTGTGTATGCAGTCGTTGCTTTGTGATCCAAATCCTAATTCTCCTGCAAATTCAGAAGCTGCTCGGATGTTTAGCGAGAACAAGCGTGAATACAATAGGAGAGTACGTGAGATTGTCGAGCAGAGTTGGACCGCTGATTGATAGCTCGTGGTTTGATTCCATAGTAAGAACAAGCATGAATAGAATAGGAGAATATGTGAGATTGTCGACCAGAGTTGGACTGCTGATTGATAGCTCACAGTTTGGTTCTATGGAATGGCAAAAACAGTCCAATGGCCTGTCTAAATAACATTTGACACTGAAAATGTGTTGCAAACTATTTTGACTTTATTATGTTGTTTGTTTTATGAGGATGGATGATGCTTCCTTAATTGAAATGATTGCTCTATCTTCTTTTAAGTCATTTGTTCAAAAAGTTAGTCTAAACTTTCTTTTTGGTGCAAAGACCATTAATGACGGAATGATTTAAGACTTTTTGACAGACAAAATGATGTTTGGCATCCGGGCATGGATCATGCTGGCATTTTCTTTCCGTCCTCTCTTTTTCTTTGCTTTTACTTGTCTCTTCCCTTTTCCTTTGGTGGAAGGATGGGGTGGTGGGGGGGGGGGGGGGGGGGGGCGCTAGCATGATTTGAATGAAAAAGATAACCCATCTACCGGTAAAATTAAAATGAACTCCCATGTGGGAGCTTTTAAATCTCATGTAAATACAAGTAGAAATACTAACAATTATTTTTTGCTACAGTTATAAAATTATATACTGAGTAGATAATAAACTGTGGCTGTTGGAGGGTGGAAAAAGTAATGAACTATTACATATGAGTGGCAAGGTTTCCGCTACTGGTCCATCCTTCCTGAACTTGAATTGAGTATTGCAAATTCCAAAGAACGTCTTCTATCGAGGGACGCTTGGTTGAATCTTTGGACAGGCAATTGATTGCAAATTCAACTGTGGTTCTCATTGATTCATATGCAAAAGTGCCCCGTACTGACGGATCTATTAAACCTCTTAACTTTGATGGTCCTTCAGCTAAGCTCTTTTCCAGCTGCAAGGAGAAACAGGCAATTTAATGTAGTTTCTAGTTGTTTTTATAACAGTTTTGCCTGGAGAAGTGGAACAAATAAACAACCTACCTCAAGTTTAAGCTCATCCAATTCACTTGTGAATGTAGCCAGTTTACCAGTAATAACTTGAAGTAGAAGAATACCCAGCTGATAAATGTCTTCCTTCTCAGCATTTTCGTCACTGCAGGAATTGTTATAAGTTATAGCCTTGCCCTTGCGGCAATGAAAATTGAATAGGACAAGTTGGGAGAAAGACGTTACCTGCTAAGACAATTGGCAAGGGGGCTTTCTGAACCCATCTGCAATTTCATCAAGGAAAACGAAGAAAAATAAGAAAGAAAGAACAGATTATGTTCAGAAATAATGCAGTCAAATTAATTTAAATTTCCCTCTGTTTCCTATATACCTTTAGTGGCAAGGGGATGTTGTAATTACTAATTTTGGCTGTAAGAGTCTCATCCAACAAAATATTATCAATCTTTAAATCGTTCCCGTAAATGCCTGGTGCAATTCCTGTGTGCAAGAATTGGATCCCCCTTGCAGCACCAATGGTGATTGCCATTCTCTGTGGCCACTTCAGTATTTCCTTCTTTCTCCAATCTGCCAAATCAAATCAAAAGTAAATTAAATTCTTGCTTTTGCCCTGTTGCCTAAGTTACGTGTGGGGTTAACTTTACCGGTAAGATAGTCCCGCAATGATCCGTTCGAAATGTGTTCAAAGACAACGAATACAGTACTGGCAGTATTGGGATGATCCTGGTAAGTTACAATACAGTGTCCCAGAACGCTGACCAAATGCCGATGCCTTAGCTTGGACAAAACTTCCATGTGTTGCATAAGGTTTTGAGGTAAATGCTTCTGCTTTAGTTTCAGACATTTTACCACCACTACCGAGCCATCTACAAGCCAACCTTTATAGAGCTGCAAACATCAGGGTAACCATTTTTCAACTTGAATATAACCAATCTTATTGCTATCACATGATAAGCTTCATGTCTTAGGGGACTAATGACATTTAACATAAAAGTTTTACCTGCCCCTGAGATCCTTTCCCCATAAAATTTGTTGGGTCAAAGTTGTTTGTTGCATCTTCAATTTCCTCCAAGCTGAAAACACGATATCGAGGAAGCCCAATTGCAGCTGATCTCATTGTCTGAGGCACACGCCCTGTAGTGTAGCAAAGCAAGCAGGTTTAAATGATGTTACAATTTGCAATCTTATGTGAATGGTTATGAATAGTAGAGGTGGAAAGGAACAAAGATAGTCTTACTTGAATCAATGGCTGGTTTTGGAGAGCTACGAACAGACATTTTGTCCGCAGTGGATCTTTCATAGTTTGCATCTTCAGTTTTTTCTGATCTTCTGACAATGACCAAAATTAACAATGCAATAGTTCCTGCAATGCCAACGGCGCCGCCAATGATACCGAGAATTAGGCCTATTTTGATTCCAGAATCCTTTTCCTTTCTTCTAACCGGAGGCTTAACCGCCAATGCTTCTTTGTTGCAAAATGAATACGGATGCTGGCGATTTGAATTCCCACCAGACAGACAATTCCATGAACTAAAGACTGTTCTATTTCTCGAATTTGATCCTATGCATGGAGGGAGATTTCCTATCAAAAGGTTATTTGAGATATCTACAAAGGCGAGGTTCTTAGAACAAGATGTATTCACTGCAAGGGCACCGGTTAATTGGTTTTGTTTCAAATTAAGATACTGAATTGAAGGCAGGGAGAATAGAAAAGATGGGATTGGTCCGATAAATTTATTATAAGAGATGTCCAGCTTCTGAAGCTGATAGGATTTCTTCAGTCCTAAAGGGATTTCAGATCTAAAGGAATTATTCCTCAAGATTATACTTACAAGATTCTGGCTTAATGAAGGAAATCGTGGTCCAAGGTGATTGCCACCCAAATTTAGCTCTTCGAGGCTTGTTAAACCTGTAAGATCTGGAACGCTCCCATTGAACATATTGTCAGCCAAAACAAGACTCGTTAGATTCTTGAACGATGCAATCTGCTTAGGAATCTTCCCGGAAATGAAATTTGAGCTTATGTTAAGAACTTCGAGTGAACGAAACCTGTTGATCTTGGCAGGCAAGGGACCCCATAACCCCGAGGACACCAGGGACAATACTTTCAAATCAGAAAGCTTTGTCAGGACTGTGAATAATGCATCAATGGAGAACGTATCAGACAAAGCCTGTTGAGAACCTGTAACATTCCCTGAAGTTGTCTTTGTGGTGTGAGCTGGAGAGCTCTTGTTTCCAACAATAGTTAATTCTGTTACTCGACTGTTTGTGCAGACAATCTTGAGAGAAGGAGAAGTAGGGAGATAACAGAAGTTGGTCCAGTTTTTCCATCCTTGAAGAACTTCCGGATATTCAAGAAGCCTTTGAACTTGGAAAAAAATCCTGGTTTCAGTTGGAGTAAGCTGCCCTATTGAAACTGGAACAAGCATGAAAATCACAGAAAGCAATGAACAGAAACCAACCCTGAAAGTCTCCATTCCGCTCTTCTACTTAGTTAAACTCAAAAAAAGAAATAAAGAAGCTAAAACTTCAAAATTTTGTAGTAATAGAAAACATTTCTTGGTAAGGGAGAATCACATTAACTTCATGTGTTCAGTCACATAATGCACATAACCTTTTAACACATAGCCCCTACGCCCCCATAAATGCAGTTTCATCTAAAAAAGACAAATTCGTAGTCTGGGTTTTCCTCACTTCTTATTAAAGGTTAAAAATAGAAGCAAAATGACTGAACAGGAGCCACACAGACACAGTTTAGGATCAAGCCATGCTTTATTTCACTAGACTTGAATAGTTGGAAATCGTTTTCGGGACAAAGTAGATGCGAAAGCTAATAATCGAGAAAGTGATGGAACTTTTTTTAAAGAACTTGAAGAAAAGAGAATCAAAGATCCAAGGAAGAGTGGGAACTTCAAAAAAAAAAAAATGTATTTATTTGCAATGAACCGCTGGCCTAACAGGCAGGGCATGCAAATGCAATGGAATGCAAAGGAAATCTTGATCCTAAGATACGCAATCTGTCATATTAAATTGCAACTGGGTTATTAAAAGAAGGAAGTCAACTTTTGGCTCTGAATTCAAACGCTTCCATTTGCGGGAACTTCGGTTTCGTGTTGATTATCCATGTTATGGTAGACCCTCGAGGACGGGCTAGTAACGTAAAGTCACGCGCCAAGTGGAACTTGGGATTCGTGAAACAAAGCACAAAAAGCAATGCTCAAGGAAGTCACAAGCCGTTCACCTGCCTTTATGACCAAAATACCCTCTTACATCAGTATCGAGATTCAAAGCACTGTTTTATAACGGTCCCCAGGGAAATTGAAAGTGAAAATGACGACAATGGCCCCTGTTGGCCGTTGTTTTGTGTCCGAAATGCCGTGTTGTCGGTGAGAGGTGTTAAAAAAGAAAGGTAAAAAGGTTGCCAGTTTGTCAAACACGAATTTTAATGATGTGTTAGCTCTACCTAATTCGTTATTATCTTCTTGTAATTTTGATTGATGGGATGGCATGCGCTGTGTTTATTCTTAGACTTAGCCGCCTTCACCGATAAAACGTTAGTTTAATTGGTGCGAATCGTTAACGATGATGTAAAAATTTTGAAATTTTGAGTTCAAATTTAGTAATTAATATTTTGTTGAGGTTATTTAATTATACAACTTTCAATTATTATTTTTATTAAATATGATATATTTTATTTTAATTTAAAAAATTAAATAATTTATTTATCTTAAAATTTTGGTACAAAAAAACTTAGCTGTCTTTTTTTGTTGTGTTATTTTGTTCTTTTCGTGAATGATGGAAACCGTAGCTTTCTTTGCATAAGTCGACAACAAGGAGTAATTTAGCTCTAATTAATAATGTGACAAGCTATTTTAAAGAATTTGGCATTTTCTCCATCATGGAATTTTCTATGTGAGAGCGAAAGTCTTTTATTTAATTTTTGAGATGAAATTATAATTTTTTATTTATCTAAACTTATATATAATTCTGGCAAAAAAAAAACTTATATATAATTAAATTTTATAAAAAAAAATATTTAAAAGATTTTAGGAACTTTGTGGCCAATGGCCAACCGCCCTTACTTCCATTCATCATTTTCTCCTAATTTTATACTTTTTTTTTATTTTAATACGCTGCACTTTACAGTTTAATTGTTTTTTATGATCATGCATTGTTATCATGTAGTTTTATAATTCATTGTGATTTGAGATTTGTTGATATCCGTAACCCTTTATTTCAATTTCGCTTTAATTTTTAATTTTTAAATTATTTATTTGAATCATTTTAAAATGGTTTCAATTTGGTATTTTCATCAAATTGATTAGTCAAAATTAACCTAATATCCACGCTATAGGTTAGGTGGCACATCGCGTGGATATTTTTCTTAATCATAGTCAAATAATATAATGAAAATATCAAAATGAAATCATTTTAAAAGATTAAAAATAAAATAATTAAAATTTAAAATCGAACCGAAATAAAAGGAAAGATTATGGATGAAATTTTCTTATATATATTATTTATTGATAATATATCAAATAATATATATACATCTTAAAAAATTTTAATGTTACTATTCAAGATTAAATTGTTAATTGTGATGGAGCTAGTTGACCATAGAATAAAGACGAGATGAACATGGCTCTTCACATGCTAATGTAGCAACAGTATTAAGGGAAGGTATTTTTTTTTTTTTTTACAAAAAAAACCATATTTTTGGAATAAAAAAAAAGATTATACATATTAAGATTTAAATATCATATTTGTTAAATATTATTTTTTACGTGTTAAAATTTGAATATCATAATTATTAAATATCATTTTTTTTAAATGATTATATCGATCAATTAAATTAAAATTCTTACTTATATAAAGTAATTGAGACTTAACACTCTAATCTATTAAATGTATTAGGGGAACGGCAGTTTTATAAAAGTAGATGCACATGGAATGCCTTGGAGAAGCTGCAGTTTTTGCTATTTAAAATGCTTCCCCAACCATCTAAAATACAGTAGATTAACAATAGGAGAAAAGGTTAAGTCTTCGCTTTTGGTGGAATCCTATAATTTATGTTGAACAAAATATGTTTATTTTATTACCATATTTACTTTCTTAATGATGGTATGCCAGAACAGACAACCGACATGTTACCATGCTAGGTACATATTTAAAGCAAAGGCCCAACATTGGCCCATCAATTAATCACTAGCAACGTTGGGTCAATACTCAATCCGACATGATTACTTTGTTGATTAAAAATGCTTTTTGTTTGTCTAATCTCACTTATCTGTTGGACAGCTGTCACTTAATTACACTTTTTTTTGGTTTGATTAGAGACTTAATGACAATTAATCCGTTGAAATTTGCCATCAATTCTTAAACAATCCCATTAGTTGTTAGTAACCATCGTTACCAGCCAGCAACCACCATGTATAGTATTTTTTAAAGAATCTTATTACAACTCGACAGTGAACCAACTACTTGTCTTAAAAGAGTTTATTTGAGTAAGTACATTTAACTTTGTCTGTTTTAATGTTTCAAAGGAATATTTGGTTCTTTTAATGTTATTATTATTATTAAAAGTAACACGAGAACATATGGTCTTTAAAAAAGAATTATTTATTACATGAATTTTTTTCATTAAATGTAAGAATTTAGGAAATTAAATATAATTACTAAATTAAATGTTTTTTTTTTTTGGAAAAAAACAAAAAAAAAAACAGGAAATTGAAGCAAATTGAGACAGGTCACCAGCAAAAGCAGAGCGGGGAAGGAAAAGGGACCATATTTATATCCCCATTACCGCTTTTATTTTCTTGGGCCAGCCCATCACGTCTTTCATAGGGCTTGAAATGGGCCCACTTTGTGGCCCATTGAAAACACAAACGGCGTCATTTCATACTTTTTCCTCTCTTTCTTGTAGTGGCATTCATTTCACTTCACTCTACACATCAGAAAACAAAAAAAACCTGCTCAAAGGTTCTATTGTTCGAGGAATGCTGCTCACTGTTCAGTAATTATCTTAAATCGTACATTTATCTTCTTCATTCTTGACATTAAATTTTCTTCTCTGATTTTTTTTAATCTTGGAAAATGAAATTCTAAGAAAAACAAAAAATTTTCTTCAGATCTCTGAATATTTACTGTTTATTTTTCTTCTGTTTTATGGGTATTTAACATTTTATTTTTCAGTAATGGCAACTTACTAGGCCTTCAAGTTTACTGCATTTTCAGGTAAAAGTTTTTTATCCTTTTTTTTTTTTTTTTTTACCTTTTTCAGTTTTTGCCGACACGGTTGGCGCATGCATCTTGTTCCGACGAGATCTCTGCTTCTTGTTCTTTTTTTTTTTTGTCTTGATTTACTGGCTTTAGTTGTTTTTTTTCCTTAAGTTAAGTAGATGTGGACTTTGTTTATTAATCTTTAATTTTTTACTGTTGAGATTGTGAAGGTAATTTGAAAATGACAGTGAAATTTTCGAATTTTTTTTGTTTTTAGTATTTCATCTTTTAAGGTAACTAACAAGCTATTGGTTCTGTAGTGTAGTAAAATTTTAACTGCCATTAACTGCAAACTGTAGTAACATATTGAGAACATTGGTTGTCTTTTTAATGCTATGTTTAGTTTTGTTTAATCCTTACATTCTATGCTCCGGATTTGCAGATTTACAAACTTGGGGTTTTAAATATTTCTGTTTTCAAGAAGATGGGAAAATCCCCTGGAAAATGGATCAAGACCTTACTTCTTGGGAAGAAATCTTCAAAGTCCAATTTGTCCAAAGAAAGAAAGAAGCTGGTAAGAAAAGAAAGTACTGATTGTCCTCAAATCTTTAAATAGTAATTGAGGAATGGAAATACTACATGTTCTATTTTTTTATTATATGTGCAGAATTCTGCAAATAAAGGAGAGGTATTGGTTTCTTCCAAGGTAACTGTGTCTGACCTATCAGTGGATCCTCCATCAATTTCAGCACCTATTCTGGTGAGCGGTGCTAGGGACATAGAGGATTCTGAGAAGGGTATGCCTACCCAATTGCCAAATGATGGGGTAAATATCTCATCTTCAAAAGCGGAAAGAAATGATGCTGCAATAAGTAATTTTGGTAATCCAGAAGATCCTGATAGGATTAGGCTCGATCAAGCTGCTGCAAAGGCACAGGCTGCTTTCAGAGGTTATCTGGTAGTTTACTTTCTATTTAGAGATTACTGTTATACTTAAATATCATGCGGAGTAATGAAATGCATAAGCCTTTTACTGCTATAGTCTTCATTCAGCTGTGTGAAAACTCTGCTGATTATTGTTGGTAGTAACTTGTATGACTGTCAGTATTATACTTATTTTGTTTGAGTTGGCATTTGGGTGGTAATATTGGACCTTCTCACTCTGTATCAGACCTTAGGTTGTTGATGATGATTGCACATATTTAATGGTAAATTTATGTGAGGATTGAATGAGAAATAATTCATTCCTACTTCTTTCGTGGTATGATCTAAACCTTTCTTTTCATTGGGTGGTAAAATATTCAATCAGTTCTTGGTTTAAATGCTTGTGCATGTCAGACTGTACAAACAGCTGTTGCCTCTTTATTTTATAGTTATTTCATACTTTCATTAGTGTTTATGTGTGTGTATATTAAATTTAGCCCCTTGCTGTTGGAAAAAATGAGTGTAGGCAATGTAAGTGGATGCAAAACTCTTTAAGGTTAAAGTAACTTGGGTGGTCTGCCACTCATTTGACTAAACGTAACTTCTCAGATTCATGCATGTATCATTTTTGTACAAGCATCTTCTTGTTTAGAATATTTCAATCCGAAAATATTTGACTACTTACTGATTTATAGTACTCGTTTGACTTCTAAATGCAAATTTGGTAAGCATGGATTTGCATAAAGTGTAATAAAAGTATAGAATCTGCTGTCAACTGTTTGCATGACCTTATATTAGGATTAGCATCCTCCCTAAAATCATGTAGTTTTATTGATGACAATATTATGTGTTGGAAGGCTCGCAGGGCATTTCGAACCCTTAAGGGAATTATAAGGCTGCAAGCACTTATACGTGGTTACTTGGTTAGAAGACAAGCTGTTGCTACTTTATTCTGTACATGGGGAATTGTTAAGTTCCAGGCAGCAGCTCGTGGTCAAAAGGTCAGGTGTTCAGATATTGGCATTGAAGTGCAGGAAAAACATCTAAGACTGCTTCAGGTGATTTTTCCTATAGACCAGCGTGCAGTGTCTTGTCTTTTCTTGATATTCTGAAAAAAACTGTAAACACAAGTTGTTTATGTCCTGGTTATGTTTGTTGTTTATGTGAAAGTGCCTATGAGAATAAAGGTAATTTTATGATTATATCAATATTAATATGGGCACAGATATAGTAACCATGCGTTAGTAATAAAGGATTATTTTTAATTCAGGATGCTTATTTGAGAATCAAACTATACCTTCTTTTTGTCTCATTACATGGCTTGCTGAGTAGCTAATTATACATACCATGCTTCTAAGCTAGGTATGATTTATTTATTTATTTATTTAAGCAGGGTTCTAAAAGCTCGGATTCTTTCAGAGTGACTGCATCTTCTCAGGTGAAGAATTTATCAAATAATGTGTTTGTTAAGAAGGTATGGTCTTTTTCTTTCATTTGCTCTCTGTTACCAATGTTAGATTGAGCTTACTATATAAATAAGAACTTCTGTGCTGATGGAGAGTCAATGATGTTTAGCCTTTAGGACATTTTTCGTACTCCTAAAAATTCCTGATTGTGCTGCCACACTAGTTGTCTGACCTCTTTTATATAGTATTATCATAATATTGCTCCTGTTTCTTGTGTTTTGAATTTGCACTGTGCTCCTTGATTCTTAGAATGATTCTTTTTACTTCAAGGTTACAATTTTCTATTGCAAACATTCTTACTCTTTATTAGTCTTTGTTCTTTTTTCTCTATGGTACTTAATGTTTATAACAGTACAGTAGAAGCGTGTTTCCTATTTAAACTCACCGGTCAAGTGTAAATAGACATATGCCCCATCTTATCTTGGGAGCTTCCTCGCCTGATTCCTTTTTCTGTATCTCACCTTCTGAGAATCACAAATGCAAATGTATCGGTTTTTTCTAGATCCCTTCTGTTTTTATCAAAATGACTATGATAGTCATGTCTATTATTTTGGGTCTCCATCCACCACCTTGTTTAGATTGTTATTGTTTATCTGTTTTTTTCCTACTCAAAAGCCTTGGTAACTGCTTACTTCTTAAAACATTCTTCTCAAAGGACTTAAATCTTAGGAACTGCCTTCAATTAGCTTAGGTTGCTTTACTTGGTAATAAATGTGGGCTATCAATAAAAGCCAAGGTTGCATTGCCTTGCTGTGGAACATTGTGAAATGGTAAACAAAAGATTCGTAAACTTTAGAACTCTAGCATGATTTAACTTGGCTCCTTTCTCTTTAATAAGGACAAACTTTGTCAGTGATGAATATTTTTATGTATGCCATCACTTAATTACTTGTTCCTAGCTGATGGAATGTTGCGAATGGCAAGAATCATGATGTCTCAACTTATGTCAGTTCTGCTTTGTTCTTTTCACTGCTGCTCCAAACTGTAAAAGTGACTATGCATTTCAATCACTTTCAGCTTCTGGCTTCATCACCTTCTGTATTACCTCTACGACTTCAGTACGGTCCTGAGGAACCTGACTCATCATGGCAGTGGCTTCAACGCTGGACAAGGTCACATTTTTGGGAATCACCTTCACAGCCAATTAGGAGTCTGGCATCGAAGTCTCAGACAAAGGGCGTTGAAAATGGGCAAGGAAAGACAAAGCGAAGTGTTCGGAAACTGTCCAATGCAAAAGTTGAAAATGGATCTAGTCGTTCTATTTCAGAGCATGAAAAACCCAAACGTGGTCTGAGGAGAGTTTCTGGCAACTCAGCAGCAGATTCAGTTCAGGAGCATCCACAAAATGAGCTTGAGAAGGTTAAGCGAAATTTAAGAAAACTTTCTGACTCTGCAAAGGAGGTTTCTGATAAGTCTGAGGTTGTTAATGAGAAAAAAAGGCAGACTCTGAAAAAAACTTCTACTTCTGATGCTCCTCATGTTTCCGAACAGGAATCTGCTGTGAAGATGAGAGATGTGACTGCCACACTATCAAAACTGTCAAATCTTGAGGCAGATCTGAAATTTTCCTCCGAAGATGCTTCTCTTGACGAGCCTAATGTCTGTCCTCCAGTTGACTTGCCACCTGCTGAAAACAATGGTAAAATTGAGAACATATTGGTAACAGAGGAGTTAAGCTCTAAGGATGAGCAGGTCAGCGATGAGAGCTCAAAAGCAAACCAAAGAAGAGCTTCTTTCCCTGCAAAAATTGATAATCAAGAAAATGGGTTAAATAACATGCCAAAAGTGCCCAGTTATATGGCACCAACTGAATCTGTGAAAGCTAGACTTAGGGGTCAAGGCTCCCCCCGGTTTACGCTTGAGGTGGTTGAGAAAAATGGGTTAAACGGACGATATTCTCTGCCATCTTCAACCAATAGCAATCGAAGTTCACTGTCACCACATGCTCAAAGACTGGTTCAAGTAGCTGGCAAAGGAGCTATCCACAGTGACAAATCTCTATCATCCTCTAGAAATGCTAATGGTAAGCAAGACTGAACACTGGACGTTTTATGCCTTTCCATTTGTGTTTTTGTTTTGCTATATCAGTGTCATATCTGGATATGCTGCTTAGTTTTTCCCCATTCTTTCAGTAAGACATGGGAATTCATCTCCATCTTTGTTCTTATTCATGTCTACATGTCTAGTTAAGCATGCTCATATATTGTTAGGTCTATGTAACAGTTAGCATGCAAATTTTATTGAGTAATGCTATCTGAACCGGATAGTCATTTAGGGTCTTTGCTAATTATTTCTGCTTTATGAATCTTTCTCTTGTGGTAGGCTTTTAATTTCACCTTTCATTCTTGTCCAAGTTTTACTTTTGTGAAATTTCACACAATATATTTGTTTGTTCACTACATTATTTCTAATCGTTGTTTGAGAGGAAAACTATCCTGCCACCCATGCGGTGTCAGGTGTTATTTTATTTAGCTTATCTTTCTCAATATTTTTCTCATATTCAATTCAAGGCTCTCTCGCTGTATAGCTATTCTGCACGATGACTGTTCGTTATTGTTGCTTGGCAATTTCAGATAAGGTGGTCAAAGCTGAGTGGAGGAGGTAATTTTTGCACAAGGAAGCGTGTCATTGAAGTTCCCATGGTTCAAGCAGAGATGTAACGTAATACGAGTTTCATTATATGTTGTCACTTCTGGTGTGTGGTTGTAGAACCAGGAGAATTAATCATCTAATCTTTTATTTGCTTGGTGCATTTTTAAGTTCCATTAGCACTTTCAGGAGTGTAGATGGGTAAATATTTATAGATGTTACACTTAGTTATTTGGTTTCTTTTTGTTTTTTGTGTTTGTATAATTCTTTAGCTCCCCTTTTCACCCTCATGTATCAGAGTTCAAACATGATAATCTCTTTCCATTTAATATCATGACGAATACAGTGTGCTGATCTGCCAATGGAATGCTTTGGCTTTCATAGACGTTGATGCTCCGTTATAGCAAGTTGATTCTGTAGAGGGTTCTGCTATAAATCACCTCAATTTGAGGTAGGATTCCACATGTTGCGGGGAATTATGTAGTCAAATGCGCACAAATTAACGCCTAAGCTGACTTTTTTTTCCTTTCCCCACTTTTGAGGCTTGTTCAAAAGATCGAATTTAATAAAATATATTTCATAGTACGGGCACAGGTTGAAATATTTGTTGATGGTTCTGTGGCTTTGCCAAGGTCAAACCCTTAGCCAATGCAAAATGCATAATATGAAGTTCCTGGAGTCCAAGTGGGGTGAAACCTTTCCGGGCAAAATTGTAGCAGTTGTTTGTTAATAGTACATTTCCTGTGTTGGTGTCGGCCGCATAAATGGGTCCATTAGGGGCTATGGACCCTGCGGTAAGGACGCCATTAGCCACTGTAGCAGGCACCTGGGCAGTGGGATTCGCTGTGGATTACAATTTCTCCTGTTTTTGCATCCAAAGCTCCTTGCTCCTGCAGCCGTTGATTGCTTAGATGGTGTGAGCATGAAGCTTTGGCAGTCGCTGTTAGCGGTGTTGGTGTAAATTCTCCCATCTGTTGATGCAACCCATTGTCGTCCTCCCTCCCTTGCCACCCGGTACTGCTAGCTGTTAAAGTCAAATTTTAGTCAGAAAAGTGTGTGGTATACTGGTCTTCATGTGAACAGTTTCTTTATTTTCCCTTTGGAAGTTACTGCAACTTCAATGTTTTGCATCAGAAAGGCAAAAAGAATATCGTACTTACATTAAACCAGGCTATATCACCATTATCACAGCCTAAAGCCCAGGCAAACCCACTTTGTTGCATACCGCAACATCACGAAATGTTTTGTTAGAAATTATATTGAGGAGCATAGAGGCCTCTTGTATGGTTCTGAAGTGCTGGGAATCGAACCTCAATCTTGCTGAAATTCACCTCCTAAGGCTTAGAGCAACAGACTTTGCAACAGGCATTCAAAGGCTTAGAGCAATCTTATTCCTGATGTTTTGAAATGTAAAAGGAGTTATTGATCAAAGCTAAAGAGTAATAAGATTACCCGGCTTATCTTTTTAATCTGTGTCAGGTGCCAGCCACAGTTCCTCCAAAAATAAGCAGAAGGGTAGACTCAACCTGATCAAGGGTCAATAAGAGGTCAACTGAACTCCATAATTATTTATTATGAATGCTTGATATGTTCTGAATTCAGTTTCGAATGTGGCACTTTGGCTGTAAGGGACCATTAGAGATGAGAATAAATCATACATAACAAGTTACTGAAATAGAATCTAGCAAGAATTGTGGTCATAAGTTCTCCGTACCTTTCCGTAGTGTTATGTTGGATACCTCTCTTCTGTCTATCAAAGCTAAGGTGTAAGTAAGTTTCTCAAGAATGACCTGCCAACATTGTCTTTCCAAATCATTGTCAGGCGCCAGCCGGAGTTCCCCCAAACACTTCAGTAGGTCAGGGACCTTCCTATTATTAAGGGTCCAAGAAGATCAGCCCCCAATGAAGTGATCAGGGGAACTCCAGAGGACAGCTGACTCTATATTTCTTCTTTGTGGTTAGATGATTAGGAAATAGAGAGCCAACCTACCTATTTATAGTGAAGGCTCTATACGTGCATGTAGTTCGGTAATTGTGGCCCTTTGGCCGGTTGAGGTGCGTTAGATATGAAACAAAATCCACAAAATGGGAAGTTACTGAGATTGAATCTAGTCAGAATAGTGGGGACTGGGGAGTAGAGATGATGATATAGAGAATGATCTTGAAGTGAGTGGACCTAAGCTCTCCCCACACCTTTTCTACACTTCTATCTTTCCTTCTCTTCTATCCTTTTCATAGTTCAAAAAGTGTTATATCAGCAAAAGGATTCCTGATATTCCCCTTAATCATGTGTCATTAATTGTCCAAGGTATCTTTATTAACAGTTGTCTTTATGTATGTTTTATAGAAGAGAATCAGAAAAGCTTCGTTGGGAAAACTAGATTTCAATTAACAGCTGCTCCGATTCTATGGGGATGAAAATGCTGGATAGAGACTAAAGTATGGCCAGAATTTATTCAACTTTTGACCTCAGATCCTCCCTAAGGATTCATCCGGCCTGTTATTACGTCTAGATTCATTTTTCCTTGAGGAATTATCCTGGCATATTTCTCCCACTTGAATCAAACCAAAAAACCAGCAATAGTGCAACTAATTGAAAGTCTCACAGAATAATTGAGGTGAATCGGCAGATATTTCCACACGAAGCAACCAGGACAAGGGAGCTAAAAAAATGCAGATATCTGTTTGAAGGTACTAATTCAAAAATAATGGTTACTTCCAACTGAAGTTTTTTGCAGATAATCCTGACATAATTCAATACACTATAAAATAAAGAGCAGCGTTATTGATGGTAGTTTAAGAATGTTTTAGTGGTCCTGTTTGCAGCCATAAGCTATCTCAATTACGCATACCAGTGTTTTTGATAAGGAGGAATAATTGTTCCAATAGAGCAGAAGGGCTTCAGCTTGTAGCAAATTTCCTTTTGGGGATCACAAGAGGAAGCACAACAGCTTGAAACCTAAGATCTTTGCTCAAACACCGCCTTAACTACTAAGCCGAAGTGCCTGCTTTTAGAAATTTGTATCATATATTACACCGTTGGAGATTAGTATTCCTTAAGGTCCAAAATGGAGGTCATAAGTCTAAATCCCATATTCCCAACCTTACTATCAAATATCAGCAAGAAAAAGAAGTAAAAAACATAAAACAAGTTTCGGTGTCATTTTAAAGTTTATATAAATTAAATATATAGCTAGTTGCTGTATGGTATTTCCTCTGAAAATGAGATTTAAAGTTTCTGTATTAACTGAACAGGCTCTGACATTTTGTCTACAAGAAGGGAACTGAAGCATATTGTATGAACTAAACAGTTAGTAAAATGAAATGTGCATACTTCATAGGATATATGTTACATTTCCACATTGCAGGTTTGCAGCTATATTATGTCCCGTTTAGCAAGCAACTAGAAGGAAGAAGATTAGAACAAAGTAAAATTGGAATTTGCCAATGTATAGCATTAAAGGCACAGTTTTTTATTCATAATAATTGTGTCTCATCTTCATAAGTTATAGGTTAGAGGCTCACTGCGTCAATTTCTTTTAAAGGCATTCAATGCTTCATTTTGATAGAAACCACAAGCTAAAACACAAAAAGAAATGGATGCATCATTAGGTTTGTTTCTTACTTGCTCCAAAGAAAATGAGTCGAGATTTTATAGCCCTTTAATATCATCAAGAACATCAGTAACTGGAAGAATGAGCTTCTTTGTTACACACCAGCTCTTAAAGCTAGAACTTTCTTGTTAATCAGTTGATTGCACCAGGGCAAGATCCAATATAAAAAAGAACATTGTTCCAGATTATTCTTTTTAACATTAGATGTGGGGTTTTTTGTTAGACTAATCTGATTGATAATGTTTAAGATAGAAACTTATGGTTTTCTCACTTAGTGTCAGCTGTCTTTCCTTTCATGACATTAACAAAAAATGTCATTAGGACTTCTCCCAAACATTGATAATTATCCATTTATTTCAAAGTTCATCTTTAAAGTGCTTAAGCCTAACTCTAGGCAACATTGGATGAGAGATGCTTCAACTTGGTCTGGTTGATTTGGCAAATAACCACACGTTGTATTCGGTGGATGTGCTGCATTTCTTTCATTCACAAAGAGAAAAGTCTCTGGCAAGTGAACCTAGACGAGACTATGGGATAAATGGGAAGTAAAGAATAAAAGTGGTGTCAGTTGCCTGTTGTTGTACACTCTTCCTGCTTTTTCACTTAAATATCCTTCTCCAGTCGTTCCTTTTCAGCTTATTCCTAACCAGAATCTAGTGTATAAACCCAACCGAAACAGGATTTTGATGTAGTGCAGATGCTACAAGAGATTTCACTAAAATAAACAAACCATAATATCTCAAATCTATCGATAACCAATATTTCAAGCTTATCAAGTATATCTGGCTTATCTGTTGGATAGCTTCTTCTTAATGACTTAATCCTCAAGGCAAAGGAAATAATCCAACTTATGTTGCCAAGCATGAGGTATGGTCTGCTATACTTGGAAAAAGTTTTTCCCTTCTGAAAAGTGAAATGAAAAAATTGAAAAGGATAGGCCTTATAGGTGAAAGACTAGGAGAAATCCAGAAAGATTTCTAGCCACTAGCTACTATTGTTTTATACCCTTTACTTTCCCTCACATAACCATTTTCCCAACCATAGATCACCATTTCAAACTGTTTCAATATCTAAGCTTGGTGAACCTTGCCTATATATATACAGTAGACCTTCTGTGCACTAATAAGAAACTGTAACATGAGAAAGGGGATGTCAGCTGTTCCCTGGAGTTCCCTTGACCACTTCACTAGGGCTATTTTAAGACCCTGAGGAAAGTTTCGCCCTACTGAAGTGTTTGGGGGAACTCTGGGTGACAGTTGACACTGGCTAGCAGGAAATATGGTTGGCAGCTCATTTCGTGTATAGGCAGGCTTACCCAGTACCATGTAAACTACTTCATCCTTTTATGTAATTCAATGCTGGTTGATAGAACCATCTGTTCCACACATGTTCATGGAACATAGTTGGGTGCCTTTCCATCCACTGACAACATTATAAACTGAAACATCATTCTTGGTTTCTTTTTGCATCATTGTTTTGCGCATTCTTTCTTGCCTAATGTTATGTTTCTTGATTTTCTTTTTTCATAGGCTTGCAGATACTCTAATGCCTTCAATCTCTCTTTTTCTTAAGGTACCTTTTAAGTTTTATCTTGCATAATTATCATTTACTGCTCCAACATTGCCTACATTGAAAATGGATATCTTCCCAGGGGAGCGAGTTCCCTTACCAACCCAATGAACTGTTCTAATTAGGTTTCTTGTTTATAAGATTCAATCTTCCATTTAATTTATATTAAAAAAACAGACCACAAAAATCATCCAAATTTTGGTAATGCAACAGATAAATAAAAGATGTATATAAAAAAAATCACAACAGAACTAAACTGAAATTAAAAAAAAAAAAAAGTAAACAAATAAAAACAAAAAGAAAAAAAAATTCTTTCCGTGCAAAGAACAAACCTTTCACCCGTCTTTGATACTTTCTCTACCCTTTTCACATTGATCTCCATCTTCCACTCTAACTCGCTTCAGCATCTTCTTAACCGATGATTCTTCCGCTGGAACCATGCCATAGTTACTCTGTGATGCTGATTCCTCGAATGCTCCTGTGATCAAAACCCCCTCGTTGTTTACGTGTTCCACAACTAAGCCCCATAACTCAGCACGTAAAGGCAAGATTTTACGTCCCATGTTGGACCTCAAGTTTCCAATTCTAAGTCCATGTCGGATAATCTTATCAATGATAGCCTCAACGGTAACAGAGGTTGGGCTGATTCGGAGTCTTGTTAACATGGGACCAATAAATTAGTAAGCTAGCTCCTGGTTTTTCAGAAGATGGAGACTGAAACGAAGAGTTTCTTGGGAGAAGTGGCCGTTGGAGTTGGTGAAGTGGCCCGTTAAGCAATCGTGGCGGATGACTAGGAGATCAAGGCTGATAGTTAATTCAATTTGGACGAAACGGCTAGTGAAATACTTGGTTTCTGGTATAGTGTGAGGTTGGAAAACTACATGGTGTAGGCGATCACACTGGCAGGAAACGGACGCCATGGAAGAAACTTGAGGAGAAAGCTCTCTTTAGACAATCAGAGTAGGTAAAATTTTAAGTTTAACTCACAGTAGTATTTATAACGGGGCAATGGCGGCATGGTGAAATTCTGTATCTAATATGAGTAGGAAATCCCAAGCATTTTAAGTTACTACAATGCTTCAAGTATATATCTAACTAAATTTAAAAGGACAGAACAAAAATAGGAACAAAATAGAAAACCATACTCTTCAGTTCACCTCAGACCAAATTCTTTAAGAATGTGTCACTGATGAGATACAAAGAAATTAAGCTTCTCAACCAGATTAACTAATTAAATTCATCATTGGTTCAAATGGAACAGGGCAACAACATCCAACAGCAAAAGCCATCAGCAAAGGAATTAATCGGTTAATGTGCTGAGCGAGTGGTGGGTGTCTTCTTAAAATCAATTTTGTCGACCTTAACTTCACCATCAATAAGTTCATACACATATACCACAACACGCAAGCCATCGATGTCCATGAGCACAAAGCTTGGGTTTACATCGTATGTGAAACTACTATATGCACCAGTGGCAGAGCCAGGATTTATGACGACACCACCCTCATGCTTGTATGCTTTGAACTGATGGGTGTGACCAGTTACGAGGATATCAACATCCAATTGCCTTTGTAGCATTGCTAGTGAATCCAAATCCCCCCATGGAATGACCTGTTGAAAGTTAAAAGGAAAACAAAGGGGGAAAAATATATATATTAATGTTTGCTAACTGGTGCTATAATCATACAAACATCTACTTGCAATAAGTTGGAATGGCCACTACAAGCTTCTCATTAAACAAATTCAGGTCAACTGTGAAAACAACCTAGCTTAAATCTTTTTCCTTTTTCTCTTTTTGACAATGAGCTCATCCATTCACAGGGAAATTGAAAGCAATGGGTGGAAATCTGCTACCTAACACTGAAGAAGGGTATCTTAAACTAGCTAGGAAAAGTTCCCACATCTCAGATTGCCCATGAAGCACCTGGATGCAACATTCTCTCTGCTGACAGAGGACTTAGAAGTAGTTGGTTAAGCATGTGTACTAGACATTATAGAACAAAGGAGAGACAAGTCAATGACACAGTTAGTGCCCCTCAATCCCAAACATTATTCTTGCATCCAACATGAAAAGACATCAACAAAGGAACATTGAAAAGCTCTTCTCATTTTCATCTTATTATCGCTAAAAAGATGGAAACCAATAAAACCATATAATGATTATACAAAATGCTCAACTGGATATAATATTATGGTCCACTTTATAAGAAATGTTTGTAAATGTAAAAAACTTTGGGACTCAATTACCCAAATATATTCTTTACTGCCACTAGACATTCACAAAATCAGTATCTAAAGTCATCATATATTTCAGTATAGCAAACCAAAAAAATAAATTGGGATGTTATTGGATGGCAAATACATTTACATTCAAAGTTGGGGCAGATCAAATAAAATATGAAAGTACACAGACGGGAAGAAGATAAAACCTGGTGTCCATGGCATATCCCAAGCTTGAACTGACCGATTGTCAGTGTTTTGTTCTCTGGATAACGGTAATCCTCATCATATTCACCTCGAGTAATATGCAAATCAGGACAAAGACTCTTGAAGTAATCATGAACTTCCTGATCATAAAAAGCACATAGAAGAATAAGTTTACTTGCAGGATCAGGCACTTGCAAGAAGGAAAAACAAGAAAACGTTAGAAACAATTCTGCAATACTACAATGATAAATATCTTGTTGTGTTTGAAATTTTGAGATTTGATAGATAAATGGTAGTTTCATCCTGAAAGCATGCAGAATAAAAACGTCAACCCTAATTCCAAAGGGTTAAGTTCATGCCAAATAAAAATGAAAACATATAAAACAGAGCTAATGAAATTATTTCTGGTAGACTTGATGGCATTGCACAAAATGTTTATGACATTGATATATAATCTACTTTCAATACTAAAAATTTGTAACAGAACAAGTTTCCAGCCAAGGAAGCATTCGAGTTGCTTTCTTTGTACACCAATGCCTTCTCACTTCTATAATTATACAAGGCCACTAGAGTCTGGTTCTCTTAATAAGAATTTCATCAAATATCTGGCATAAGATAAAACTACGGCTAAACCCATAAAGCACAATCTGCATAAATGCACAGAAGAGCAACTGAAGATACACATAGGATAATTACAGCAGTTCACCTTAAATGTATCAGCATCTCCATTACATTATCCAGCCCTCAACATAGACATCATTTTGTAGTCACTCACAACCACAAGGACACTCAAGACAGCATAAATATGTTCTTTCTAGAAAATTTTGTCTTGTGTAACACCATTGATAATGCAATGAAGCCCAATAGCATAAAGAAGAATAAAAAAATTCTTGTAAATAATAAATACTACAATTAGATAGAACCAAAAGGAATTCTTAACATCATAAACAGAAAAAGAAAAGAGAGAGAAAGAGAAAGAGTCAAAAGTAAAGAGTGATAAAGTTACTTTGATACAGAGATTGCCAGTGCAAATGATGTGCTGAATCTTTCCAGGTACAAGCATGGACTTGAACTTTGGAGGCAGATCAGGTGCCCTGTGAGGAATATGAAGGTCCCCTATTGCTAACACCAAAACCATCCTTCTACTACGAACCACTGAACCAAGTTAACAGCTTTTCTTAATTCTATACTAAAAAAAAAAGAAGTCTTTATTTTTCTGTATCAATTCTCAATCATCCTCAAAACCTGAATAAACCCAGATCATTTCTCAGCAATTCGTTGATAAAACAAAACTACCCATATAAAAAAAATGAAATTTGAACATTTAAATGATCAGCTTTTAAACCCAGAAAGAGAAAAAATGATAGATTAATAAACTACAAACTCCAAATTAACAAAAGGAATTATCAATTATGAGAAAAGTGAAGAGATCATAAAGATATTTTAAAGGAAAGATCGCCAATTACCCACGCCTCTTAAGTGGAAACAAAACCAAACTGATTCGTTCCAGTCCTTCTCGCCAAGTCGACACTGTCGAACTAAAAAACTGAAATATTTGTGAAATTTTCTTTTTTTTCTTCTTTTTTTTTTTAGCACAATATTTCCAATGCGGGTGTTTGGAACTTCGGATAGTGGGCTGCTCTTATCCCGAAATATAATATTAGAAACTTATATTAAAGAAATTTATTATTATATCCCAAATCCCAAATATATTTTAGAGGGAACAATGCGAATTAGAAAGTTACTGCAAATAATTTTGCTTTCAACTTTACAAAAATGATCTGTCAAGTAACATTGTTCTCAATCGGCGAAGGCGGTTTTGAAGTTGTCACCCAAATGCGGGGATTTGCATCAATCATCCGCCAATGCCTTGGCCGAGTGGCTCAGACCCTAAGGATCAATCCACCATGGGTGAAGAACTAGCAAATCTAGAGCAATTGCAGCTAGGCTTGGCAAATTGTGTATTTATATTATATAAAATATTAAAAATTTATATATTTATATTATATTTTTATTAAAATTATATGTCATAATTTATATTAATATAAAATATTTTTTTATTTTATGAAATTTATTAATAATTTTTATTAAAATTTTAAATCGTATTATTTTTATATTATTTTTATATTTTTTATTTATATTATTTTCGTATAATATCATCGTATCATATTTAAAATTATCAAATTTAATTGTAACAAACCCAATTACCATGCAATTTTAGCTCACATTGTACCATCCAAGTACCATAAGATGGCACACATCTTTTAGCAAGTTACCCAGAAGTAACAGATTTTATATGTTTCTTTATGGACAAATTGCTTAGCTATAGAACAAGAAACTTTTGCCATCCCTTGATTATAATTCACAAACACATGGATAAATGATGGATTATATTAAAGTAATTCATAAACACAAAGATATAATTCATAACATTAATATGCATCACTGAATAGAAGGTAACAATACAGTAATGAAAGTAGCTGACTACCACAATGAGAGTCTCATACCCCTTACAAAACGAAGGAGCTGCTAATTTGTTACTATGTTAAATGCAAAATTGCATAAAAAAAAACACGCTCAAAAATTACATTTTATAAGCAACAAAAAAGATATACATACACAGGAAATTTACAGAAGAAATCAATGTACTCGTGGGGATTGCCTGTGAGATGGTAATGGAGATGCACTGGGAGTTAGATGCATAGGAGAGCGATGCTGTCTCATTGGAGATTTACAGACAGGGAGTGGAACTGAGTGCTGTTCGGATTGAGAGTGTTTGGATGCAGTTTTGGGGGCTTCGAGCTGCTCCAATGCTGTCAAAACGTCTGACATTCTAGGCCTGAGTTTTGATTCACCACTTAGGCACTGTAAAGCAAGGGTCGCAGCTGTATAAGCCCCTTTCTGGGGGTACTGGCCCCCCAACTTAGTGTCCATAATTCGAAATAATTTTCTTCTGTCACCTAAATATGGTTTAGCCCAGTCTACTAGATTCTGCTCCACACCAACTTTTGTTTTGTCAACAGCACGCCGTCCAGACAATAGTTCAAGCAGCACAACTCCAAAACTGTATACATCACTCTTAGCCGTCAATCGACCTGTTCAACAATGGAAGCTTCATTACATGTTACTTCTGAAAAGATATAATAGGGAAGCTTCATTGACAGGAGAATCATCTGACAGACAGCATATTATTATCTGGGTGCCTACTTTTCTCAGACAAACAGTTTGCATATTAAGGATAGAACCCAGAAAATAGGGCTTGGCCTAAGTATTTGGACCAAGGCACTGCATATAAAAGACAGAACAGAAAATACGTTGCCTTCACTTTAGATTCCTTCATGGCAACTAGAAAAATCATTAGATAGTTAGAGCTACCCACTATCAGACTGTGACTTTTGTTATCTGGTACAGTCTTTCCGCACTAATAAAGATGGAATATTGAAACCCAGAGGAGTAAGAAAGAGTCAAGAAAGACAAAGAGACCTGAATTTTCAAGTTCAACAGGATAAGTTTCCTTTTCAGTGATTTTGAAGCTTTCATTCTTCAAGAACAATGTAAAGGAGGTAACTTCTCAGATTTATGATAAGATTTAGTTTTGTTCAGCAACATATATATTTGATAGCAAATTAAGATAACTAAGGATTTATGAACAGGCTTCAAAACAGCAAGCATTCATATGGGATTTAACTAAATCTAATACCTGTAGCAACATATTCAGGTGCTGCGTAGCCGTGGGTACCCATGACTTGAGTTGATACATGAGTCCTATCACCAGTAGGACCTGCCTTGGCCAATCCAAAATCAGAAAGTTTTGCATTGAATTCCTGCACCCAATGGATTATTAACATCAGAACATATAAAATTTGAATTACATATAATTCAGACCTAATTTTGAAAGGAAAAAAATTATCCATTTTCTTTACTCAGCATACCGAATCTAGTAGAATATTAGAAGCTTTGAAATCGCGATATATGACTTGGGATTTCAAATCATGAAGGAAAGAGAGCCCTCTAGCAGCACCTATGGCAACCTTAAGCCTCACTGCCCAAGAGAGTGGCTGTGGCCCTCCTGTAAAACAAGACATAGCATCAAAGGTTATAAAATACTTAGTAGTTCCACAATATCCAGATGTCCTATTGTTCAGTTGATTAAGACACAACAGTGAATGGGAAGCCTCCATCAGGGCTAATCAATAATTCTGGCCATCAACTGTTTGTAGGTTTATGTGTTCAGAAAATGCACCCTGTCAAAGCCTTAACAAAAAAAAAAAAAACCCACACAGCTATGTTAAAAATAATACTCATGCTGAATAATTATTACAAGAACTAGATAAGCCAATCAACTTCACTTTATGCCATCCAGGCAAGCCCATCAAGATAAGAAAATACTGTTTAGTTTCTAAGGTATAGGAGGAGGCTAAAGCCACTTGTCTAGGTCCTGGTTGATGTTACGTGCTCATGATCTATTGAAGCCTAATAGGATGCACATTTTAAGACACAATGGTTACCCAAACTATTCTTGCCTCTACAATTGTGTCGTCAAATTTTCATGTTAGGATAACACATGGAACTAATGGCCATTTTAGAAGAATAAAATGATGATATTCTAACATACTAGCAAAGTAGTTCCAAGATTTTGCTTTGCTAAAAGACTAGAAAGATGGTCTCTTCACATTTCACAACCTCAAAAAATTAGTATAATTAAAATGGTAAACATTGGAAAATTAGTGTAAAGAAAACCATCTGACATGTCCACAAAAATGTTGGAGACAAGGGAAGATGCTAACCCTGTGCTCATTGCCACAGAAAAGGAGGAAAAAAAATTGAGATTCTTAATTTTGACAGCTCGAGCTGACCAATATATGTAACAACAGCTCAGTACTTCAGTCTCCTTGGAACTAAAGTATAAGAAAGCAAAGGTCTCCAATTCCCTTTTTATGTTTTCATGAAAAATATTTGAGGGTAAGGACTAAGTTCCGCAAAGCAACAACATATAGTACAATGGAACTGGATTCCAAAAAACTTCCTCATCAGTTCATGGATGCAATACTCTTAAAAAGATGATTCTCTGAAAAAAATTCATAGGATGTGATACTTACTTCTAAAAAGATGATTCTCTAAGCTTCCCTTAGGCATGAACTCATAGACCAAAAGTCGGTTCTCACCCTCTGAGCAATATCCAATCAACTTAACCAGATTTGGATGATGAAGTTGGCCTAGATAATTAACTTCTGTCTGAAATCAACTGGCTATGAGTAAGTAGGGCATACACACATGCAAACAAAGAGAGAGAGAGACAGGGAAGCAGAAGAAGGAATAAAAAGATAAAGATGTCATAGAAATGAAACCTACCAACCACTCTTTGTGGCCTTGAAAACCTTCAGGTTTAAGCTTCTTGACAGCAACAACCATTCCAGATCCAGGCTTTGCAGCAGCTAATGTGTGTTCATCAATCCATCCTTTAAAAACATATCCAAAACCACCTTCACCGAGAAGACTGTGAGGACGAAAGTTTCCAGTGGCATTCTTCAACTCACCGAATGAAAAAGGTTTCAAATTGGGGGATGACAAAATATCTCCTTCAGTCCTTGGTGTTGGAAGACATCCAGTACTACTTGTATCACTGAAAGATGGGATGGTCAAGCTTGAATGAGCTGAAGAACGACTAGTTTTGCTGGAAATTTTTGAGCCTCCTGACGCTGGAAAGAGAAAACGAGTTCCTTAGGTCCATTAATTAAAATTGAAAACATAATACTATCTCAAATGAAAGAGAAATTCAACTTAAAGTTATCTAACCCATGAAAGCATTATGCATCACAAAACCACCCACCTCAGGTAGTATTTTCATATATTGAACATCTAATATGACAACATATATTATTGTAATTCCCTCTAAACCTTTCCTTATTTTTTAGAACCAAACTTTTTTACATCTCGCTTGTGATAGATGACAAAATAACTCAGAGCTTAGATAAAACTTGTCAATCCTCACTATTGTTATGGTGAAGTCAGAATTGACCTAGTTAACCAAACAAATTTATTTCAATAGAGGTTTGCCACATACATCCCTGTTTTAAAACACTGCAACAATCATTAGGTAAAAAATCACAGAGTAGCATAGGTCATAGCACTCCAAGCGATCACCTACTGTTCTTGTGCCTACCATTGCATTTCCTTCAAAACATAAATTTGTAGTATATCTTTTTCCTACAAGAACCCTTCATAATCATGTAACATGCAAACCTCCAAACATTATAACAAACAATTTGCCAGTCGTGCTTACAATTTCTTTTAGTTTGCACACTGAAACTCATTAAAAATTCATTGGAAAAAGAGCACCATCCAAAACCAACTAGTAAGTGAACTAGATCTACTCCCAACACAAACCCTCACACTCAAACTCAAGAATTGAAGTATAGTCTCAAGAATCTAGCTTTGAGCAGTCCTCTCTATACCTTGAACCAGAACTAAAACCCAGGGACAACAATATCAGAGATGATAATATGAATGCAATTACTAAGGATAACCTTCACAAGGACAAGAAAAGGCAAATTCAACATAAAAGCTTAAACCTTTATAGTTAAAAAACCATAAAAAAAAATCTTCAGAAAAACAATAATCCATCAAAACAACAAATACCCATCAAAAGAAAACATTAAAGGAAAGAAATGGTTACCAGAAGTTGCATGGGGGCTTTGGCTGGAATCGACTCTAGTAGAAGAAAATAAGCAGTTGCCCATCAGAAAGAAACTAGTACTTCAGCAGAAGATTAAAAAACTCCCAACACTTCTCTTTTCTTCTTTCTTTTGTTTTACAGAGCTAACAATTCAACAAGTCATGGTAAATCCTAAAAGAAGAAAGGAAACTGAAAAACGGGTCTCTTTGGATTGGAATTTGTTTCTCTTAAGTGGAGCTTTGGTTTGGTTTGGTCAATCAAATGAGCTCAAACTAAGGAGAAGATGGAAAAAAGAAACAAAAGAAGAGAAGAAGAAGAAGAAGAAGAAGAAACAGAGAGAAGGAAAGCTCAGAGAAGAAAATGGAGTTTGGGCCTTTCTTCTTTCGTCTCTGGGAGGAGAAACGACAAAGGCGTGGTAAGGGTCGTGGGGGACTTGGCCTTTGCTATGACGTGTGCACCCCACAAAGGCAAATCGACTTTGGCTTGGTTCTGGTGGCAAGCATGAATTCTCTTCTTCAATGGCCTCTTTTTTATAGCTTTGACAGAAAATTCCCTTTTGTGAAATGACTGAATTCTCCCTCCGTTCTATATCCACCTGCTTTTCCAGGACTACAAGTCAACTTCCAATGGCGTCTCCCTTTTTTTTTATTTTTATTTAATTATGTGAAATTATTTTTTATAATGATAAAATTTTTTAATTTTATAATTAAAATTAAGAAATTATTTATGATATTTTTATATTTGAATATTCATAATATTAGTGCTATCTCCTCCCATGATAATATCACCCTCGACCTTTTTTATTATTCGTATATGAGTATAAATTAGAAAAAATTAATTCTACTAATTATAATGTTTTATTAAAATTTTCTACTTACTATCAATTTTCATTATCATTTTCACGGCCTTTTTTTTTTATATAAATTCTACCAAATAAGTAAAATGTTTTATTCATCTTCGTGGTGTATGTCAAACATACTTGAAATGGAAGTGGAAGACAAACAAAGCATGTGGTGTATGTCAAACATATAATTATTCATCTTCAACAAAATACGGGAAGTCAAACTTAAAATATTTTATAAAAATAATCAAAGTTTCAAATATAAAAAGGGATCAATTTATATAAATTTTTTTTATTTTTAATTTTAATAAATTCAATAAATAATATTTACAAAATTTTATTTATCTCTCTCATCTTTTGGATCAATTAAAATTAATAATTAAAAAATATATATATATATTTTTTAATTTTTATATTATTATAAATTAATCTCTTTCCAATATTGTATATATATTTATAATTCATCAAAGGGATGAATATAAATTTTGGTAGTGCTTTCGATGTTTGTGGATTGTTGTTGACTACTACTAAAGAAGTGCGTTTTTAATCTTAAATTATGTTCATTTAGTTGATATAATTATTTTAAAAAAAATATTTAATGACTTTAAAATTTAAATTTGAATATTAATAATTTTTTTATTTTCAAATTACAGTTTATTTTATAAAAAATAATGTTCAATTTTATTACTAACAAGTATAGCAATAACAAAATTAGATTGACTAAATCCTTTCCTTTTGTTTTTTGCTTTATTTTTACGTTTTTTTGGGAAATTTTGGATGGATAGAGATGATGTCATTTTCATGTGGACATTAAAGCAATTGTGTGGAGCTTTCAATAATGGAACAGACATTTTGGTTTCAATCTAGTTGGTAATTTTTTTTTTTTTAGATAATTTATCTTAAACTTCTATTTCTTGATAATTGATTGAAAACATAAATGAACAAAATTGAAAGAAAAAAAAAATAAAAGAGAGTAAATAACGATACCTTTTTCATGTAAATGTGAAGGCAAATGTGGAAATTTTCTAAATTATGTTGCACGTGCTACATATCAAATAGATTTGCTTTACTTCCAATCCACCTCTTGCAATATCTTCCCACTAAATAAATATCCAAATTTCAATGATGTGCCATTAGATTTTATTTTTAACTCTTTATTTTTAAGTTTTTAATTTATTTTTAAAAATTTTATTCAATTATTTATTTAATTAAAAATAATATTACACACTTAAACTCTTTTAAATTCGTAATATTCAAATATTAATTCTATTAACATGTCAATTAATTTAAATGAATAATCTATTCTTACTTTTAATTCAAATCTAACTTTTTTTTTTATATATAATATTATTTATTCATTAAATATATAGTAACAAAAAATGGCAATTTAATAAGATGATAATTATTACTGTTACATTCTCTTTTCCTTTTTAGTATGGGTGAGAGAAAACCGGGAGCTTATTGTAAAGCTATACAATTTTTTTGGATAAAATTTAGATAAAATTTTTTAAATAAAAATTGTAAAATTATTTTTTAAAACAATTTAATAAAAACTTTAATAAAAACATAAATTTATAAATTGATAAAGTTCAATATAAAAATTAATGATATGTTAAAAAATTTTAAAATATTATTTATAATTAAAATGTGATTAATACTTATTTAATAATAAAAAATTTATGAATACTTTTACTAAAAATGCTTCAAAAAATATATCAAAAAATTTTAAATTTTACACATTTAACTATGTAATTAAATATTTTAATTTATCAAATTTATTTAATTGTTGTTAATAAAAAATTTTATGAATTTTACTTAAAAAAACTTCAAATAAGTTTTTTGCTATAATTTTATTATATTATGATATTGTAATATCTTATAACTTGCAAATTATTGTAAAAAATCATGTCTTTGTAGTTTGATTTATGTAAAAAAAAATCCAAATAAGACCAAAAAGTACGATTATCTATAGATAAAGGGAATATCGTGGCTAGAACTTAGTGTTATATATCTCTTTTACTTTTTTATCCTTGAAAAATAATTGTTGCTCAATATATAAATTGAATTTTTAAATATAAGAGAGAGTAAAGACTAAAATAAAAAATTTCATTTATATCTATTTTTTTAATAATTAAGATCATCAAATTTAAATTTTGATCATTGATACCATTTAAATTAAATCAAATAACAAAATTTTAATTAAAAAATACAACGTCAGTATTAGCTAAGCAAGTAACATCAAATGACGAAAGAGGGCCAAGGTCGAGAAAAGGCATTTAATTTCTACGGGGAGGTTCCCATCGATCCCCACATGGCCAATGTCCATATAATTTCATTAGTGTTGGATCATTAACTCGAATATTTAGAATTTTTTTTATGCCATTTGACCAAAAATTCGTTTCCGTGTGCTCTCTCTTTTCACATTTTGGACATTCCATTTAGTTTTGAAATAATTTTTTAAGTTTCTAGATGTGAAGTATCTGTCACCTTTTTTATACTTTACACATAAGCTAAATAATCTGTTTATATTTAAATCTAGTTATTATTTTAAAATATTACTGAATAATATGATATAAATATAATATAAAATAAAATTTTAATAATTATTATATATAAATTTAATAAAATAAAAATATATTTTATATTTATATATTAATAAAAATTATAATATATAATTTTTATATAAAATATAATATGAATACATAAAATTTTATATTTTTTATAATATAAATATACGAATCATTAAATATATATATAGATAACATTTAAAATTCATATTTTTTTTATAATAATCTCAAATGTTATTGAATTTGTAAAACTTTTCAATCAACGTATAAAATGTTTACTAACGTAGGGAGGGAATCATGGCAAATTGGCCGCTGTGGAACGTGCCTATTTTGAGAGTGATCTTTGACTCTTATCTGGCCAACGTGGGATAGATGGAACGTGCTAATGGCATATATATTGCTTGAAAGCAAAGCAGCTGCAGCAGCTGTTTGAAAATTGGACTTCAAGTTATGCCAAATTTTAATTTTTATGATTTGTTTGATTTTTTTCTCTCTCATATGTTTAAAGAATGATATTTTTCATGCAAAATATTTTTGATCTATTACACTTTTTTAATTCTCTTGGTACAAACTATCACTGATCACTGCAAAGTTGAGAAAAAAATATAAATCCAACCATCCCTAATTGCCAAACCATATCTAACGGTGAATAAGCAATTGAATCTCATAGTAAGAAATCTCACAATAGTTTCACCCATTTTAATGAGAAGTAAAGATAAACAAAAAGTCAAAATATCCTTTTTCTCAGTGCCATGGATGGGAATTGGGAAGTCCAGGCTTAGCTAATCCATTGATCAGCCTTATTTTTTCCTATTTCCTTGCCTGCCTACAAACAAAAAGCCAAAAAGAGCATTTTGTAAATCAGTAGCACCAGCTGGTTTGATCTGCCCTTCTTTGGTTTCTCTGAGGAAAAAAAATTGAAAAAATAAGAAATTGATTCGAAAATATAATATTTGATTTGCTTTCAATCAAATTTTTTTATTCGGTTCGAATATTAAATATATATATTAAATTTGAAGCGAAAAATTAAAAATTTAAAAAAATGAAATTAAATCAAATTATATATTTTTATTAATTTTTATAAAATAAAAACAATTATTTTATATCTAAAATTATATAAATATATTAAAATTTTATATAAAAAATAAAAAATAAAATTTTAAAATCACTGACCTAAATCAAATCAAGTTGAAAAAATTCAATTGGAACAAATTATATAGAAGATTGATTTAAATTTAAATTAAATTTTTAAAATTCATTCGTTAACCACATTTGATCTAATCTAAATAATTATCATCTTAATTTTCCAAATAGTGTTACTGTATATATGACAATTTCATGTTTTGACATGGTACCGAAAATTCCTGGCAATTATTTTCTTAATCTTTTTTGAAAGATTCTATTCAGAAGCTTCACAATCATTTTCCTAATCAGACAAACATGAGTTGAGGTTGTGATAATCCTTATTATGGGCCCTACACGATTTGCGTTTTTCTGGAAACTACGTTAAATTGCAGACAAATCATATATACATGTATATCATCTCTTTCAAAGTTCCCAAACAAAATTAATGAGGAAATAACTCAAGAAAAATCCTCATCGATCGAGTGCGAAAACCAAGGAAAAACAAACTTGATGCATGCATGTGCCTCAACGACAATTGGTTTGAGTTACAGCAAATTTGATCAAAGAGTATTAACTTATTGACGTTATTATGGGGTTTAATAACAGCAATTCCTAGCCTCAAAAAGTTAATTTAAAGCCGCGTTGCAAGATTGATACTGCCCGGGAGGGGGAGGCCGTGGGGCACGGTGGTCCCTTTCTGACATGACAATTTGATTGAATGAAGCAAGGCCCAATGGCCAAAACGCTCCTCCCTAGATCACGGCAAAATCACAACAAATCTTAACACTTAGCCTTTGTTTCAACGTGCAAGGGACGTATAAAAAACTTGTCTAAATCCCATGTTTTTATCTTATATAATTCTTCTGTTTGTCGACAAATCTCATCCAGGTTTTGCCTTGCTGCTTAACACTTGGCTTTGTTTCATTACAATGTCAATAACATGTTCAAAAGTTTCTCATGAGTTGAGACAGGGAAGCTTGTCTTGTACTATTAAA